TGGCATACCATTTGCAATAGTAGACAACCCAAGGTATTGCAAACGGGGTATGTCCAGTCTTTTTTAGTAGCCACTTAGTCACAAACACTGGCCAAAATTGCAGTTTTTTGCACTTTTCACACAAAAACAAATACTAACACTAACTTTGGCCAGTGTTTGTGACCAAATGGCTACTAAAAAAGACTGGACATACCCCATTTGCAATACCTTGGGTTGTCTACTATTGCAAATGGTATGCCATTATGGGTGTAAATTTAATTCCTGGGCTACTATACAGTCTCAAAGGCAACATAACCTTTCTGGCGAATTTCAATTTCAAATCTAACGTGCTATATTTGACCCTGTAACTTCCCAAAACTCCATAAAACCTGTACATAGGGGGTACTGTCTCTACACGTGAGACTTTGCTGAATACAAATATGTGTATTTTATTGCAGTAAAAGCAAACAGTATTATGACATTGACAGTTAAAATGTCATGTAGAACTAAAAAAATAAAAAAAATCTTATTTTCTCCCATTTGTTTCATATTAAATTATGTTTCCTAGCTAAATATTTGATATTAAATGAATGCCCTGTTTCCCCTGAATAAAATGATATATAATAAGCGTGGGTGCATTTACTAAGAAAGAGGTGAATTACGGTTGGACAGACATGTAGGGCAAATGCCAGGTTTTGTTTACATTTTGTTTTGTTCGCAATGTATACATTTGGCTCCGTCCTTAAGGGGTTAAATAAAATCTATTAGGAGTGTTTATTTTCAGGATGAGTGTGTGTTCGAAAAAGACCGAGATGTATCTATCTGTGTATTGATAACAGTTCTGTTGTTTCCGTTACCCCTGATTGATGGCTATCTGGATACAGTGTTGAGAGCAGCTGATGAAGAAAATACTGAAAAATGCCTGATCTGAGCTCAGCCTGCTACTACAATAAGGGTGGTGTAAGAGCGAGCAGAACAGCCTGAAGGTGGTGGTAGAGGGAACTGAAATGCCAAATATGGTGGGAGAAAGAGTGTGACAGAGTGTAAATCAGTACTTTTCCTGGCTAATATTCATGGCAGCATTTAACATATGGGTATAGATTTGAGAGGGTTTTCTTTTAAGTCCTGGCTGAGCTCCCGGGTCCTCTCTCACTCCCTCCCCTGTCGGCTGCCAGCATAGTGCCTGCAGTCAATGCCAGCCCTGCATTAGCCGGCAGGGGAGAATCTCAGGGGGGCGGGGGGGACAAATGCCCCTTTGCCCCAACCCTGGATCCGCCGGTGAGTCTAGCAAGGTACAGTGTACAGAACTAGTCTAGGTTAGCCAGAGTAATTTTGCAATCTTACACTTGTACTTGTTAACAGCTGTGGTATACTGCTATATATAAAGAGTAGGATGTAAAATAATATTGGCAGATTTATCTCAGTGTCACTGTATTACAATGGTGCTAGGTTTGCGACAATGGGGTACTGATCTAGCTGCCATTCAGATCTAGTCATGAGCCCACATTGAGTGGAGATATTAATATCATTATGTCCCCCCACACAAACACTATATACTATACGTAAACCATAAGCTGTCCTTCACATCAGTAGTAAAACAAGGTAAGTATAAAGGGTTAGCCACACTGTGGCTGTACAGGGTTAACACAGATTTCACTAGGTATGCTATTACAGTACTCAATATACGGTTACAAACTGAAAAAAATATATGTAACAGTGGTTGCGCAATTTCTATCAATGATTTGTTTTTTTAACAATTTTTCTAGCCGTAATATCACACGAGCCTGCTACAATGCCGAATCAGATATAAAGTAGCAAGCATTGATGCTGAATATATGGTAAAATTGGTTCTTAATCGCTGTTAACAGTCTAAACACCATGCAACCAATAAAATAGTACAAATGACTCTCGTTGTGTTTAATATATAGCAAAAAAATGTTATCACGAAAAATGTGATTCTCATTACCAGACCTTTGCCAACTAATTTTTATGAGAGTTTTCTTGTTATGTAAGACCCTTTAAGTACTTGCCTTTACTTGAAGAATATTTGTGCTATAACCTGGAAATCCGCACAGAAAAATTCCTGAGGGCCACTCTACTACATTGTTTTCAATCAGACATAGTAAGCACTGATTGCTTTATATTGCCTTTAAAACAGTCACATGTATATCAAAAATACATATTTTACAAAGTGCAAATTTCTGTAATAAACTCTCATATTTATTAAACCTGTTTTATTTGTTTTTCTATATTAAAAAAAAAAAAAAAGGAACTGGTCACGTTCTTTGTATTTTGATCTGTCATATCATATTGATTTTACCATAGATGGCGTGTGTCAGTAGGTGGGAAGGTGCAGGTAAGTACTAAGGACTGCTGTGGCCATACCTAGAAAGACTGCATTTTTTTACTTAAGTAAGGTAGGATAACTTGTGATTTTTCAGTAAGTAGATTTCAACCAAAGTATTATTTGTAATCTATCAGTGAGCGGTGTCAGTTGATCAATGATACAAATTGAGGATTCTAGATAGATTGTATCTTTTAATTCCAGAATGTGATACAGGAGGTTCCTTTTCGATCAAAGAGGGATGTAAAACATACCGGCAATAGACCTGCAATTTGCTACAATGCATGGCAGCTCGGAACCCTAAAATAAGTGGTTTTGTAGCATGCAAATAAAACTCAAAAATAGCAGATGTTGGGAGTCAGTCATTTCACCAGATGAGGAAAAAAGAGAACTTTGAAAAATAAAGAAAAAGCATAAAATTACAAGCAAGAAGATCCTTTTGGCCAGAAGCAGTTACAAAATGTATGTGTGTCAGTATGTGAGTGTGTGTTTCAGTATGTGTGTGTATGTGTGAGTATCTGTATCAGTAGGTATGTGTATCTGTGAGTATGTGTGAGTATGTGTCAGTATGGGTGTGCATCTGTGTATCTGTCAGCATCTGTATCAGTGTGTATCTGTGCCATTATGTGTGTGTAGGTGTGTGTCAGTGTATCTGTGTGTGTGTCAGTGTGTATGTGTATCTGTGTCAAAATGTGTGTATGCGTATTTGTGTTAGTATATGTGTATCTGTATCTATGTACCCAGGACATACTTGAAAACGAGAGAAATCTCACTGTATCTTTCCTGGTAAAATATTTTATAGATAAATAAATAAATATTACAATATGTGTAGCTGAGCCAGTATGTGCTTATATCTGTGTGTGTCAGAGTGTGTTTGTGTCAGTGTGTATGATTCTGTAGATGTGTGTGTTAATTAATTTCCCCTCCTATGATGGCGGCTCTCCTCCCCCCCTTCTTTCCCCTCCTATGATTGCGGCTCTCCTCCCCCACCTCTTTTCCCTCCTATGATGGCGGCTCTCCTCCCCCCCGTCTTTCCCCTCCTATGATGGCGGCTCTCCTTCTCCCCCCCTTCTTTCCCCTCAGGTGGCGGCTCTCCCCCGTCTTTCCCCTCCTATGATGGCGGCTCTCCCTCCCCTGTCTTTCCCTCCTATGATGGCTCTCCCCTGTCTTTTCCCTCCTATGATGGCTCTCCTCCTGTCTTTTCCCTCCTGAGTAGCGGCTCTCCTTCCCCCCCCTTCTTTCCCTCCTATGATGGGCTCCCCGTCTTTCCCTTCTGGGTGGCGGCTCTCCCTCCCCTGTCTTTCCCCTCCCCTATGATGGCTCTCCTCCCCCCCCCTGGTCTTCCAGCCTTCTGTGATGGTGGCTCTCCTCCCCGTCTTCCCACCTCCTATGAGTAGGCTCTCCTCCTCCCTGTCTTTCCCTCCTATGATGGCTCTCCTCTGTCTTTCCCTCCTATGATGGGCTCTCCTCCCCGTCTTACACTCCTTTCTATGATGGCTCTCCTCCCCCCTTCTTTCCCTCCTATGATGGTGGCTCTCCTTCCCCCCTTCTTTCCCTCCTATGATGGGCTCTCCCGTCTTTCCCTCCCTATGATGGCGGCTCTCCTCCCCTGTCTTTCCCCTCCTGCTGATCGGCTCTCCTCCCCGTCTTTCCCCTCCTATGATGAGCCACTCCCTGTCTTTCCCTCCCTGTAGTGGCTCTCCTCCCCCCCTTTGCTTTCCCTCCTATGATGGCTCTCCTCCCCCCTGTCTTTCCCTCCTGTGATGGCTCTCACTCCCCTGTCTTTCCCTCCTATGATGGCGGCTCTCTCCTCCCCGTCTTTCCCTCCTATGATGGCGGCTCTCCTCCCCCTGTCTTTCCCTCCTATGATGGGCTCTCCTTCCCCCTTCTTTCCCTCCTATGATGGGCGGCTCTCCTCCCCCGTCTTTCCCCTCCTATGATGGCTCTCCTCCCCCCCTTCTTTCCCTCCCTATGATGTGGCTCTCCTCCCGTCTTTCCCCTCCTGAGTGGCTCTCCTTCCCCCCTTCTTTCCCTCCTATGATGGCGGCTCTGCTCCCCTTCTTTCCTCCTGTGTCTCCTCCTGTCTTTCCCTCCTGTGATGGGCTCTCACCCAGGTCTTTCCCTCCTATGATGGTGACTCTCCTCCCCCCTTCTTTCCCCTCACTATGATGGCGTCTCCTCCCCCCCTTCTTTCCCCTCCCTATGATTAGGCTCTCCTCCCCGTCTTTCCCTCCTATGATGGCTCTCCCTCCCCTGTCTTTCCCCTCCCTATGATGGCGGCTCCTCCTCCCCGTCTTTCCTCCTATGATGGCTCTCCTCCCCTGTCTTTTCCACCTCCTATGATGGCTCTCCTCCCGTCTCCCTCCTATGATGGCTCTCTCCCCGTCTTTCCCTCCTATGATGGCGGCTCTCACTCCCCTGTCTTTCCCTCCTATGATGGCGGCTCTCCTTCCCCCCTTCTTTTCCCTCCATGATGGCGACTCTCCTCCTGTCTTTCCCCTCCTATGATGGCAGCTCTCCTCCACTGTCTTTCCCTCCCTATGATGGCGGCTCTCCTCCCCGTCTTTCCCCTCCCATGATGGCGGCTCTCCTCCCCCTGTCTTTCCCCTCCTATGATGGCGGCTCTCCTCCCCCCCTTCTTTCCCCTCCTATGATGGCCGCCGAGCCCAGCCCTTTTCCTGCTGTCAGTCCGTGCGCTGGTCTCGCGAGATGTGATCCGTGTTTGTGTGTGTGTGTGTGTGCCGGGCCCTCCTACCTGCTACCTGCTACCTGAGTCGAGCCTGCATGCTGGACTGGCCAGCCACCCCGGGGAGCAGCGCCCACTGACAGCACCCGGCCCCGGGCACTCCGCCATGGCCTCAGACAGCGACACGGAGGAGTTCTTCGATGCCCCCGAGGAGGTGAACCCGTCTTCCCCGGCTGTGTAAGTACCTCTCCCCCCTGTCTATCACACAGCACAACCACTGTCAGCCAGCTGGAATACAAATCCCATGACTCTCAGCCACCTTAGGCAATCTCCTCCCCCCACAGCTGGAGTGCCAGAGGCGTCAGCTGTCACAGAGGGACCCTGAGTATAATGACAGACTTGGGAAATCTGTCATTCTAATCCCATCACTCTCAGCCAGCCTGATGATAAGCGTGGTAATCCAGCAACAGGAGGCTGTCAGATACTCTCACTGTCAGCTGTGCTTCCTGCTCTTCAATCAGGGGGTTTTAATGAACATACTGTCCCCATGTCACTCCCAAATTTCCCAAGCTTTTACAGCTTTTGCTGCCTAGTGTTCTTGTTTTTTTTTACATTTTATTTTTTCAGGACCTGTTACACTGTTATCATTTCAGATGTGACTCTGATTCCCCATTTCCTCCATTTTATGTTATCAGTGTAAAATGTCAGGAATGCAAAGCAAATTAAAATGTTAGGCCTATATACAGTTTAGCTGTTTTGTATATTTTATTTTATTCAGCTATCTTGGCCTAAAATGTGGAATTCACTTTACATTCCAGACAATCTATGCTTTAGTCAACAACCCAGTCTCATGTTGAACAAGTATACAAGCTAGATGCACAGCTTTTATTGGGCTGCAGCTCGCATGATGACTTAACCAGCTCTAAGGATGACAATACATTAAAGGAGTTGTAGTTCTGTAAAAGCTGGGGATCTATCTAGCTTGTGATCATTCCTGTTCCTCACAAGCAATGTATGAAAACCCCCCATCTTCCAGCCCCCCCACACATAAATCTCTCAATATATACCTGTCACCCCTTGTATGCTCCCACACACTCCCTTCATGTGTCAGCACATATTCCTGCCAGTATGTTCAGCTCTTTAATTATGTTTCCTCTGTCTCCTGAACTTATTAGGCTGCTTATTAGTTATTACACCATGCCCACTCTTCTCAATTTTTGTTGTGTCCTGTCATTCTATGTGCATTCGTCCCTATTATTTGGCATTGCTATTTCTTCCTTTTCCCTGCTGGTTCATTGCTTTTTATATATATAGTGTATTTTTGTGACATATTTAGCAGTATGTATTAAACCACATTTTCTTGTCTTCTGTCGGGTATGTACAGACATCATTTCTGTTTTAAAACTCTTTGGTACCTTATATAATTGTGTAACTAAATGTATTAATCTCTCATTGCTGGTTTTTATTGCTATATTTTTGAAATAGGTGATTTTTTTTTTTTTTTTTTAGGATTAACCCTGCCTGCTGGGTTTTTAGTTCATATTCAGAAAATAGCTTTTCTTTCAGGCTAAGTAGGTCTGCAATTTGAGATTAGGTTAAAACCTTCCAGATCTGCATATTATGCAACATTTACTGTTAAGCCAACTTGAATATTTTTGGTTTCTAATAGATTTTGCACAGCTCCCATGAGACAGACGTATGTCACACACTCTTGTACCAGGTGTGAAAAAGTTGTCATAGTAAGAGCACTATTACTGCTAAAATGAGATGTTGTGATTCTGGTGTTTAGAAGGGCCCTTAGTTGGTTTGCATATCTTATAGATTACGATCCACATCACTAGTGATTTTTTTTATTTTTATATTTTTTTTTTAGATTTTATGCATAATTTTATTATAAGGAGGGGGAAAAAAATGAAAGGCTTAGAAATTAATTCCATTGAATAATATGACATACACATACGATCTTTGAGTAGTTCTATATTTAGTATTCCAAAAGCTAGCTTATTTGCTACACAGTTGTGGAGATTACTACTGTTTTAATTTTTCAGATCTCTTGATTTGATCAGTTCTCTAATTTAGGCCAGTCTACAGGTACCTGTTGGGAACAAATTGCCCATTTAATAGTTTGACAATGCTTATCTTCTGCAAAGCATTGTTTGATCCCTACCTGTTTTTAGCTCTTTTGTAGCAGATCCTGTATTTCAAATTGCACAATAGGAAACCACCCAAACAATTTACTTTATATATGCCTTTAAAGAATAGTTGGGTTTTTTTTGTTGTTTTTTCGTTATTACCCTCTTTTTACCTTCCTGTCTCAACCTGCAATGTTTTTATTTTTGTTCTAATGCTGAACCTGTTGGCTTGACTTCTGGGAGTTGTAGTTTAGTAGTATGCTTCCCACAGTAGAAAGATGAGAAGTAAGCTATAATTTCCATAAGCTTGAGCTGTGCCCATAAAGTTTTACATGTAGGGTAATTTCGGCAGTGCTGTTGAAAGTTAAAGAGTACCTGTCATGCTTATTTTAACTTATGGTATTTTTGTTAGAGCATACAATTCTACCTATACATTTTGCTAGCAAATGCACAGATTGGTAGAAAAACCTTTTTAAAATAGGTCTTTCTCCCACCTGTCCGTCAGCTATTTGGCATAGGCTCTATGCCAACATATTGACTGACAGACGAGCGCAGAAAAGACATCCCACAGGCTGTCCTACTGTTATCCACTCATGGCAACCGTAGTACATGTGCTGTGGTTGCCATGGTTACTCCATAGCAATGTTAATGTAGAGCAGGGGTATACAAAAACGTTTCTTAAATAGTGCACACATGACAGTCTTCCGTTGTCTAAACAAGTTAATAGGAACACTCCAGGCCCTGGTGTAGTGGTTATGTTTAGTGTGTCATGTGTGCCGTGGTGCTCTCTCATGGTAATTAGTTTTAGTACAGTTTGACAACATACCTGGGTCCCGCCAGGACGGAATAAGTCTTCTACTGCATGAAAATCAAAGTTTCTCTATACAACAAAGCATGGCCACGCAGGGCTGGTTTCATTGAGAGTGTAGCAATGCAGGGCTCAATCAGTGAGCAAATTCCTGCATAAGCCTTACTTTGTTATAGAGACCAATTGCAGGAGAAAGCTGGATGCTGTAAGGCTGTTTGGCAGGTTCCAAGTAAATTGCCAATCCATACAAAAATGTTATGTCCCATACTACCACTGGTCAGTTCCAAGTCATTCCTGGCACCATAACCACTTCAGATGTATGTAGTGGTTATGGTGCTAAGTGTTTTATTATTAGAGTATCAATGATCAATATCCTGTTTCATGGTCTTTAAAAATTAGTTTGACTTGTATATGTGTGTGTGTGTTTACAGCATTGACGTGTATAAAAGAACACCCTTGTAAGGATTTTGAAGACCTCATAAACCAACTCTTTTTATATATTTGTTTTATTCGTATGTTATAATATTGAATTTTGTACCACAGTAGATGGTACAGCTTTTCAAGAGCCATAAGACATACCCAAGTAACTAACATACAGCTGGCAAATGTACAATACTGTGCCTTCATTCATGTGCACAATTGAGTTGTTTCAAGCTGTGGTCAGATAATTTTATAAAATGACCTCTGGGTGACAAATGGGTAAATAATGATTTTTGTTCGATAACAGGGAAGACAGTCTATTGGATGATCACCTATGCCTGAAGTTTTGCAATTAATCAATAAAGCAAAACATTCACTTGACAATTTTTATGTATTTACTTACAAACTAACAGCTAAATTAAAAGAAACAGATTGTGTTTGGAAAAAAATATAATTTGTTTTTACCTTTTAATTCAAAATACGTCTCTCCCTGTCTTGTAGACTTCTTCAAAGGGACACTATAGGTGCCCAGACCACTTCAGCTCATTGAAGTGGTCTGAATGCAGTGTCCCTGTTGCCCTTAGTCCAGCAATGTAAGCCATGTTACATTGCAGGGCTAAGGCAGCCTCCAGTGGCTGTCAATCAGAGAGTCACTAGAGGTGCTTCTTGAATCTTATCTGACTCTAAATCCCTTAACTGATGATGCTCTGCATAAGGACATCCAGTGTGGGTAAAATCCCCATAGGAAAACATAACATCTTTGTATTCCTAACACTATAGAATCCCTTTAACCTAACGTCCACAATTCTGTGCATGTTTGGCACTATGGAAGGAATGCAAGAGCATATATGCCCTTAAATGGCCCAGAGCATTGCGAGGACATGATGTTGCCTGAATGAGTAAGTACTGAGGAGATGAGGTTTATTTTTTTTTTTTAAACTTACATATGCTGCGCTAAGTACACCAAGTAAAAGCTTCAAAAGTGTTAACTGGTGAGGGTGTAAACATCACTTCCAGTACTTTAAAATACTTTTCCTGGTTATACAGGGCTGCTTTACTCTTGGGTAGCTTCTCCATCTCAGCTGAATTGGACAGGAAAACAACAGACGTAATATAGAAGGAACCCCAAAAATTGCACCATTCATTTTTCCTGTTCTCTCAGCAGATCATGGCCAGAAATAGTTAAGGTTTTTGTATTCTTTATTTATTTATTTATTTTTACTCAAAAATCCTAAATGTTGTTGCAGTAACTTAAGATTAAGTTTATTATTAGCATAATTTCAAAGAAAGCAAAACTGAACACTGAATAAGTAATTACGATGGTTGACAACAACTGCACATGCAATCTTATATTATGAGAATAATCCAGTAAAAAATATTCAAGAAAACTGTACAAAATGTTTTGAGTGCTGTCCAGAATAGGAGTGTTGCTCAACCAAATAGAAGTCTCTGATTCTTTTCAGTGGAGCCTGATTATATGCTATACAAACCTGCCCAGCAGACACAGCCTATCATTGTTGCCCAGATGTGCATGTATAATGCATAAGTTTCACTTTAAGAGGCATCAAAACCACTACAGCCCATTGTAGTGATTATGGTACCAGTAGTACCATTGCCTGTTCTCTGGTAATGGGGCAGGACAGTTACTAATGGTGTCCACTGGACTTTTGCAGAGCTGCAGAAGCCAAAAGCTGATCCAGTCACCATTTATAGACTGAGAGCGTCAGCTGACCGCTCTCGGCCAAGGAATGGCACAATATGCATGAAAATACTGAAGTGGTCACGGTGCTTGGAGTAATTCTTTAAGTACAGTTGGTGCACATGAACTCATTGAAAGTCGATATATTATTTATGCCATACATTTATTGGTAATTTGGTAGTACCATATGTACTGCAGAGTATAGGTTTTTACTAAATTATCACATGTACAACTGAGACATTTAAAGAGTTGCATTTTTGAACCAATAGATATATGCTAAAGTGTCTGCAAATAATACCTGCCCACCACTAAGCAAAACTACTTGTATTCAGAAGTATTTCTTGATGTCTACCATTGCTAGGACTGAATATAAATATTTTGTGATACAAAGCCAATCTATTAAAGGGGCATACATCACTTTGAGACAGTGGTCTCACTCAAAAGCTTTTAGCTTTGAATTAAAGGATCACTATAGTGTCAGGAAAACAAACCCGTTTTCCTGACACTCTAGTGCCCTAAGGGTGCTCCCACCCCTGAGGGGCCCCATCCCTTGGCGCTGAAGGGGTTGAAACCCCTTCAGATACTTGCCATAATCCATACTCTGGCTTCCTTGGCGCTGGTGACCTCTCCGCCCCTGCCTACGTCAGCTCCCAAGTGGAGCAGAATGCACATGCGTGGCAAGTGCTGCGCGTGCATTAAAACAATCCATAGGAAAGCATTTCTTAATGCTTTCCTATGGATGTTCTGCACCAGCGTTGCAGAAGCGCCTTTAGCGGCTGTCCGGAAGACAGCCACTAGAGGTGTGATTAACCCTGCTATGTAAACATAGCAGTTTCATAGAAACTGCTATGTTTACATCTGAAGGGTTAAAACCTGAGGGACCTGGCACCCAGACCACTTCATTGAGCTGAAGTGGTCTGGGTGACTATAGTGTCCCTTTAAACAGTTGCCTAACTTTGCAGGCTGATAAAAAGCAGGTAAATTATTGATTTTCATATGCACCTGCTTCTTCTTTCTTATGCTTTCCACACCCACGCCCGGGGGGACACTGATCTAACCAATCAATGTCCTATCCCTTAAGATGCTGGAAATGTGCATTGGGCAATGCCTGACATATTTACACATCTATAAGGGGTGGAATGCGGAAAAATCTCTCCTAGTCGAGGGCATGCTTAACAATGCAATTTTGACCAAGTTTATAGTAAGTTAATAAATTCATTACGAGTTTTCCAATTTTTGCTTGCTTTATTTTTGTTTGTATATTTGCTTAAAAGTGTTTGCTTGCTGGTTTAAAACAAAATATGATCAAGTGATGCATGTTGCTTTTAATTACCTGAACTGTTAATACTTATGATGGTCACTGATATTGTGGATAGGTGTGTGGGTATTTGCCAATATTGAAATTTGCAAAGAGTGAACGATCAAGGCATGTTGAATAATATAGGGTGTAACTAAGGGCACAGATCCTCTTTGGTGTTTTCGTAAACGTGCAGGAGGAATATGTTGGCCAAGGAGAATAACAAATACTGCCCAGGTTACACCCTTTAATATCGCAAGGAACCGGTTTAATCATAGCTAGCAAATCAATTTCCCAGTTTTTTTTCTTCTGTTTGGACGATTAATGTATCAGTGACTGTTACTATAAAAAGTGGTCAAAATTACCACCTGTTTTTTATTTTAATACATTATATAAGGTGTGTGTGTGTGTGTGTGTGTGTGTGTGTACATACATACATGCAGTTAAAAGATCTAGGAAGCCAAGAGACGAACCCATGAAGAGGGGCACTATTCATTAGAATCTTATTCAGGGACATTTTTTAGTTTTAATGTATGATATTTCTGGACTACTGACTTCATTTGATGACAAATACAATGAGGAATCAGAGTGGTGGTAAACTATGATTTGCTCCACAGATAGTTGGAATAACTAATTTCTTCTTCTTCTTTTTTTTATTTTTTTTTTACTGCTGTCTTGATCCTTAAATTGGCATTTATAGTCGTCTTTGGGTACTATGCTTTAATGTTTGTATATCCGTTTTTGGTTTGACAAAAATCCGGGATCTCTTTCTAGCTTAAGGCGACAGTGTAGGCACCCAGGCCAGTTTATCTCATTTAAGTGGTCCGAGTGCAGTGCTGCTGTCTGTTTGAAACCTTCCGCTGCCGTCTTCTTCCAGCTGGTCCTCTTTAGCTCCGGGATGGGTGGACTGACACTTCTAGACAGCGGTAACTCTGCCCAGTGTCTAGAAGTGTAAGGCGGAGAAGAAATACTGAGATAAAGTAGCACCTACATTGTCTCAGTATTTCTCTTGAATGGGTTTGAATTTCAGTGAAATTCCAACAGTCAATTTGAGAATTTTATCAAGATTCTATCTTTATCAAATACCAATTTGTTAGAGTGCTGCTTTAAAGGGACACTATAGTCACCTTAACAACTTTAGCTTAATGAAGCAGTTTTGGTGTATAGAAAATGCCCCTGCAGCCTCATTGCTCAATCCTCTGCCATTTAGGAGTTAAATCCCTTTGTTTATGAAACCTAGTCACACCTCCCTGCATGTGACTTGCACAGCCTTCCATAAACACTTCCTGTAAACAGAGCATTATTTAGGCTTTCTTTATTGCAAGTTCTGTTTAATTAAGATTTTCTTATCCCCTGCTATGTTAATAGCTTGCTAGACCCTGCAAGAGCCTCCTGTATGTGATTAAAATTCAATTTAGAGAATTATTTAAGGTAAATTACATCGGTTTGAAAGTTAAACCAGTTTTTTTTTTTCATGCAGGCTCTGTCAATCATAGCCAGGGGAGGTGTGGCTAGGGCTGCATAAACAGAAACAAAGTGATTTAACTCCTAAATGACAGTGAATGGAGCAGTGAAATTGCAGGGGAATGATCTATACACTAAAACTGCTTTATTTAGCTAAAGTAATTTAAGTGACTATAGTGTTCCTTTAACTCCACCTCTAGTGGCTGTCTTCCAGACAACCACTAGAGGCCCTTCCAGGTCCCTAACAGAGTTTTACTCTGCTATCCGATGTTAGACGTCCTCACGCTTTGCATGAGGATGTATAACATCTTCTATGTAACCCAAACATTGATTCAGTGCTTTCCAATGGAGAAGTTTTAATGCAGTACATTAGGTCTCACCATTGCCATGACATCACAGATGGAGGAGACCTAACCAGTGCCAAGGGAGCCTCTGTGCTGGGGAAAAAAGGTAAATATTTATGTATTTTAAAAAAACAAACACTTTTTATGGCGAGCAGGGGTGGATGTCATATAAACTTAGTGACAGGACACTATAGTGTTATGAAAATTGGTTTATATTCCTAATGCTATAGTGTTCCTTTAAGCAGAACCGCTCTACTCGGTCTTCACTTTTACATGAACTGCTCATATCCATCCAACCTTGAGTGGCAGTCAGTGATAGGTGAACCTCCTTTGTGATGGCAGCGTGTCATTGGCGTTTACATTTGAACGGAAATGAAAGTAAAATTTCTGCATTAGCTGACCTCTCCAGCAGAGAAGCCAATGCTATGGGTGCTGGCAGCTCCTCTATTGGCTATTTGTCTTGCTGTCCCTTTTAAATTTTGACACCTGCAATCTCATCTTTCTTATAGTTGTAGATGTGATTTATTTTCCAGTACACAGCTTTGCAATGCAATGCAATACAATACAAAACATTTCAATAATGAGGTATGCCAAAGTGTGTAAAAAAAAAAAAATCAAAAAAAAAATCAAAGCCAGTTGTCTGACCAATACTAACAAATTGTTTGAATATTTATTAATTTATAAAATATTTTACCAGGAGGCATACATTGAGATTTCTCTTGTTTTCTAGTATGTCGCACAAACACTGCATTGTTGCTATAGGGCAGGCATAGGCAATGTTTGGCACTCCAGATATATTGGACTACACCTCTCATGATGCTTTGCCAGCTTTATGGGTGTAAGAGCATTACGGGTGATGTAGTCCACATCTAGAGTGCTGAAGGTTGCCTTCCCCTGCTATAGGCTATAATATTATATAACTATATATACACATAACGCAGGGCTCGACAAATCCCAGGCGCCAGGTCGCCATGGCGACTAAAACTTTTGCGAGGGCGCCTGGGAGTTGTCAACGTTTTATCTAAAACACCTGGCTGGGCAAATAATGGAGCCGGCCGTCGACCTGCGGGAGCATGTAGGCGGCCGGCTAAGTGAGCGTTGTAGCCAGGCGGCCGGCTAAGTGAGCGTTGTAGCCAGGCGGCCGGCTAAGTGAGCGTTGTAGCCAGGCGGCCGGCTAAGTGAGCGTTGCAGCCGGCCGCCCTGAACTCCATGGAGGCGGCTGGCTCAGTGGAGCATCAAGGCGGTCGGCCGGGGCAGTGTGCGAGGGAGCAGTGATCTTCCTGCGGCTCCTCTCTGCTCCCTTGCGCTGTGTAATGATGCCGGGAGGCGGAATATGACGTCATTCCTGCCCCGGCATCACAGGGTGCCGAGAGGAGCTGCATGGTAGATTACTGCTCCCTCTCACACAGGAAGAGAGAGCACCCCCACTAGACCCCAGGGAACGTCCACTCAGCTCTCCCAAAGGTAGGGAAGCTGGGTGGATAAAAAAATAAAAAATAAAAAAATGTAAATTTGTGTTTGAGAAAGTGTATGAGTGTGTGTGCGTGCGTGTGCATGCCCCTGTCAATGTGTGTGTGTGTGTGTGCATGCCCCTGTCAGTGTGTGTGTGTGTGTGTGCATGCCCCTGTCAGTGTGTGTGTGTGTGTGCATGCCCCTGTCAGTGTGTGTGCGCATGCCCCTGTCAGTGTGTGTGCGCATGCCCCTGTCAGTGTGTGTGCGCATGCCCCTGTCAGTGTGTGTGCGTGCATGCCCCTGTGTGTGTGCGCGCATGCCCCTGTTCTTGTGGCGCGCCTTCCTGTGTCTTGTGGCGCGTACTGGCCTCTGATAGCAGCGCGTACCCCTGTGTCTGTGGCATGCCCTGTAGCATGCCTGTGTCTTGTAGCATGCCCCTGGCTCAATGTGGCATGCCCTGTGTCTTGTGTATGCCCTGTGTCTTGTGGCGCATGCCTGTGTCTTGTAGCGCGTACTATTTGTGTGTGTGTGTGTGTGTCGCATGCCCCTGTGTGTGTGTGTCTGTGTGTGTGTCTTGGCGCATGCCTGTGTGTGTGTGTCTTGGCGCGTACCCTGTCAGTGTCTTGTATGCCCCTGTCAGTGTGTCTTGGCATGCCCTAATCAGTGTGTCTTGGCATATACCCCTATCAGTGTGTCTTGGCGCATGCCTATCAGTGTGTCGCGCATACCCCTGTCAGTGTGTCTTGGCGCATACCTATCAGTGTATGCTTGTAGCGCATGCCCCCCTGTCAGTGTGTCTTGTAGCATGCCTGTGTGTGTGTGTCTTGTAGCGCATACCCTAATGTGTGTGTCTTGTAGCGCATACTGTGTGTGTGTCTTGTAGCATACTAATATTAATGTGTGTCGCAGCGCATACCTAATAATAATGTGTATGTGTGCATGCCTAATATTAATGTGTGTGTCTGTATACTATGTGTGTGTGTCATAGCGCATGCCTATAATAATGTCTGCCGCATACCCTAATGTGTGTCATAATACTAATAATGTGTGTGTCATAGCGCATACCCTATATATGTGTAATAATGTAGCGCATACTATGTGTGTGTCTTGTACATGCCTAATAGCTTTTAATAATGTCTTGCATACCTAATATGTGTGTGTGTCTTGCTTGGCATTACCCTATGTGTGTGTGTGTCTTGTAGCGTACCTATGTGTGTGTGTGTCTGCTTGCTTGTGCCTATGTGTGTGTGTCTTGCTTAGCATTACCCCTATGTCTTGTAGCGTACCCCTATGTGTGTGTGTATGTACTTGATACCCTAATAATATGTGTGTATGCCTTAGCACATGCCTATGTGTGTGTGTGTCTTGTGCCTATGTGTGTGTATGTAGCATTACCCTATGTATGTATGTGTGTCTGCTTGCTTGTGCCTATGTGTGTAATGTATGCCTTGCGTACCCTGTGTATGTGTGTGTATGTAGCATTACCCTATGTGTGTATGCCTTGCTTGTGCCTATGTGTGTGTGTATGCCTTGCGTGCCTATGTGTGTGTGTATGTATGTGTGCCTATGTGTATGTATGCAGCATGCACCCATGTGTGTATTATGTAATACTTAGCGTGCCTGTGTGTGTGTGTGTAGCGTGCCCTGTAATGTGTGTGGTAATGCTTGTAGCGTGCCCGCAATATTATTGTGTGTAGCGTGCCCTGTGTGTGTGTGCAGCGCGCGTGCCCACCATAATATTGTATGTCTTGTAGCGTGCCCTGTATTATTATGTGTGTATGCGTGCCTATATTAATGTGGCAGCGTGTGCCCTGTAATAATAATGTAGCAGCGTGCCTGTGTGTGTCTTGTAGCGTGCCCTAACGTCTTGTAGCGTACTTGTCAGTGCTGTAGCGTGCCCTATCGAATGTAGCGTACCCCTATCCGAATCTTGCCCAGCAGCGTACCCCTGTCAGTGTAGCGCCTTATCTGTCTTGCCTTGTATATATCTAATGTAGCGCGCCCTGTCTGTCTTGTAGCATCCCTGTCTATCTTGTAGCGCGCAATATGCCCTGTTAGTTAGTGTGTCTGTTTAGGTACCTGAGATCACGATTGATGTTTTAACTCACTCTTTTTTTACCCACGCTGTGCAGGTTTTGACGTGGCTTTTCCCGCCTCCATTGCTGAGTTCATAAATCTTTTTGATCTCAGCTAAGCCAATGCTTTCCCATAGGAAAGCATTGGGAGAATATTGCGCATGTTCTGTATGGGTAACATTTAGCGCCTCCATGCAGAGCACTGACACAGTACTCTCTAGTGGCCGTCTGAGTGACAGCCACTAGAGGTCTTAGAAGGCAGGAATGTAAACACTGCCTTTTCTCTGAAAATGCAGCGTTTACATTGAAAAGGCTACAGGGATAGGCTATACGCACCAGAACCACTACATTAAAAAAAACAAAAAAAAAACTGGCTCCTAGATTCCAAACAAAATTGTCAAGCCCTGACATAATGATTAATAAATATAGTCAACTATGACAGGTGCATTCTGTATATAACATATTTATTAGTCACCAGCACCTAGAAGATTGTTGTGCAAGAACACACTGCACCTTTCTTTTAACTAGGGTAAACTTGAATGTCTAATGATGGATTCTGTAGCCTGACCAGAACAGGTCAAATACCTTCAACGCCTCTATTCTGGGCTGTGTTTTTGCCCTTGCTAGGAGATTGTTTGATTTTCAGAGCCTGCTGCTGACATTGTAGGATTCAGTTAATTTATTTTGTTCATCCTGTCATGTTCTTAGTAAAAGGTGAAAGACTGCCCTTGGACTGTAAAAAATAACAATGGAGGGAAAATCAACTCAAAAAATGGTCCAATTTTTCCAGGTTTAAATTTTATTTTCTTTCACAAACATGTTTAGACTTTTTGTTTTGTTTTTTGGTAAATGGATAAAATCTCAAAACCTATGTTAAAAATTTAAATGTGAAACAATTTTAATCAAAAAAGCCGCTGCCAACTCAATAGCAAACTCCAAAGCTACAACCACATATGTCTTGTAAAATCAGTCAACAAAAGAAAGAACCAGCAAAGTCTAAAATAGTCCACGTTAAGTACATCTAAAAGAGCCAAGTGAAAAAGGCATCATGGTGTAATAGTGAAATCTGCTCAAGTCAAAATACAATCTTTAAAAATGTAAAAAAATCACACCCGTTTGGGCTATGAAAGCATTCTGGCCTATTGATGGTCATGGGCAAAAAAAAATATATATATTAATCATCTGTAGTGTAGTGCTGTACAATGCTGGCATACCAACAATACCTAATAAACAGACCACTTCCATGGGTGTTTGAGACCGTAACACCCCTTATGTTTTGCTTGAAATCATTGGGACACACAGTGATTTCTGTGTTAATTTGGCAATCCTGAATTTGTTGAAGTGGTTCTTTCACATTCTGGGATCTTTGCATTATTTGCAATATTTGGGGACTTTGCTTCTTGGTGTCTGGTAGCCTACCTTACAACCTCCTCCATCTGCATTTATTAGATCCTTCACATTGCTTTGCACTTGCTCGAGATTACATCACTGAAGTCTATGGAGAATCTGTGAGACAGCGGAGACTCCATAGATGTTCATCGAGACAATGCCTTATTACAACCAAAACTTGGCAAAGGTAGCTCCACTTTTTGTCAAGTTTTGTCAAGCATAAAAAAAAAATACATGCGTTTTAGGAGAAATAGGCTGAAAAAGAATAGATTAGGAATAAGGAAGAGAAAATGAACAGATTGAACAGATTGTGGCAGAACTGTTTTAAGAAGGACTTGTTAAGAGGGACTCCGCAGTTTGAATGCTGGAGAAATCCTCCAGTTTTTGTCAAAGCACTTGGAAATGGTTTGAATGACACCTGAAACTAGAAGTCTGTCTATCTAGTAAAAGGGTTCTTCTCTGATGTAATATAAGAGAAACGCAGGGTTATTTACTAATCATTAAAATAATGCATTTCATTTATAATTCTATTCACAATATAAAACACAAATTTAAAAATGTTATTGATTTTTCTATTACCAGTAACAGGATATTCTGTATAGCATTACATGACTTTCCAGTTTTAATGTGTGTCTTTCCTATTGATTAAGTCACCATTAAATGTTTCAATGCAAATCTTCAAGAAGTTGCCCTGAAGCAGATCATGTAACAGTTTGGAGTAAAGCCTAGTTAATATGTGGTTTTGTATATCTGTGGAACCAAACAGTATCTCAGTACTGCCTCTTGAATTTGTTGCATTGATTTTTATAAAATTGATAAGAATGGTAAGCTGCTTTCACATTGTAGCACACATACCCGTAGGTCACGCAGATTTAAAACCAATAAACTACACAAGTGTGAAGGAGTCTCCAAACATGGTGTTCTCCATTCACAATGGAGTACAGACTATTGTTTGCTAGTAAGGAGACAACTGGCTATTTGGATTTATTTATTTCCTCCAATCTGGGTATCATTTGTATTAAGCAACACTCAGAATATATCATAGCCCTATTACTAACCATTAGCAAGTGTTAGTCTACTCCTCCCCAATGGCTGCATTTAGAAAGCAGGAATATTGCGTATATTTCCCTAGTGCACACCTCTCCCTACTTCCTCATGGCTCACTGGGACTGTAATGATACCAGAGACAGCGTTCTCACATATTCTATGACCTATATAATACTTCTCGCTCAAGCCACTTGATTGTGATATATGGGCAGTGGAAAATAGGCACACCACTCCTAATACATTTCCTTAAGAAATAGGAAGTCAGGCTCCTGTTCAACAACAAAATAAGCAATTGAAGGGGGCCTGGAGAGCATGTTAGGTCTGCTTGTGGTATTTTTAGTGGTTTCATAAAGTAATGTTGCTGCTATCGCTGTCTGCTCCTTACAAGGAGTGAAGGTAAAACTGGTCTGTTCCCCTGTAGTGAAGAGCATTGCGCCCTTTGTCATGCAATGGAAAACTACTCAGGAGTATAGTAACCACGACACAGTAACCCAGGATAAATGAAAATGAGCTACAATTTATAGCCACAAGCCCTATAAACCCTTGATGAATTAATACATTTTGACTGGCTACAGGACATTGTTTGGGTGTTGTGTTGGCTAATATCATGTGTTATAAGTGTTTGTGAATACACCTTAATTGATTATCAGCAAGTATAATTACTAAGCATCGTAAGTAGTTTTGTTTAAAATACATCCTACAGGGCCAATTTTATGTTTACTAAATTTACTTGGTGGCAACCTTGGTGCCCTGGTAATCCACCGATAGTTGGCTAAGAGAGGACAAAGTGGGGTTTTCCTTCATCCAAGTGTTTATCTACATTGGTCACTAAACATGGATGAGTTGCAAATGATCTTCTATAGCTGAAATAAAGCAGTGAATAATATGAGATTCCACATGGTTTCATTCAAACTAGCCATCATCACTAATTATGATAGCATTTTCATGGTGCTCATTTGGTAAACATGGCTCCCAAATAGTCCATATACACTTTAGAAACATTGAGAACTGCATGTTCAGAAAATGTTGCAATGAAAGGAACACTTTAAGTAGCATAGTCTGTAATGCGTGCTGGCTTATGGTACAAGGAGTGCCCTGGCACACCCTCCCATTGTAAGTATTAAGTCCATTCTAGAATAGTTTGGCTTCTTCTTCCCTGTCTACACTACAGGACTGCTGGAAATTCTGTCTAAGCTAAGCACCAATGGTACAGGGCTTAGCTCATTGGCTGACACTGGCAGGGCATAGCTCAGGTGCTTCTGGCTATCTTTAGTGGTGGTAAGGAGCGACATCTGGCATTCTCCATGTAAGACATCAAGCAATTCTAAAACAATTTGACTTCTTACAATTGGGGGTATGTCAAACACCATAACCATTGCTGATTATTGTACTGGTTGGGATGCTTGGAGTGTTCCTTTAAGTGCGTTGAAGAGAAGGGTGTGTGTGTGTGCACGTCTGTGTAAAATATATATAAAAAAAATTATAAATTTTTTTTTTTTGTGTTTTCAAGTGTTATATATGCTGCAGTGTAATCTTGTTCATCTTCTGAAATGTTTGTTACACAGTATTTTTGTTTTGTACATACAAAATGGTTAGCCTGGTGTGAACTTCCAATTCCAACAATATGGTACATTTTGTGTATCTAATTGGCAAAGATTTCTAGATGTCCACTAGTAAATTACCCTATTTTGCTCTACTTGACCTGTGTCTGAGAAGAATTTCCTTCTCGGTTATTTTTAGTTTTGGCAATAGTCTTGCCATGCTCTTTATTTTTAAGTTTCATTGCTTAGGTCATATTTGAGAGCTCCTTATTTAGTTGCTCTTGACACTTTTTGGCTGGTCCTGCTTTGGTTACTGTTAGTCAATTTAATACCTGCAGTCCTGATTATTATATCAATTTTCATATGTAATCCTTTCATGCTTGTTTACTTAGTGCAAAGCCATTGTGTCCAGTGGCAAGAGGCAGCAAGGAGATGGTTGGAGGAAGTTCTAAACACAGCTACATCCATGCTCACTCTAATGATATTGTACAGTGCTGAATTGACAGCCCTCGGGAGCTGTGTTTAGAACCTCCTGAAGCACACAGCCTCTACTAATTGGATGATGATGTGGGCTTATGCGTTCAGCCTAATCTGTTAGCATGTAAAAAGTCAAAGTAACCTTTATGTGGCTGTTTTTTTGTTTTTTTTGTTTTTTTTTATTCATTTGGTAAGCACTTAAAATAATATTATAGAAATGTATTCTGTAAAAATATTTTAAAGGGACACTATAGTCCCCAGAACAACTACAGCTTATTGAATTTGTTCTGGTGAGTAGAATCATTACCTTCATGATTTTTTCAGAGAAAATGCAGTGTTTTCATTACAGCCTAGTGATAACTTCACTGGCCACTCCTCAGATGGCTGTTAGAGATCCTTTCTGGGTCATGGCTGCCAAAAATGCATCCAAACATTCAGTGTCTCCTCCCTCTGCATGCAGACACTGAACTTTCCTCATAGATATTCATTGATTCAATTCATCTCTATGAGGAGATGCTGATTTGGCCAGGGCTGTGTTTTAATTGTGCTGGCTCTGCCCCTGATCTGCTTCTTTGTCAGTCTCAGCCAATCTTATGGAGAAGCATTGTGATTGGATCAGGCCACCACTTCTGATGTCAGCAGACAGCTTGTTATTCTGAGGCAAACAGCATGCAGAGTTACAGCTTCAGGTTTGAATACAAGTAAGATTTTGCTATATTTAGGGAGGCATGAGGGGCCCAGGGGGGGCTAGATGGTGGTTTTAACACTATAGGGTCAGGAATAAATGTTTGTGTTCCTGACCTTATAGTGTTCCTTTTTAAGCATAGTGGCCTTCTACCTCTACTTTCCAAAACCCCGTGAGACAAAAACAGGCCGTTTTCAACTCCTACACATCTGACACAATGAATTAAAAGTATCTGTCAGATGTTACATTTGCAGAATCTAGTAGCCAATGAAAACTGTACCATTTATGGTTTCTGAAATACTAATCCATTTCTGTTTATTTTTTCTTCTTATAAATGCATGATCCTTCAGAGCTGTTTAATAGGCTTATGGTAGAATGTGTTACTATTGTGGTTGATGTAAGCTTTGCCACTATTCCCATTGGTATTTCGTCATGTATTAACATTTTATAATTTTGGTGAAGAAAAAAGTGATTATTATAAGTGGTGTGTGCATCCATAAATAAAGTAATCTTCTGCAAAGCCTAGCATCCATTACGAATATAAATGTTCTCTACATCTATGCATTTGGCTCATTAATGTAGATGTGTCCTCAGGAAATAATGATAACTTATGGCTGCCACACATTATTCACTCCAGAATACACCTCAATAATATTGGATTAAAAGAGAAACCTTAACAAAAAAGCTGGCATATTTGAACGGAGACAGTCTAAGCACCAACATTACTTAAAGGAAGACTTTAGCGTTGGGACCGACACGTACTCCTATAGTGTTATTTTAGATTCAGCCTGATAATAATAATAATAATAACCCACAAATATTGGGTATAAGGTACACTCACAGGTCTTGATGAGAAGATTCTTTTATTTTATTTTAAAACAACGTTTTTTGATTGACGTTTCAACCCTCATAGAGTCTTTTGCAAGATCAATTTTGCAGTGTGTGTGTGTGTGTGTGTGTGTGTGTGTGTGTGTATGTATGTATATATATATATATATAATGTGTGTGTATATGAAAAATATTAATGACTTACCAAATCAGTGCGTGCCGAAAACCCGGAAGTGCTCAATAGAACCACGTGACAAACGTGATGACGTGCAAATAGACGGCATTGCTAGGCAACACGTATAGAAATAGCGTGCAATCATCTCCATGTGACCGGCTGTACATGAAGTGTGAAAATAGGTGTAAGAGTGGATTAAACACAAAGTGAAACAATATGTGATGTACTAAATAACATATAAAATATATTATATATGGAGGATGATATTCAAGTGGGTAATATAACGAATAACCACATAAGAGGATGTAGACTATAGATGTGGTGAAAAAAGTGGAGTAAAGTGAGTGAAATAAAAGTAGTGATAGTGTGAACACACAAAGTGATAACTTGAAAAATAAATACATCTAAAAGTAAACTCCTATAAGTGGTATGCTGAATAAATCTGTGCCATAATCATGAAACATCAATGTGTACATGCAGCCAGATGGATAATAGGCATAACTCATAGCATGTACCACCTAAAAATAAATTGTATACTAAATAATACAACATTAAGGTATAATACTCTAAATCAGATAGCAGATAAATCACAGTAAGAGGGGTAAATCTGACATACACAAACTTAATCTGCAACCTGAGGGATCTGTCTCATTTAACCTCTTAAGGACACATGACATGTGTGACATGTGATGATTCCCTTTTATTCCAGAAGTTTGGTCCTTAAGGGGTTAAAGGCGACAACCCTACAAATTGGACATAGGTATTAGACTAATAATGTCAATGAACTAAATGGTATATATGTAATCCAATATTGGATAAACTAGAGAAATATGCATAAGAATAAAAAATGAAACTAGGGGCTCTAAAGAGCGATAATTGTATAAACAACTGAATATCCAGTGTCAAATGACAATAATTTAAATGTAGCACAGGAGAAGACATATTTACAGGAACATAGAATAGATGTTATACTCATTAAGTCCTTTAGGTGTTACCGTATCCACTTTAAAGATCCAACATGCTTCCCTTTGAAGCAATATTCTAGACCTGTCACCCCCACGGGGTAAAGGGGGGACATGGTCTATTGCTATAAACCTCAATGTGGGAAGTCTATGAGAGGTGGCTAGATAATGTTTAGCCACTGGGTTGTCCATTTTTTGGTCCCTAAAGGCAGTCATAATGCCAGACCTGTGTCCTCGAATGCGATCCCGTAGGGTTAGGTCTGTCTTCCCTACGTACGACAGTCCACATGGGCATGTAATAAGATATATCACATGGTCTGTCATACATGTGATATGATGAGAAATCGGTATTCTTTTCCCATTGTGGGGATATACAAAAGAATTTCCAGAGTTCATATGTCCACAGGTGACGCATCCGCTGCATCTATAACATCCATTTTTCTTGTGCTGTATGCCTTTCTTGTAGCTCTGAGTGGGATCACTTCAAACTAAAATATCTCTCAAATTTTTGTTTCTTTTGTAACTAATAATAGTTTTTTTACTAAATATGAGGGATAGGTTCCAGCAGAACCTAATATATCCCAATGTTTTTCAATGGATTTGCGAATTTGTGTGGATCCCGTGTGATAAGTTAATGGTAAATATATATTTGGTGTATCAATATTTGGGTCACACTTTGCTTCGTTATTCTCCTGTGTCCATTTCTCGATCGCTCGGGTTTTGGCTTCTTCAAGAATCTTCAAATTGTATCCACTCTCCTGGAATCTATTGGTCATCTCGTTCAATTGACTTTATAATATAATAATAATATGAACACGGTGAGACAAGTGCGTTAGTAGGTGAATTTTTATATTATATATATATATATATATATATATATATATATATATATATATATATATATATATAATATAATATAATATAATATAAAAATTCACCTACTAACGCACTTGTCTCACCGTGTTCATCCTGCATCTACGCTGGCTGAGATAATCAATACTGATGATCTTAGCCAATCCAAAGCTTCCCGATGAGTAGCAACCTAGCATCTCCTCATAGAGATGCACCTCTCTAGAACATTCATTGCCTCCACGTGGAGCGTCCATGTCGAGTTACAGCCATCAGAGGTGGCATTGGACAGAAATGTAAACCGTCTTTTTTTTTTTTTTTTTAAAAATCTGTATTTAGACTGCTGAACCAGCAGCGATAGGCTCTTTGCCCCAGAACTACTGCATTAAACTGTAATGGTACTGGTGTCTGTATAACTCTTGTTAAAAAAGTGATTTTTGGGTATAGATGTTCCCCCTGTAGCACTGCAGATCAAAACATTGCTGTTTCTGAAAAATGACATGGTTTATATTTTGCACTTTATATGCCTCCAGTGGTTGTTTCACACACCTGCTAGGGGCTTCAGACTAAAATAGGTTCAATAATTGAATCTATTCAGTGCTCAGCATCAGCATAGAAAGAATGCTGGTGCTGAGTGTGTGTCCAGTGCTTTTCTATGAAGAAGTACTAGATCGGCTTGCGCTGTGTCCACACTGTGTGTCATTAAGCTTGATTACTTCATGGTAGGTAGATTAGGCTACAGTGAGGTGTCTATCTCAACTCTGTTCTTTTGTTGTTTTCTTTTAATTGGGGAACCCCTAAATATTAACAGATAAAGGGTTTTTATTGTATCATAATATACTATATATTTAAATGTCATTTAATAAGGACATTACCCTATAATTCCCATTGTCTTCTCCTGTACTTGAAGGAAAATAGAATCAAGATAATTGCAGTACAGACATTCCCTTGACTTCTTGCAAACCCTGTCTGTTATCCTCTTAAATGTTCTATATTCAGTAAGGGACTACAGTACTACTTATAGGCTCCAAAACAACAGTTTCCTTATCCTGGCTGCTAAGTACACAAACACTGCAGGAATTTGTATTTGGAAAGAAAATTCAAGGCTTGGGAAGTAAATAGGGATTTCTATTTTTACTTCTCGGTTTTTGTTTTGGAAAGCAATTTATAATTTGCTCCATGTGAATCAGTGTCCTGTTTGTCATAACGGAGAGATCTGCTACATGCGTAGCTAATCATAATTTATCACATTATGAATGTAAAAACCTCAGTTAAGTTGTTTAACCCCTTCCCTCTCAAACTCATGTATTTACTGACAATGTTATTTTACAGAAGTTACACCAGTGGTAGGAAACCTTTGGCACTCTAGGTGTTGTGAACTACATCTCCCATAATGCTCTTACAGCTGTAATGCTGGCAAAGCATCAAGGGACCCCCACTAAGGTACCCGTTTGTCCCTTTTTGGCTCAGAAGAATTGGAAATGTCATCATCTTTTACTATACAAGAGCCATTAAAGGACCACTATAGGCACCCGGACCACTTCAGCTTAATGAAGTGGTCTGGGTGCTTGGTCCAGCTAGGGTTAACCCTTTTTTTCTATAAACATAGCAGTTTCAGAGAAACTGCTATGTTTATAATAGAGTTAATCCAGCCTCTAGTGGCTGTCTCATTGATTTTCACAGTGAGAAGACGCCAGCGTCCATAGGAAAGCATTGTGAATGCTTTCCTATGAGACTGGCTGAATGCCTGCACGGCTCTTGCCGCGCATGCGCATTCAGCCGAGGAGGAGGAGAGTTCCCCGCCCGGCGCTGGAGAAAGAGGTAAGTTTAACCCCTTCCTCTCTATCCAGCCCGGCGGGAGGGGGACCCTGAGGGTGGGGGCACCCTCAGGGCACTATAGTGCCAGGAAAAAAAGTATGTTTTCCTGGAACTATAGTGGTCCTTTAAGGTTCAAAATACATTGGCTGCATTCTTGTTGCCAGTTAGTGCAAATTTCATTCCATCTAGGAGCAGTACAATGCATCTATCTAATATTACTTTTTCCCCGTCTGTTTATAACATTGTAGTATTTGGGTTAAAGTACATAACAAATGCATGATGAATGAAATCAAATTGAAGCAAAACTTAAAAAGAACACTCTGCACCATAACAACTTATTATAGTGCCAAGAGGTTCCTGGTGTTGGCTTATTTTAATCCATATAAACTGACAACAAAGGGTTTAATACCAAAGTTTTGAATCTAGCATCTGTTCTCTCTCCTTACAATTTTGTTTGAGACTTGAATCAGGAAGCCTTGGACAGGGACACTGCTGATTGACTGAGCGCATCAGCTGGTATTCTTAAAGGAGAACTATATAGCCAGTAACACAAACCTATATTTATGATGCTATCCTGTTAAAACCACCATCTAGCCCCCCTGACCCTCTCTTGCCTCCCTAAAAATAGTGAAATCTTAGTTGTATTCAAGCCTGAAGCTGGCTATGCCCCTGTCGGCCTCAGAATAGCAAGCTGTCTGCTGATATCATTACGTAATAAGGAGGGTTAGGCGCTCTCTATATAACCAGAAAATGTGAGGCAGCAGTGAACCAGCATCATTTCCCAATGCCTGCTTGTAGTGAACAGAAATGCAAAAATAGAAAAGGTGGTAAACCGCGCCAAAATAATGCTCAAAAGTAGAATAAATATATCATACATACATATTGATCTTGATTAATACAGCTTAGTAAAAAGACCTCAAGAGAAACACAAAAGGTACAAACAATAGTGCAATATGCTATAATTAGTATATACACGTGTGGAATTTTAGATAAAAGGCAAACTCACACTTTACAGAGCTGCTAAGAGCTCTGCTGTGTATCACCTGGACGGTACAATCCCCGTCTTAGGATATGTAGATGTTGATGGTATGGGATATCCAAACTCAGCCACCATATGTGGGGGAAAAAAACAAAATACAAACTCCAATGGTACAGTATGAAGCCCAAATTTGGAATAATAAAAGGTAAATTTCCTACTTACAGTTTCCAGAGCACTAACTTGCTCTGGTGGTAGTGGCTTGTGGTGGTATGATCCCCACCAAAGGATATGTGGATGTAGCAGGAATCCAACAGCACCAAAAAGGATGATAAAATCAATAAGATGGATTAAAAAAAAAATACACTTTATTGTTAAACAATATAAAAGCTAAGAATGCAGCTTCCAATCCTTCACTTGACGCGTTTCACCCAGGTTTGGGCTTTATCAAAAGTGTGGATGTGCTTTGTATTCCGCCTGACTTTTATAAGGGGTCTTGATGCTTTAATTTTCATCCGGTGTGGTATATGCAAATTGTAGAGATTCATTCTGTAATGGCACAATTGAGTAAAAACTATTTGGATACCTGAGCACAGGGGTTTCCTGAAGAGAAAGCTATTAAGTTTCTCTATGGTTCTGTCCATTCTTGGGGTCTTATTCTCTGTTTTTATGAAACACATTTTGTTTTTCATTTTTTTTATTTTATTTTTTTTACAGGTGGAGAGGGCTTTACTTCTGCTGTGGTATTGGAACACTGCATTTTATAGCAGTGATCAGATACTTCTATTTTCTTACTATCCTTTCGATCTTTGCCACTGGTCCCTCCTGTCATGCTGCGCTTTGTAACTGAGAATTGCTGAGATCAGTATATTTACCTGATCCCTTACTTATTCTCTGCCCTATCTTTATGTCCCAGATGCTCTCGCAAGTCTCACAGGCATTCTAGTTCCGTGGCAACCAGGTAGCAAGGAAGCTGCATGTACAGCCCAGACTTTGAGCAGAGAAGTAAATAATGCTAGAACCAGGCAAAGATACAGAACTTCTAGCCACCAGATGAATCTGCCTGCATGTCCCTCTAATCACATGGGGAATTTAATATAATCCATGGCCTCTTTTCACAAAACGTGAAAACTGCAGGAGTTTTATTGCAGTAACTGTTGTTGCATGTTTGAGAAATGGGTGTCTATCCTTGAGTTGCTCTCTTCTTTCTCTCTTTTTTGACATTTTTTTTCTTACTCTTTTCTCCTTTTGTATTATTTCTAACCTGTTTACCTCCCTATATACAATTACGCAACTTGTACAAAGGTTCTCTCAATTGTTAAAATTGTTTATATGATGCAATCTGATTGTTCGAAAAGCATTATTTTGTTTTATTGCTGTTATTTTTACAAAAGATTAGTCTGGAAGTGCTGCCATAAATAACGTGTGAGCAGACATATATAACCGTTTCTGAAAAGGTTGAATAAAGTTGTCCATCGGTTCTCCCTTCCTCCCAAAGCCAGGTACAGAGGTTATGCATGATACATTGGGATGCTTTCATGATGACCTACTGCCTGCTAAACAGAGAATCATTAGGTCTGCAATGTTCCAAACAAATCTCTACATCGTATATGGAATAATGAGCAGTATGAAAAAGGTAAAAATATTTAAGAGAAAAACAAACCCCACACATTTCCGAAGTACTAAATAGTTTACAGTTGACCCACCAAAAACAATAGCCCTACTCTCTGGAATCATGATATACCCAGAAAATCATGATGAAGAGTTTAGTGAGGACTCATGATGCGCACGGTGATCACTGGGGTAAATTATGGTTTATTGTTTTTTTCTGCAATATTTATATCATATTCTATTTATGCTAATTGCGATTAACTTTATAGACTTGACATGTTAATTTTTAAAAATGTTTTTTATATGGCATTCTGCTCTTTGTAAGTTATGACCAGTAACTACCAATACAGCTAAAAGTCATAGGCATTAGCGAGATATTCTCCATCTCATGATAAATTAAAGGAACACTATATAGTGCCCCAAACATGGGTCATTCAGACTCCAGGGCCCTGCTTTTGAACAAAAAAGATCTATTTTTTTCCCTCTGTAATCCAGTGATGAGGCAGCCTCTTGTCTGCAGCCCTTTGTGCCTTCGCGGGGTCATCAGGATTGATGACCATTTTGACCAATCAAATGCCAGGGACTAGTTTGTCTTATATGCAAGCCTGAGGATGACAAAAGTCAGAGCTCCGCTATCAACTTTTGGCAAATTTCAGCAGCCGCCACAAGTGGTGTTTGTGGGATTCAGGCATTGTCATTCCTCCATAGATCTCAGTGTTGTACTTTCACAGCAAATGGCGGTGGCTACGAGGGACAGCTTGAGGTCTATAAAACCTACCTTTCGCTGCATCCCACGGCCACTGGATTCATACTGGATCTGTCATTTTCGAGTCTCTTTGTGACTATGCAAAAGTGTCAGATCCACTTTAAAAAAAAGTTTTCATAGATGGCTTCAAGTGCTATAACTTACACAATAAACTTAATGTGGTTATTGGGATTTAAACACAATCAAAATTTTGGTTCAGTTCCGATATGTTTAAACTGACTTTTTTTTTTTTCCTCCCCTGCTCTTTTCATGCATTTTGTTTTCTATCATTGCTGAACCATTTTAGTAAATAACAACTGGCTGAGACCTTTTGTGGTTGTTTTTTTTACATTGTTTATTCTTCTTCAATGTTTTCAGGTAATAACTTCCTGAAATACTATTTCTACTCCATTTGATTTGCCTTACATAAATGTGCTTTCTTACAATTAATGGAACACTCCCATTATTTTTTTTAGTTGATATACCCTGCATGCATTGTTTTATGGGTCTATTCTTTAATGGGATATGAAAAACAAACAAACAAACCACTTTTCAAAAGTTGGAGACCTGCTGTGTGCACCCTTCTTTCACCAACACAGATTTTCAGTCAGTGCTCTGGAGTTGGCTAGTCAGAAGCTTCTTATTGAGAAGCCTCTGTACTGGAGCAGCAAGTTCCACAGAGTATGGCTTTCCAATGCTCCTCAATAAGCTGTAACATAGCTCATTGACACGGTGGGAAAACAGGCATGTGATTTTGCCACTTTCAACGTAAGCAGATAAAGACCTCTCTGGCTGCCTAACAGCCATGTAGGTGTTTCTGCCCTAAATATAAAAATGCAGATTTCTATTAAAATGTTATAAACTGTCACAAATATGACAGACTCCAGACCCATAAAGTGTATTAAAAGGACACTCCAGTGCAAGGAAAACAATCCATTTTCCTGACACTGCAGGTCCCCTCTTCCTCCCTCCTCCTTCCATCCCCGGTTGCTTGAAGGGGTGAAAATCCCTCCAGTCACTTACCTGAGACCCCCCACCGATGTCCTTCGGCGGTGGTTTCGGGTCGCTTCCTTACGTCAGCTGGTGGGTGAGACTGATCCCACCCGCTGGCCGGGGAGACCGAATGTGCATGCGTGGCAATGTCGCGCACGCGCATTAGAGCTCTCGATAGGAAAGCATTGAAAATGCTTTTCAGTGCTTTCCTATGGGGAATTGTGCAATGCTGGAGGTCCTCACACAGCATGAGGACGTCCAGCGACGCTCTAGAACAGGTTTTCTGTGCTATAAACCAGGAAGTGCCCTCTAGTGGCTGTCTAGTAGAGGAGTTAAAAAAAAATGCAATAATTACACTTACAGGGTTAAGGGTAGTGGGAGTTGGCACCCAGACCACTCCAATGGGCAGAAGTGGTCTGGGTGCCTGGTGTGCCCCTTTAAGTGCTTTACATGTCTGGAGTGTTCCTTTAAGAGTACTATTTTGAAAATTGCGATAATCCTTGTTTAAACATTTGAATCTAGCCAAATCAGCAAGTTCAGGGATTAACGGCTTTATATTAAAAATAAAATATAGTCTTGTCTCCCAGGCTGTGTAAGAAAACTCTGTAAGGCCAGATGCCTGAACACCTGCATGAAAGAGACTTTTCATTGGCCCTACATAAATATGCATGCTATTTTTACCAGCAATTTAAATTGTTGGCCTGTATGTATAAATTGATTTGGGGGAAAAGTTCTAAAAATGTAACAATCTGCCTCCTTCACATTTCAGTGGTTATAGCTGTACTTTTATTTACAACATTGCCCAAGAATAGCTCCTTAGATTTATGGCACTTTGCATCTTTTTGGAGGTAAACAGTTGAATTTGATGGATTTCTTATATATTTAGATATAGTGAGAAATATGCCTCTAAAGTAGAAATATTTTTAGTATTTATTGCTAACCTGGACTTCTGTGAACATCCTTAAGGTACATGGTTCCAACATTTCCAGTTTTCTGCTCAGAGAAATAGTCAGAATACTGGCCAACTTCTGAGTTTGGAAGGTTGGTAGTTTTTGGAATGGAAATTTCTTTTTTTTTTTTTTTTTAACCTCTCTCTTCTGGATAGCAGTAGTCGTAGTTGTCCTGTACCATCTTAACCGACTTTAGACCCTGCCAGATTTCACATATTTTATCTGCAACATTGCCTCCTTAATTATTTACAGTGACAGATCATTTTTGTCCTAGATTACATTTGTATTGTCTCCTTAAAGAGGAACGGTCACTTCTTAGGTTTCTATATTTTTACACCTGAGGTAACATGTTGGATTACATGATGATGTGTTTTGATCAGTTAGAGGTTTCTCATTGCACTTCTTTCTTTGGTAGATGTCTCCATGAGCTGTAGTACAGGGAAGGTGTTTCAACACCCAAACTCCAGATATATATGTGTGTGTTTGTATGTATGTATGTATGTGTGTGTGTGTGTTTAATTCCTTCTACATAGAAACATAGAATGTGACGGCAGATAAGAACCATTCGGCCCATCTAGTTTGCCCAATTCTATTTCTCAGGTTAATGGGATGACACTATTTTCAGCGAATAAAATCTAATATTTCATGACTACTGTTCAAGTGCAGTGGAAATTGTTCATATGGAGCAGGTACTGAGTTGTTCACAGCACAAGTTGTCTTGTATATTGTCAAAATAGAGCTAGATAGCATTTTATTAATTCGGAGACAAACAAATGATTTCAGACACAGATGGAACGATGCAAAATTGGAGAGAAATTTTATTTATATCTCCTCTCAAAGCAGCTGAAGTAAGATTTGTGAATCGTTAGAGACGGGTTATTTACAGTAAGGTGCATCTTTCATTGTACACATATATTAAATGCATATCTGGGTCAATATGAGTTACATTCAACAGGTCAGGGAGCCTTGTGCCCTCACCTGACCTACAACGGGTGGGAGCATATCCACTAAGTGGTAAGCAGCTCCACTGTTAATGCACCCCATCTAGAGGGAGGTGAGATTGCAAAAAAATAAAAATGGGTGAGGCCTAACATCATGGCGGAGAGTTGTGTTTCTCATGGGCTCCCTCACAAACCTACCAATCTGAGTAAGCTACCGGTTCCATATACTCACTGGCCTTCCACGACAGAGGGACTGCAGTGGGGTGTAATGTGAACCGATTGAGACCCGCTTGTATCGCGACTGACACTGCGGCCTGGCACGCATCGGGCGGGGGAGACAACCGCTTCCATGACCCAGAGCTGTCTTGAAGCTGCCTACAACACGAGCAGGCCCCGTAACCGCCCCATATTGGACCAGCGGGGTGATCCCGGTCCACCCAAGAGAGGCTAGCCAAGGCAGGCTGAAGAGCAAGGTGACACTATATGGGCAGGGAGAGTGAATGGAATCCCACATAAGATGGCGGACACCGCTTGTGCTGATGATCCCAACGATGCAGCACACAGCATCCTCACAAACCTGCAAAATCACTTTGATGCATTTTGGAGGAAGCTGGAGCACAAACTCCAACAGCAACCACAGCATATTCCAGCGAGTGACTTGCTGACACCCTAACAATCTGCTCTTTGAAGCCTGGAAACCACTCCACGTGTCACACATCTACACAGAGGCAGGTATACTCCAGCAACAGAGACACAGACCTCGACGAGCTCTTGCTTCCATGTGACGCAGACACTGGCAGAGACTCATATCTGTCCCATTGGCAGTCACCCGGAGACCCTATATGCGACAACCACGTTCCCAGAGACGGGCCTAATCCCGGACGGGAGAGTGAAAACCCCAGAGTGCAACTGCAGTACACGGCACTACACCTCATTGAGCATCCTGATCGTCCCTTACACACCCCTATGTCTGAGCCGTGGGCTGTTTGGATACTGGCTATACTGCAGGGCCAAATCTCACCCGGGACTGGCAAGGGTTAATCAGGACTTGGATCTCACTCTTCAGTGATTATCCATCAGCTTCTGGTTATTGCACCCTCTCGTTATTACGACACAGCAGCCACAGTACTTTAACAAGGCCAACCCTTTAGTTAAGGTTTCCTACTCTTCTTTTTTGTATTACCGGGTTTGGTCTCGACTCGTTTTCATGATGCAGTTTTAGCTAGCGTGTGTTAGGTTAGATCTGTTTTTATTATGCCTTTTGACCACTGTCTACCATGCTTGGCCATTTCTCTATATAAAACTTGTGCAGCACCTCAGACAGGCATAGTGCTCTATTGTTGACAACCTCTCTTGACTTACACTGCAATGTCCTTGTTATTCTATGATTTCTGCAATGCACAACAAAAATAAAGAATTTAAAAAATAAAAATGGGAAATCCCCCACCTTAACTTATTTGGGGTTAAAATTATGAGTGAATTGGCAGTCTGTAAAGGCCCCATCACATAGGCAGATCTGTGGTTGATCCCATCCTGCCCCCACTTAAGGATATTAAATGGGGGCTAAATAGTTATAGGGAGGGACAGGCCATTTTTTCACCCAAGTATACACTGATCGTCCACAACATTGAAACAACCGACAGGTGCCCTGGAGTGGCAGCAGCTATTCCCTATTTGCCAGTGTGCAACACCTGGATTTCACAGAACATTGATTATATTATTACAATGGCTTTGACTAGGGCCAAATTATAATGGCAAGTCTTGTGGGGTGTCCCCAGTATGCAGTTGTTAGTACCCACCAAAAGTGGTGCAAGGAAGGGAAACGGCCATTAGGATCATGGGCACCCAAGGATGTGGGGAGCATAGGCAAGCCCGTCTTAACAGATCACACAGACGAGCTACTGTAGCTCTAATTGCTCAAAAACGTAATGCTGGGCATGGCAGAAAGGTGTCAGAACACACAGTGCATCACAGTTTGCTGCGCATGGGGCTGTGTAGCCACAGACCAGTCAGAGTGTCCATGATATCCTCTGTCCTCAAAGAGCCATGCTGCAGACTGCAACTCTGCCTCAAGCTTATCATAGGACGGTTCACTGAACCGTGAACCAAGTTATATGGAAACTGAACAGAGGAGAGAAACCGCTTTGAATTAGTTTCCCAAGCATTATGTTAACTTAGCAGACAGATGTTTAAGTGCATTTCCATTGTGTCCGGATAGGCATCATTGTTCACAAACCTGGGAGCCCTATCTGCTTTTGTCTACAGGCCCCAGTTGTTGGAATGAACAATTTACTCTGTAGTTGCTCTGTTAAAGTTGGCTAGTGCAGACATGTGATAACAGATGATAATGTTTGTCCTTGAAAAGACTTCTATTTCATTTTTTTCACATTTTCCTTTCCCAGAATTTGATTGCACGTAAGACAATATAAAATACACATGCTGATACAGCCATGAAATACAATCTGTGTATATTATTGCCAGACATGTTCTGGAATTGATACCACCTTGAGATAAAACAACCAGCATTTGAATTAAGACAATGTGGTTGGTTAGACCAGGGACTTCCAAATCCAAGCTATCTAGCAGTTGTTAGATTACATTGACAGAGCTCCGTTTTAAAGGAGCACTATAGTGCCAGGAAAACATACTCAGGGTCCCACTCCCGCCGGGCTGGATGGAGAGGAAGGGGTTAAACACTTACCTTTCTGCAGCGCCAGGCTCCCTCGGTGCTGGAGACTCTCCTCCTCCTTTCCCATCATTGGCTGAATGTGCATGTGCGACAAGAGCCGCCCGCGCATTCAGGCAGTCTCATAGGAAAGCACTCTCAATGCTTTCCTATGGATGCTGGCGTCTTCTTACTGTGAAAATCTAGAGGCTGGATTAACCCATAGATAAACATAGCAGTTTCTCTGAAACTGCTATGTTTACAGCAGAAACGGTTAAGCCTAGATGGACCTGGCACCCAGACCACTTAATTGAGCTGAAGTGGTCTGGGTGCCTATAGTGGTCCTTTAATGCAGTTTAGTGTCTGTATTAGCCAATTGGAGAGATTAAAAAAGAAAGGACACACTGTGTCCTGCACAAAAGTATCAATTTATACCTTATTATGAAACAAATTAAGCTGTCCTTGAACAGAGATTCCTAAAAAAATAAATAAATGTAAACTCATGTAGTACCTGGATTACGATTACATTGTCTCATAAAACATTCATAAGGTGTCTTTTACCAAACTTTCTTTTGAAAGAAATGTAATTTTATAAAGGGAAAATAAAATTGTAGATCTAATAAAAAAATAAACTACCCGACATCCAATTCCTTTCTAAGAGGTTTTTAGGGAACTCTAATGCACCTAGAACTGGGTAGATTTAAGTCTTATCAATTGAAATCATTAGTCGATAAGACTTGTTCAAATCATTATATTCGTAAAGACTCATTCGTCCTGTTTATTACATTATTTGCAACCAGATGCAGATTTCATATTTCAGATAATAACTTTTCAGATTTGATTTAAGTTATATCAGAATTAATTTTGTTAAATAGTGATGAAATCACTGCAGGGTACATCTCCAGTTTAACAGTTTGTTCACTCATATTTAAAGAACAGGTTAAATAGTTTTATTTTACTAAAATAACATTATATAGTATATATATATTCATGTATTTGCTTATCCCCTTAAGGACAGTGCATGCACGAAGTACGTCCGACAAAAACAGTCCTTAAGGACTAGGTACATCAGCAGAAAATTTTACTTATTCGATCACCGCCATTCCACCTCCGGTGATCGATGTTGCTCCCTGTCTGGGGGGGACTGCCTGACATCCCAGACAGTCCCCCCTCAGCAAATTATGCCCCCGCATCAGGGAGAGGCAGTGTCTTATACCTGGATAATTGGTAATCAGCCATAGGTGTGCTGAGAATGTTGGAGCAGCCACAGAATAATGTCCAGTGCTGGATACAAGGTAAGATTATACTTCAGGCAATCCTAGAGCTGTATAGTGGCTCAGAGGCAAAAAAGCAGGTCCAGGATTGCAAAGTACCCAGGTTCAAGTCCCTCACCGGGCACTTTTGGGGCGACCTCGTCTGGATGTCGCGGTGAGAACCGTGACACCTGTGCAGTGCCACCCCCACCCAACCCTTCCCCCCCGCCCCGCCTTCTAAATACACACACACACACACACACATTCACTGACAGATAAGCATAAACTAGCTAACAGAAAAACACACTCACTCACTAGCGGACACACACGCACTCACCAGCGGACACACACGCACTCACCAGCGGGGACACACGCACTCACCAGCGGACACACGCACTCACCCGCAGACACACGCACTCACCCACCTTTGGGAATGCTGGGGGGTCCAGTGGCTGCTGGGCAGGCGCGCTGGCGGGCGGCTGGCGAGGGAGCACTTCCTCCGAGCTGTCTGCTCGGCTCCCTCACGCGCCGCCCGCAGAGTGAGGCTGAGAGCCCGAATATGATGTCATATTCCAGCTCCCAGCCTCACTCTGCAGAGCGCAAGGAAGTGCTCCCTCGCCAGCCGCCCGCCCGCACAGCAGCCAGTCTGGCTTGTTAGTAGCCGCAAGGCTAACAAGACATTTGCCCTGGGGATTTGGGAGCGGCTTTTTTTGCCGCCCCCTGGAAAATGCCGCCCAAGGCAAATGCCTTGTTTGCCTCGAGGCTAAAACGTCCCTGTTCCTGTGATCCTTTGTGGGGCAGAGTCTCTTTCATTTCTGCCAGCCAATGGTATGCACATGGTTAAACGAACAGAAAGGTATATTGCTTTCAGAAGTTTCCAAGTTGCCTATTCTTTATTATCTGTCCTTGCTATTGTCATTTCTATAGTTATCCCTTTTCGGTGCTATTTTTATGTCTTCATGTAAATCGTACTTGAGCCATTGACTGTTAAGGTACTGTCCTTTGACCTCCAAATCCATGTAATCTCTGACTGTATTTATTTATTTTTTTTACTTAGAGAGATTTGCTCTTTGCTCCAGTATAAATTAACCAGCTGCTCAATGAATATTTAATTGGGGCATGTTAACCAGGATTAAGGGCAAGTCCGCATTAGATACTAGTCATATAAACACGGTGTATAAAAGGAAAGGTGTTTGTTTTCAAAAAGCAGCTCTGCTTTTGTTTTGTAGATGTCATAAGTGATCCAATGATAATATAGGATTTTTTTGGTTCCGTTCTATCCCTGTGTGATTATTTAGTCTTGAAATGCAAATTTGCAGTAAGTTAGACCTGTGCAAAAGTTTATTTCAGACGGTTCCTCGTAACTAAAGGAACACTATAGTGGTAGAAATACAAGACTATATTATTAATGTTCTCCTCTTTTAGATTCAGGGCCGCCCCTCCTAAATTGAGCCACGTAGCTGCTCGATTTGTCTTCCACAGCGTCACACAGACTTTTCCAAATCAGTGCTGTTTATAGAGGATAACTCGTGACATAAAGCGCATGTTGGATAGCGCTCCGCTACTATTGGAGATTAGCTGTGGAAATGCCTCTAGTTACTGTCAGGTAGACAGCCATTAGAGACGTAGTTAACTCTGCAGTGTATGCGTTGCCATATCTACTAAATGGCATTTTTTTACATTGCAGGGTTAAAACTAAAGGACCACTGCACCCAGATCACTTCCTTAAGATGACTTTTAACTCATGTCTGACTGAACTGGGATTTACCTGTGGCATCGTATTCAATGAATAAGACTCCACAGGTAAATCCCAGACAATTGGATTTATCCAGATGTTGATTAAAAGGAACTTGATTTAGATAAACTGTCCAAAACTAATTTTTGCCCCTCTACAGTAAACTAGATTTAATGTCTCTCTCCATTAACAAAACCCATAATTTTATTGACGTCACTTCCTTTAATATCTATATCTCAGTACTTAGAAAATAGTGAAAGAAAGCTAAATGGACCTTTAATGGGTACATGTATATTATTGTCTTTAGAGTATTTATTTTCTGGTTCTCAGTACCATATTGAAAGGGAGGGAACGGGCACACTAATTATGGCTTCCAGATAAAGGCGCAATACTGTGGCTCTGAAACGTGCGTCGGGTGTTTTAACGCTTTGTTTTCATTTGTTTAATTTAACAGGCTATTCGTATTTGGGCACACGAGGGTATGAGGGTATAACTTATGAGTTTAGTTTAGAAACGTTTTCTAAGATTATGTAGTGTCTTTAGTAGCTTATGGTCTGGTTGGTCGGGGTGTCAGCTGTACTTACCCTCCATTGAATAACGACCTAGCTGGGTTAGTCTCCAAGGTTTAGGTTGGTTAGACTCGTTTTACCTCAGATCTGATGAGAGGATTGGAATTTCCTATCCCAAGGTAACAGGCAGTTATGGTAGGGTCGGACATGGTGATAGTAGTGTCTCCTTTCCATTGTAAGACAGTGAAGCATGATCACAGCTCCTATGTTTATATAGCTATACTCTTTCTACCTAAGGTTTATAAGTGTGTAGGGCTATTATATCATGAGGTATCAGGAGGTTTCTCTTCATGAATCTTGGTTTATTTGCTGCAATACTTAGGAGCTAGTAGACTGTAGCAATTGATGTGGGGTAAGATCTAGTAAGCCTTAAAGCGGCATGGAAATGCAAACTTACCTTTCCCCAATCGCTTCCTCTTCTCTCCCTCTCTCAGGATCTGTTCTTCTTTTCTTCCTATCTGCTCTAGTTTTCTTTAAAACATAAGACAAAGTTTGTCTTATGGAGGTTTCCTACGATTGACCAGTTTTGACCCACTTCTCCTGGTCAAAGGAATTTTCCCACAATTCTCACCTCATATCGCGATGCTTCCTTTCACCATTCCCCAGCGTCCTTTCATATAGATAGGACAGAATTCGGTAGTTTCGCCGAACAGTTTGTTCATTTGTGGTTTTATGATTTTGTGATTTGGCCTTTTTTGGGGTTGAAAAAAGAAGACTTCGAATGGTAAGTATTTTTATTTACAGGGACTTTGTTTTATTGTCTCCCCCCCCACTATTTCTACTGTGAGGGGGTAGGTAGAAATGTATTTATTTTTTGGGGGGAGTGGATGGGGGGGCGGGGACTGACTAGGGGCTTGGGGACCCCCAGTTTAAAAAAAAATAAAAAATTTTTACATTTAGAGCCCCCACTCACCGCTCATGGGTGGGAGCCAGGGGTGACGACAATAGGTGTCCCATCCCCCCATTGTCACTAGGGTAGGGGGGACAGGACAGATCCCCGCCCCTTTTCATCATAGGGCCCCCATCCGTCATTGTCATTTAGGGCCTCAGGGGTTTCGGTCCCCTCTGCTAGTTAATAGATGGGTGGGGCTAGTTAATAGATGGGGGGGGGGGGGCGGTTTTACAACAGATTTTAATCTCTCTTATGCTATTATGGGGGTCATATTGAGCCCCATATAGTGAGGGAGGACATGTGGAGGGTTAGGAAGTGGCAGGGGAGCACTGCTCCCTGACGCTTCTATTTTTACATATTACAAGGAGGGAGCCGCAAGCCGGAAGCTCCCACTTTGTAATAAACAAACGAACACCGACATTCCGTCTTGGTTTGTTCGTTTGAAATTTCTATTCATTTGTCTTTCTGACAAATAAAGGATTGAAATTCCCGTCCGAATGCCGAACTGGATATGCACGGTTATATCACAGTGCTATCTAGTGTGGGCAGATTACATGTTCCTCAGGGACTTCATCTACCCACACAAAGATGGCGGCACCTAGGTCCGGGCAGAAAATAAACATTAAATATAGGTAATATGGGGGGCTTAGGGGCATTTGGGGGTGACCAGGAGGACTGTTGGATGTATTTATGGTCAACTCTCACTATTTATCCAGCTCCGCTCTAAACTGCCACAATTCAAATTTGTTGTTATCATCAAATATACAATGTTATTCGGATGTAGATTCTGATAAGATATTTTGTTTCAAGACAGCTAGCCCATCTAGGACTTCTATATTGAATCACATTCTGATTTCTAGGATTAATTCCTTCAAATTTAAGTGGCAAAACATAATCTTATAATGTTTAGACATTTAGTAGACTTACCTTTTCACATATGTCCTAGCATTAAATAAATGTTTTTCCAATAATATTTGCATTGTATTGGTATCGTCTTTATAGATCCGTATTTATCATTTTAACTTGTGCGATAAACTCTATCTTTAGTAGGTGCATTTTTGTAGTGTAATGTTTAGAATCTATGGTCTATTTATCCTTACATGCTCTATTCTTAAACGGAGATTTGAACATTTCCGGTTCCTCTCTTTTTTTTCTAGTTTGGGATTGCTCTAAAAGTCCTGGAATAACCTTCCAAGAGAATTGGATTGTTGACGTATAAAGCTATCTTGAAGATCAAATAAGCATGAGATTTTAGCTACCTAGGTAATATGCTTTAAAATGAGCAAGCCAAATCTTATCGGTTTTAGCATTATTCAATAGAAAACAAATATTTAAAGAAATGCAAATGAAGTGATAGTGAATGCATTTCATTTAAAGACTATATGACATTTTGATTTGTTATCAGTGAATGTTAAGGCAGTGTATTGTAGTTCTGGTCTGCAACCCTTTTATATAATTTCACCCAACCTGTTTACGGGCTGTGTGGCATGGATGTTTGACTCAGTAGGTTCACTGCTGAACCCAGCCACTGCAGAGATTGTAGTAAAAACTTTGATCTACGTAGATTTTCTTCTTCCTCTGAAGGAAATCACATTAGGATGCTGTATCCCAAGACAGGGAAGGAAGAAATAATTTTATCAGAAATGTTTAGTTTATTTTAGTTTTCTTTTGTGTGTGTTCCACTCCCCCAGAATATAATTCCCATCATTCTTGGTAGTGGAAAACGGTGTGCAATGTAGTTCAGCAACAGCTGGTGGTCCAGCTTGGACACCTTTGCGCTGTCATGCAGTGGACACATGCTTTTAGTGCTAACCAGGCATTTCTACAGCTACCATTATGTCTTCGAATTGTAGAGCCAACCATTGCTAACAGAACATAGTGTGTTAATGAAACCATTATGTTTGATGAAAGGCCGTGCCATTTATGAATAATTTAGTTGTTGCTTGTACGTTAATGAACAGTTTTATTTTTTCTTGCATAATAGATTGACATAAAGAAAGATGGCTAATGGATAAAATGCGTTCAGGTTAAAATATGCATGCTACAACTTTAAAGGGGCACTAGAATCCCCAAAACAGCTTTAGCTTAATGAAGCAGGTCTTGTGTATAGATCATGCACATGCGGGCTCGCTGCTCATTTCTCTTCCAACTAGAAGTCAAATCACTTTTGTTTCTGTATATGCAAACCTAGCCATGTCTTCCCTAGGCTGAGAAAGACACAGCCTGCAAAAAAAGGCTTCATTTCAGTTTGATTTTAACTTTCTTTAGAAGTTTTTCTCTCCTACTTTTATCTCTGTGTAAATTAAACTTTAATCATTCACAGAAGTCTCCTGCAAAGTCCAACAAGTTATTAACAAAGTGGGAGATAAGAAATTCTAAATTAAACAGAATGTGCAATAAAGGAAGTGTAAATATTAGAGTTAATATACAGGTTGTGCTTAGGAAGGCTGTGCACTACATGTAGGGACGTGCGATTAGGACTGTGTAAACAAAGTAATCTAACTCCTAAATGGCAGAGAATTGAGCAGTAAGACTGCAGAGGCATGATCTATACATAAAAATTGCTTCATTATTTTGGTGGCTATAGTGTCCTTTTAATTTTTCACCAAGACACTGGTTTCCCCAAGATTTGTTTCTTATATATTTTTTCCTTTTCTGCTTGAGGGTACATGTGCAATATTGTATTGGAGCCATTAGTATTCTTCCAACATTATTTTAACTACAAAGTTAGGATCATATTATGATTATGATATATTATTACATTAAACCTTTGCTTCACAAAGAATAAACCCACTTTTACCATTATCCGTGCAGAGAATGAAATACATTTCCCATAATACTCATCCAACCTTTGCAGTACCCTGGTTATCCATCACTGGCATTGATATTGTATGATGAGGGGCATAAGATGGTAGTGGAGTTGGTCTCTACAGGCATCTCATCCATATAGCTTGAAATATAGTTTCATTATTTACATTGTATTTTTTAACAACCCCAAAATATACACTTGTATTTATTCATTTTTATTTGTATTTTCTCTGTTTTATTTTCCCAGTCAAACTAATTAATTCACTGACCCATGGAGAGCCAAGGAGGTAAAGGTTTCAGCTTGGTTTCTCATGGACACTGTGCCATGCAACCTGCAGAATCTATAGAAAGAGATTCAAATCATTACATACTTCTTTTACCTTTTTAAGTGTTTTCATAAATCACTGCCAGGATTAAAAAAATGTGTTGGTCTAGTTCATCATTCATGTCATAAAGAACATTTGAGGGTCGTATGAAATTTCTCGTTTGGAAATTAGGTAGACTATAAAGGCCATTATATCTTATTACTTTTGTCAAGATTCTAAATCTGAAAGTCTATATAATGCTGAAATGTATTTTTTTCTATCAGCTGCTGCATTAACCTGTGTCAAATTTCAGTTTTAGCAATCAATTTTCCATTGCAAAGAGTGTCTCCATTGATTTTAGTTGTAGATCAGGAATATCGGTCTCTGGATTTGTTTATATTGACTGAGAGGTAGTGGACATAGTTTGGCAAATTCTCTCCTGTACTTTTCATTATAAGCTGAATAAGCTAAATAGGCTATCACAAGAACGAACAACATTGTATATGAAGGTTTACAAAAACCCTGATCATAATATTCTCGGCAGGGAATGTATGGCATTGGGGCCTATCATCAGGGCTACAGAAAATGTCAGGACTGGAAGAGTTTTCCATTAGTAAATTAATTATTTGCATAATATTTAAAATATGCAAGAAAATATTAAAGTATCCTTTCCTTTTATATATTTTTAAGTTACTTAAGAATCTGAACTTGAACAGATGAGATTTAGAAACAGGCATTCCCACACCATACACTGAAGAGGCATCCCCAATTGGTAACCTCTCTTATTATGATATTCGTCAGTGGTTCTTAAACCAGCCCTCATGGCCTAGTACCAGTCCATGTTTAGTCAGTATCTCCATTAAGATAGAAGTAGGGAAACGCACAAATCCTAGACTGATGCTGGGCCATGATGACTGGAATTAGAACCACTGGGCTAAGCAGTGTGATCTCATCCCAAAAACCCATTTTCAGCAGGGGATTATGAAGCTTGTAGTCCAATGTTTGTTTAAATTGTGGTATGCTGGCCATGTAATAGAATATTAAATTGTTTCTACCCCCTTCAATAGTCTTTGCGTATTTTGTAAAGACCCCTGAAAGTGACATGAAGTTTGCTTTGCAGCAGATTTTGGCTTCATCTTCCATGAGTCGCGTTAATGTTGTATTCTTGTGTTTGCATGAGAGTAAATCACAGATCACGTGAGATGGTGGGATCTTCCATAGAACAACCTTTGCAATGTGCGGGAAGATATCTGTTTTATCTTTATGAAATGTTCAAAAGTGATAGAATGGTGCCTTAGCTCCTTTATGGGCCCTGATTTTCATCCAAAAACTTGATTGGTTTTGCTATCCTACCCATAATAATGATCCTTTATGTACATTTGTAAACACAGCCTAAAACAATGTTTCTTCCTAGCTTGTAGACCTAAACAGCTGATCAGCTATAGGCATATTACCTAATGGGTCAACAGAATTTTGCTGTATTAAATTCATTAAGTCGTTCTTGCCTAAATGTCAGAAAATTCATGCATGTAATTTTACGTGTTTGGCACTGAACATATACATTATGTAAAAGTGTTCATGCCTCTGCAAACTTGAATATATATGAAATCATGAAACCTAATTTTGCAGTATTCACAATAGAATATATATAGGCAAGGGTATGTGACCTCTGCAGTTCTAGAAACGGAGGACTACGTATCCATTGAAGATATCTTATGGTTGATAGAGCTGTTCCTAGTTGTGTATATTTGGGAAGGACTAAATGTTTTGAGAGATTTCCTGAGTTCTATAATTAGTCTAGATTTGTGTCCCCGAGGATATTTTTATTTATAACTGCTACCAAGCTAAAGAGGTACTGCTCATCACATTTGCTGGAATTCTCTTATATCCTTTTTTGAAAAGAAACCTCGGGATATCCTTCATTACTGACACTTCTCCACCATTCATCCTATAAGCTTTATTGCTGAATTATACTACTTGTGTTCACTTTCCAAGTAAAAAAATAACCAGTCTTCAGATCCTGAATGCAACCAATATCATCTGATGTCACTTACCGGTTTCATTTGGGTCGGCAGCCTCACGTGCCACAGTTTGCCAACACCTGTCTTCTTTCTTTCATGGAATGACTTTATCCTTTTATTTCTTTACCTTGTGCATGATTCTGTCTATATGCTATTATGCTCGTATGTCCATTCTGAGTGGACACGTTAATACATCCTCCTATTTGTAATAAATTAGAGATAACGCAGAGTAAAAATGTAAACGGTACAACATTTCTGAATTTTAGATTAGCAGCTTTGACATTGAGCTCTGCCAATAAACCAGTACGAAAACTTGTTGGACATTCGATTGGGACAAGTGCAGACTTGTCCAAATTTCATGAAATTCATTCAGTTGTCCAAAACACAAACAGTAGATTTGCCATTTGCCTAAAAAAAGAAGTAAAAAACAAATTGCATTGCTAGTGAAATGTTTCCATGCAAATGTTTTCTTTTTTCTTAAAATAACTTCATATGCTTCCAGACCACATCATCCCAATTAAGTGATCTGATTGGCTCAGTTCGGCATTATGCTACACATGCGCAGTACCCTCCCTATGCTTTCCTATGGGAAATCATACGATTGGCTGAATTCATCAATCTCAATCTCCGCCAAGGAGGCAGGACAGATTCACTAGAAAAAAAGGGCAATTCATTATTTTAAGTCTTTTTGACATTACAGATTTCTAGTTAATGGCTTTGAGTTTATTTAGAACTTTATTGTGTTTGAATGAAGTTCTATGTTTAATTATCACTCCTGATGGATATCCATAATATGACCGGTTTTATTATAGTGCAACATTTGTTCATTATATTGCATTAATTTCCTACATGCCACTGAGAAATTAAAAGATTGGATTTTCTGTTTTAATTACAAAAGGGCCGATAATTGTAAATATGCCAGTGTAAGGTAGTCTGTGTATGTAGGTCACAGTGCTTTGTCATATACTCTCTGTGGAATGTTGTCCTGTTATTGTGCAATAAATCTTGCATAATTCTTTCATTTATTCATTTCTACCTTGAAAAACATGACTGCACACATCCTCTAAATTTTCCGTTAGTCATGGAGAACATAAATGACCTTGGAGATTACATAAGAATGTTATCCCTATTGCGAATCGCTGCAAATGATGTTTGTTCTTCATCCCATCTGTGCAAAGCAAAGCTTTCTGATGGCAAACAGGGTTTGTAATCTGACTGGGAAAAAATATTCCTCAGTGGTTTTAATCATTCAGATATAAAAGTGTACTTGGGAATTATAGTTTAAAAGAACACCGTAAATGCACAAGAATTTATTATTGTCATTGTTACTTTGCTGGAACCATTTTGTGTTTATTTCATAGAAACTTATTATATTTCTTTTATTTTTTGCAGATCCCCCATGAAAACTGGAACTTTCATTCTACAGGTAAGCCCACCTATTGACAATCTGATTTACTGAATATTAAGGTGGAACGATTAAATCCTTTTGCAAATGTTGGCAATATATAAATGCTAATAGTTCTCTCTGGCAATTCCTACTTTTCTCACCTCCGCAAATGCTGTTAGAGCCCAACTAAATAATTTTATGTAAGTTAAATGAAAAAAGTTATATCAATTTGTTTCTGCAACCCTAGCCATATCTCCCCTGGCTGACACACACTGCCTTCCTAAACATACTGAAAAAAAATCTATATTTGTTAGCTTCCATTATTGCACAGTGTGTTTAATTTAGAATTTACATCCTGCTCTTTTAAAAGCCTGCTAGAAGCTTCAGTAGCCTCATATTTTTAACAAACGTGCAATTAATAGAGCAGGGCATACAAACTTATAAAGTTAGCACACCATGCTGTAATATCTGATTTAAAAGTGAATCTATTCTTTTTTTCGTGGAGGCTGGGTAGGTCACAGCCAGGGCCAGGGCTGCATAAGCTCGTTTGAGCAGGATCCTCCTCAACCTATTGTTCCTGTCACATTTTGTAATGGTCAATGTATTGTTAAATCTCTTTCATAATATTGTAAAGCATTGCGGAATAAGTTGGCACTATATAAATACTAATAATAAAACGTGATTTAACTCCTACATTTCAGATAACTAAGCAATGAGAAAACACAGGAAAACATTGGGAGGCTATTGTGCATGTGCTGCAAAACTCTGCGCTTCAACAATCAGCATCTCCTCTTAGAGATGCATAGAATCAGTGCATCTCTATAGGGAGCATTCAGTGTCTCCATGTAGAGCGCCTGAGTGACGACTACTAGAGGTGTTACTAGGTAGCAATGTAAACACTGCCTTTTCTATGAAAAGGCAGTGTTTACATTGTTGAGTCTGCAGGGACATGCTGTAGACACCAGAACCACTACATTAAGCTGTAGTGATTCTGATGACTATAGTGTCCTTTTAACACCATTACTCAAAAACATGACCATTCCTCTTTAAATTCAGTACACCTATATGCTTCATATTTTATATAAATTCAGCCTCCTATAGAAATTAATTGTATTTGCAGGAGGTTTCGATTGATTTACATAATTGGTTGCATTATTAATTTGACACAGATTTTTCCATTAAATGCCACCTTATTTTATGTAATGCCTTATATATAGATCATGCAAAAAAAACTTAAATAATAAAAAAAGATACATACCTTGAAAGATCCACAGAATTTTGCAATAGCACAGCCACATTCCACACTTGTTCAATTCGAGGCTGTGGAGCAGACCTTCCATCTTGTGCACAATGTGTACAAAATTGATATAAGGCAACTCAGAACTATATTTCTAGCTGTCTGAGAGTGTCTTATGACCGTAAATTGTTAAAAAACAAAACAAAAATAATAATAATTTGTAAATCAAACAAGATTAGCTTCAGGGTGCTCTAAGCACCATGCACTTTGCAGTAATACAAATAGATTATAGTTTTTAGGCTGGCACGGATTACTGGAATTACTGAGCTTAAAGGGTTAGTCTAACCTATTAGTAGGGAAGTACATTACAGATATTTAACACCTACCTACTATTCTTAAATTCCTCTATGTAACAATAACCTTGCATAATATGTTGGGGGAAGTGTGTTGAACAAAGTCTGTCAACTTTAAGAGTGTAGGACATTCTGTACCTGTATTAAAGGAACACTATAGTTACCCAGACCAATTCATCTCAATGCAGCATCCCTGTCCTCTTAACCCTGCAATGTAAAACATATTCAGGGTAAGTCCACCTCTAGTGGATGTCAGTAAAACTGTTACCTGATGTGGAAGACCCATTGGATTGGATGGGTCACTGAAGCATTGGTTTGGACATAGATGGAGGAGGCCATGCCTCCTCCCTGATGTTGCGAGAGGTGGAGAGTTAAGAAGTGTCAAAGGATCCTCTGCGTTGGAAAAAGGTAAGAAAAATATTTTCATTTTTAGTTTAATAGTGAATGGGGAAGGAGGAGAAGATAGAACCTGAATAAGAGCAGGGACAGAAACACTGTAGCGTTAGGAATATAGATATTTATTCCTAATGCTATAGTGTTCCTTTAAGGGGTACTCAGTGTAGTGGTTATGCTACCTATAGTCTCTAGGCACCGTTCCCCAGTTTTATGTGAAACAAATTAGAAGCATTTGACAAAAACAGAAGCGCTCTGGCACACAACATTGTCCTCCTTCCTCCACTCTATTGATAATGCCGAATATACACTTTCATAACCAATGCACTCTCAGTATCAACCTCTGTCACAGGGACAAGGGCCTCAAAAAGCTGCTAGGTCTAGAGCGTGACCGGTCATCTAGCTCTGCTAATTAGAACATTCTCCTGCTTGAAAGAAGTACCTTGGGGTGTGCTATATATTAATGAAAGGGAAAAAATGCCTTCCAAAGTCAAAAAAAAGTTCACAATCATTTTTTACTTTTCACCACTTAGTGAATACCGGTAATTGCATATTTTTCTTGTATTGCTGGCTATGGGTTTTTATGTATCACAATAATCCATCTTTCCAATATCCGTTTGGAGGTCACAGGTTTTCTTCTTTTAACACGTAACCTGCATAATCATTTTTCTAGTTGAGTGGTTCTTTACTGTTAAAATACATTTTTACCACATCCTGCTGTGAGATGCTACACTTTGCACGCCCTATAGTTTCTTCATGCGGAGTGAAAGAATATCTCCTTCAGACCATAAACTTAATCTGGGTTCATGGTTTGATGGTGGCTTAGCTTTTGAGAGGCAGACCATTAAATCAGCCACAGATTGTTCTCCTGAGGGTCATATAGTATTGCAAGAACAGGCATACACAGAATATAAATACTTGTCTTGATCTTCAGCACTTCTTCTTCAGTATGATATGTTACTACGTGATTACAGTAAATGCTCATACTATAAATTAACCCCTTAAGGACACATGACGGAAATATTCCGTCAGGATTCCCTTTTATTCCAGAAGTTGTGTCCTTAAGGGGTTAAACCTCACTAAGGCTATGAGGGGGGAAATGGAGGATAACACTGTTTCATTTTTAAAATCCAGCTATACGTATGATTGGAGATTGGACTCTGGGACCTTTCTGGGGGCTTCTCTTCCGTACTGCATCTTCAATTTATACCAATTAAACTATGCCATCTTGAGTAAAACTACAGCACTATTGATTGCGAAACGCGTTGTTCTTTTTACGATTGTTTTTACACTATATGCCTCTCATCTGTTCCTTTGCAGGGCTTAAAATTATATAAATACCATCTGAGATGAACAACACATGACATATAACACTGTGTCATGAAATATTTTACAATAATAAAGCCAAAATGGAGTAGCCATGTGTGGGAAAAACTAAGCATACCATATGATTCAATAGTTTGTAGAACCACCTTCAACAGTAGAATTTTACTATCTTCCCTAACCGTTTTGGCACTTTGAATTACCTACAAAAGAAGTATGCATTGAGAGGCTTTGTTGAATGACTGAAGCAGCCTCAGCACAATTCATGTGTCCTTGCCTATCACTTCTTCCCTCTCCCCTGATCAAAAGTTGTGTGTTGACTTATGTAGAACCATCTAAAGAATGACTCAAGATAACGGCATTGTCAACTATTGTAATGTCTCACGTGTATATTTGATGCCCTGCATGGCATACCTTAATCTTGTATTGTTAAGATCCTATGTTATCCTTGTATGACTATTCTTGATATACATACATAAACTATAACTATATATATATATATATATATATATATAATGTCTTGTGTGGCTGACTCTGTACAGTGTGCAGCAACACCAGAACAAACATACCCTGTCCTGCTTAAGATTATTGGGAGTTCCGCGCAATTCATTTGCCCATCTTAAACAAATATGACTTATTGAAGGGCTTGTGAGACAAACTATGAGATTGTCTATACTCTGTGGTGATGGGTTAAGGACAGCAGTTGCTGCCCATGTCTTACTACCACCCATTTTCAGCAGAACAGAGCAATTTTGTGTAGTATAGGAAAGGCATACCATCTCTGATTTCTGGAGGCGGTCAAGCTCATGGTTTTTACGATGTCTTGAGAAACCCACAATGTCCATATATATTCTCCTATATAATATATGGATTTGTTTATTTAGGGAAGTATTGCCTGATACGAACTCCGGCTATTGTACAGTTTCAGGAAACCAAGTACCTTTGGGACATTACAAAAGAGAACCTGTTTTTTTCTTTTTTTAAAGTGAAAGCAGAGTGATACTGCACGGAACAATGCCAATAACAATGTCAATGGGTCAATGTTTCAACCCTTGACAGGATGTCTTCTCTACTATTTGCCATTTCCAGACTCCTCTATACATCTCAGATTTTGCTGATTTCCACTAGGTTTTTATGTAGTGTTTCCATTGGCTGGAAAGCACCATTTGCTTTCTGCATTATTATTTATCAAGTTTGTACTTCAACAAAATATATTGAGGGTCCTACTCAAACAAGCTTACAGTCATTAAGTATTATCACTGGCTTTGTAAGCAGCTATTAAAATGTGGAATAGCTGTTTTTCTTTATATATATATATATATATATATATATATATATATATATATATATATATATATATATGTGTGTGTATGTATGTATGTGTATATATATATATATATATATATATATATATATCACTGCAGGCATGTAATTCTTATAATTTTCAGGTTTGAAACTGTAACTATGTTTCTGTATGCATACGTTTGCTTAATGTTGTACTTTTTCTCCTCCTGTCTGCTAACTTCACTCTTGCCGATAGATATCCAGGGCTGTCTTACGTGTAACTGTTGGGAACATTCCAGATGATTCGTCGTCTTGTGATACATTTTCAGCTGCAAGCAATCTTCCCTTTCACTTGCAGTGCAATAACTTCCTCAAGATCCACGTTATGCTGTTTAATTTTCGACTAATTTTGTTATGTAAATCGGATTACCAAGTCCATACAATATCAGTTAAACTTTGTACCTGTCTTTGTTTAGCTAAAGGTACATGTTGGTGACAAGTACCAGGAGGGGAACATTTCAGAGCAGTTCATAGGGCGGGACATGGCTTTATTCCATTTACAGATAAAAGTATGCAGATTATCTGATAAACCTTGCAAGCACACTTCTGTAAGAAATGACTAATCAAGATATACAAGACAACTTTCACATGACAAAACTCAAATAGAGACAGCCTGAAACATCTCTATTAGTAATTTATATAACTTCTCCTGGTGATTTAAATATATCCTTAATTCATTTAGGATATGTAAGGAAACACTTCCTTTCCAGTGCTACCTGCGCAACCATGATGCACTAATTATCCTTACATTAATAACAAGATAACTCTTGTTCCTTCCTACCTCCCATCCCCTCTTGCGAGACTGACCATGCTTCCCTAAATAGGGGCACAGTAACCCCATGACTCCAAAACACAAGCCTCTCTATTATCTTTCCTATACTACTCTAGAAAAGATCGCAACACTCTGAAGCGGCAACTTCAGCTTATCCAGTATAGTCACTGTGACATAGAACAGGAGAACCCTTTAAAGGGGGGTTCTTCCACTCTCTTCTTTCGCTCAATTCTCCGCATGTAGGGGCTAGTGCATGGTATCATAATATTTTTATTAACGATTCTATGATGTTACTTAAAATTACCGAATAAATCCTAGATTTTTTTTCTTGTGCTTTAGAGTGGCTTATCTAGTCAGAAGCCACAATTTTTGTAAAACTGGAATGTAGTTTATCAACATAGCTTTTTCTAAGAATGCCATGCATTTCATCTCTTTGTGAAGAAACAGCAGCAAAGCACAAGTAAGAAAAATAAGGGAAAAATAAATCAACGTACCCATAATAAGTGTGAAGGTTATGCAACCTTTTTTTAGAGCAAACTGCATCATTTTAAAAAAATACTCCAAATAAATTGTAATGGAAATTTTGACAGGTTTTCCACAAAAAAAGTTCAACAAGATAATACCAAATCTAAACAGCATGCACTTTTTGACCAATACGTTGCAACTACATTGGCGTGAATTTTTGCATTAAGGATATGCTCTCCTGTTATAGTGGGCATTGTCTGTAATCATTTTCCACCAACAAATAATGGAGAATAGTCAGCAGCAACCTCAACATCTGTGTATGAATAATACAGCATAGACATAGCAATGATACTTTTGTCGGTCTGAGCTGACAAAGTGAGCTGGTTATTGTATAGCTCAGAACGACTGTCAATAGCTGGGCATTGAAACATTGAGATTTTATCCGAGAAATCATGTTTTTGCAAATTTTGTATAGATTGAAAAAAATAGGTCAGTTTTGTTAATTCACTGCACATTTTGGTCTACATCCTGGGTGCATAGTCCTGTCATTGGCAACATGTTCCTGTTCAGAGTTTGTTAGAACTATAGTTCTCATGATCATTTGATACCCTACCCATGTTAAATTCAGTGCTGCAAAAAAGTGAGTGTTTTAATTTAATAGGTGGAAAGATACTTGTTGGCAATCTTGGTGTAGTCCCTATTTTTCCGTGATGTTATTAAACCTAGCCTTTTGATTTAATGTTAATGCATGTTTGTTATGGCATGTTCTCAAGTCTTTGTATTTGCTTGTTTTAAAGGAAGACTTAATCCATTCCGAAAAAAATGACGTGGAAACTGGAAGAACAGAACCAAAGCCAGATGACCCAAAAGAGGTTAGTTTTATCTGGGTTTTTTTTTGTTTTTGTTTTTGTTTTTTTATATAATTATTTTTTGTGTTATTTATATTTTTTTCAGTTTGGAATTAAGACAGTCTAGGCAACTTTACCAATACAGAACAGGGTAGTCAATATGCTGCTTTTTTTTTTTTTTTCTTCTCTATTGACTCCTACTCCTGGTTGGGACAACTTGACAGTACAAATATTAAACTTCTGCATTTTCTAAGTGTTCAATTGGAGTTGGATTAGCCCAGTCATCTCATCCAATCACTGCCTTTCAAGTTGTATGAAATAGATAGAGCTTCTGATAGATTTGACGTGGTATTATAAATGTTTTTATAGATTGTGAATACATGACTAGACTTGAGCACAAATAAATCCTTTTCACCTGCAACAAATCAAATTCCTGTTAATATCTGCCCAAACAAATCAATCCGGCCGGGATTTACGTAGCATTTCGAGTCAATCAATTGTAGATTAACAGGAATTGATTTGTTAATTGCAGGTGAAAAGATTTCTGCACAAGTCTATACATAACTTCTTCATAACAACGTCTATTTTGTACTTTCTTAATAATATAAGTGACGGTAGTCACCGTCACTGGGGATGGAAGACAGACACTGTGTGGGTCCCCAGATTCTTTTTGTGGTTTTGTCACCCTGTGCCCATTATTGGTGCAGGTTAAATTGAATGTATTGCTTGTCTGTGCCTCTCCACCTCCCCCTTTTTCCTGTCCTATTGTTTCTCCAGCAGGGCGTTGTCCCAGGGACACTGCCAGACCAGTTTGAACTGGCTGTCCTGTCCTTCCTCAATCTCCCATCAGCCCTTGCTATTGTCTGACCCCACCCTTCCTTGTACTATAGTGCTCTTATCAACCTATTGTATGTAAATGAGGCTGTTGTGTGCTTAAAATATGTGTGCTATGCCTATTAAAGTTGGTTGCTCTGTTAACCTTCACCAAGTGTCATCTGGTGTTGGGGGGAAAGGATATAATCTGCTGGTGGAAAGTGTGTCCATAGCTGTAAACACTGTAGCCTGGTCCAGGGTGGAAAAGGCCCTTAGTGATCTCAGTCAAGCCTCCGCGACTGGGTCTTAAGTGCTCCAGGGTCCCTGATCGCTACGAGGACGCAGACTTGGCGGAGGTAGTCAGTTCGGAGTACTGAAGCTCCATCACAATATTTTATTTCCAAAGCTATGTGTTTCATACTATGTTTAGAAGCAGGACCTATTTGTTTATAAAAAAAAAAATTAAAATTAAACTTAACTGTAATACTCATGGACAAGTTATGTAATGTCTCACTTTTGCCTTATTTCAATCCACAAAACAATCAGTGCACATGAACAGGTGCGCAATAATTAACATCGGAAGGGATGCTTGCTCAATAGCACTAATTGTTTGTAGTTGCTTGACAAGAGTGTTGTAATTTAAAGTGATCACATATTCAGTAACCCAAACTGTCACTAGGGGGGTCTATCTGCCAAGTTAACAGTCTGGTAAAATGAATTACCTTACCTCTACAGGTTTGTGAATTCAGATACTTGAGTTCAAAGACAGAATTAGCTTACTAATATTTTTTACTCTAGTATCATGGTTATTAGACATACAATAGTTATGCAATAATACATTTTATCCCAGATATTAGCAGCCAGTACACATTCTAGTGATATGGTGAGTAGGTAACGTTACATCAGTAATACATGGCATGAATATGTACTCAATATGAATTTCACCAGGATACTAGTAGGCAGAACTAAGAAGGAGATTAGGAAAGGTAAGGGATGGGGTGGGGAAGCGAGCCCACAGCAGCCTCTTACCATGCAGTTAGAACAGCTGTGAAGCGAACTCCAGTGCCCTGCAGCCTCTGAGCCATGTCTTCATAGTTGCGAGTTGTGATCAGTGTCTCTATAACCATAATGGAGTATTTCCATTGTCTAACTTATTAATATTTTAATAAGGAAAATACAAATGTTGCACAGTGTCAACGTTATATAAAACAAATGACCTACAAAAACCTACAAGCAGACCAATGCAAAAATATATTTTTAAAATAAAATGAGACTTAAAACACAGAACCTAGACTTGTGCAAATTTCACTGACAACACTGAGGTTTGTTGGAAAAAAAAAAAAAAAAAGGTTTAGGAGAAGTCCTATTTGATCTGCGTTGGCATTCACTTGTACATCTTTATTTTCTTTTAGCCTTTTTTTTCCGAGCAAAGCCAGATCCCTTTGACAACTAGTTTGGTACCTGGTTTATTTAGGTTACTAATGTGGAAACATCACATTGATTCATATATGGATTTCCATTAATTCCATGATGCTTATCTGATAGACCACTTTTTTACTGCAAAAAACGGGCAACAAGCACACATGAGTTCTCTGTAGAGGTGTAAAAATCACACAGCCACAGCAATATTCTTTTGTTCAAAGGGTCTTGCTTCTTGCCAGAACAGACAATCTGGAGAGAGATTTGGACAGAATCATGCCCACTGAGTATAACGCTAACCATTTATAGTCACTAAGCAAACCAATTTGAAGTAGTCATGTGCATAAGATACATTATTAAAGAGCACATATTATAATTCTAAAAACAATAACTGACATTGATAATAAAGTGGATGGATTATAATAAAACCAATGCATTGAAAGTGTAGATCAAAATGTATACAGCAAATACTATTATATACAGAAAATATTGCATGTAAAAAGTTAATATACAAAATAGTGAATCTATTAAAAACAAAGTTTTAAAATTACTGTTCTAATTTTGTACTGGATTTTGTCAGCATTATACTTCATACAAATTGCCAAAAGTGTCTGAAGACTAATTTTATGTATATATTTACTAAATAATTAAAAACTGCCTATATGAATTCTCCGAGGACATTAAATGGACCCTTCACTTCCCAAATGGGTAAAAAATATTATTCAAATACAACGCTCCTGCCACTTCTGTTAGCTCAGGGGAGCTAAAGGAAGGAGCAAGCAAGCCTTCTCTGCTGACAGCCAGGGGGCTGTTTCATAATTTTAATAAGTGATGATTTCTCTCAGGAAACTGGGGTTAAAATAGGATACTCCACACCCATAAAGCACTAAAACAAGTTATAAACACATTAACCCTTTGTTCAATGTGTTATAGATTGAAAAAAGAGACTGGGTCTCTCAGCATTTACTTACACTTGTTGCACTCTGAGAGCAATCACGTGTTGGTAAATACTAGGTAAGATAACTCATACTGACGGCTACGGTCCTGGGGCTGTCCGTATCTGCTTTTACCCACCGATTGTGACATGCATAGTTGGATGCTGGGGGTCTGTAAGCAATGAAATGCCGGGACAGTTGGACTTCCTTCAGGGACCGTTCTTTGTGGAGAGGTTGAGGAGTTAATTATCAGATAGTTGTAGTGCTCTAAGGGTTGATGTAGGTGTTCTGTAAATGTCTTTATGCTGTCAGTCTAACTGTTAGAAAAACAAGTAAAAGGATAGTTATGTTTGTTTACTACCTGGAAATAAGATTTGAATATTCCTATTGCTCACATCGACCAGCCTTTCCTGTCAGAAACCCGTGAAGTGTAACAGAATGTCTTGCCTTGTAGCTAGACTGTGTTTAAGGCCTTTCTCTTACAGAAAATCATTGGAAATAAACTCTTTTCTAAAAAATAAATTCTAAATCAGAAAAACAAATTATAGGGACACCCCAGGCTGGAATTGATTCATAGTTTAAGAGTTAAAATAGCTCTGAGAGCAATAAATATTTCATGTTTGAGGTCTGTAAGTGTTGAATCATTGAAATGCACACCCACCTGTCCCGCTCCACTCAGTGAATACTATGACAAGCAGGGCAATCCTCCTTCATGATGCTGACATGCTGCTTCACTACAAGTGGATCAAAAGGGAGAGACATCAATAATTCCATTCCGGTGTTTCATTAGCAGGAACAAGATGCACTTGATAAAAGAATAGCATTCTTTTTTTTTTTTTTTTTTTTAATAAACATTTTGATATCTTACCGTGGGACAGCGCCTGGGCTTTTTTAGCACTATAACCACTAATGCAGGCTTTTGTAGTGCTCAGAATGTTCATTCAAGCCACGGTTGACAAGTATACTTTAAAGGAATACTGTAGGCACAATTACCTGCTTCATGTCATTAAAGTGGTTATAGACGTGGCCCTTTTATAACCCATTAAGCTGTTTTCATTGTTTTAATGCTAATGAAGAAGCAATATTGGCTTGGGCTAATGAAGAAGCAATAGACTTTAGGCATACTTTAGGCATACTTCCCAGCCTGAAGAAGATTGGTCATTAAATCATTGATCAGTGGCTTTCTACATTTTATGGCTTAGTGTATAAACTGCACTGTTTTTGAGTGTACAGCACAGCCTTTTTAAGGTATAGATTCGAAGATGGTAACCATAAGGAACAATTACATTTTTTTTCCTCCTCAATAGTGCTTTAAGCAATGTCTCAAACTATCTTGTTAAACATAATGCCATTAAATGAATAGCAAATTGTGTCTATGGATCATTTGCAATCCATCAAAAACCTTTTCTAATTAGTGCAGTAAAGTTATGCCAGTTAATAAGTAGTATTTATTGAGTGTCTTTTTGTAATTGTTTTAGAACAGAATGAAATATCATTGTATGTACAGTATTTAATTTATTTGCATACTGGTATGACATTTCTTTCCAAATGGAATTACTTATTTTTAAACATAGCGTTTATCATTACTGACCCTTTTTGTACATCCATGCAGACTGTCACAGATATTTTCTTGTTCAGAACATTTTTAATTTATTTAACTATTAATTTTTTTATTTTCTAGATAATTGACAGCATTATTGAAGAAAGTCAGTCGTTCATTGACTTACATGACAAACCAACAAGATCAAATGACAAGGGTGAGGTTTTGGATTTAACATCCAGTACAGGAAACACTGGTCAAAATCTTCTGAACAATATCCCAGAATTGGTAGTCACAGAAACCACTTTTCGTGATGACCGAGAAGACCTACTACAAGAGCCGATTGAATACACTGGGTTGGAACCCAGTCAGATATTACAATCAAATGAGCATACTGCGATTGCAGATATTATAGAGTTAGTTGAAGATCAAAAAATTACAGACAAAGTTGAAGACTCAAAAATCATAAGGGTTTTGGAGGAGATTAGGGAACCTAAGAAAGACATTTTGGAAGATACACCTGAAACATCTTGCTATGATACCATAGAACAGTTGGGTCCTGCAAAACCCCCCAGGCAGATTGCAATTGAGCCTGATATTGTAGCAAGTACAAAGAAATCTACTCCTTCACGGCCTCCACCTCCAGTAAACGTTCCACCGCCACGACCACCACCTCCGGCTAGACCAGCACCTCCTCCACGCAAGAAGAAGGACTCTGATTATGAGAACCCAAGATCTTCAGACTTGGATTGTGAGTATTGTACATAATTTGTTGATAAGTATATCTATGTCTTTATCGCAAATTATCTTTTTTACTATTGATGCATGTCTAGTCCAGGTAGTTAAAGAGACACTATTGGCACAAAACCACTTTCACCCAATGAAGCAGATTTGGTGTATAGATTATGCCCTGTGTCTCAGTCTCTGCCATTTAGAAGTTAAATCACTTTGTTTATACAGACCTAGTCACACCTTCCTGCATGTGACCTGCATAGTCTTCCAAAACACTTCCTATAAAGAGAGATCTAATGGTTAAACTTCCTTTATTGCCCATTCTGTTTAATTCGGAATTTCTCGTTTCCTGCACTGTTAATAACCTTATAAACCTTGCAGAAGCCCACTGTGTGTGATTAAAGTTCAATTTACAGAGCCTGGGATCAAAATTTCTAATGCAAGTTAACATCTGATTGAAAAGTAAGCCTTTTTTTTTGTTTTTTTGCATGCAGGCTTTGTAAGTCAAAGCCAGGGCTGCATGGACAGAAAAAAGTAAATAAACGCCTCCTAAATGACAGAATGGGCATGTTAATTACAACCAAGCTGTTTAAGCTAAAGTTGTTTAGTTGGCAATAGTATCCCTTTAATATTATCTTTTAAATAATTAAGACTTGCTAGTTTATTTTAATACTTTCCTATAAACACAATTTAGATCGTACTGTATTTTCACATCTCTTTACTCCCACTCCTTAAATGTTTTATCCTCCACCTTATAACCTGTTACACCTTATCCATAGAAAAACAGAGAGAGCTACAATTACTCCTGCCTCAAATAAATCTGCAGAATTTTGTACCTCCCTTGACAAAGTAGAAAGATTAATCACTGTCCTGCATGTCTTTGTGTCACACACATGAAACTAGGTTGTTTAACCCCTTTTACTTCAAGAAAGGTGGACATGTCACTATGGCTTGAAAAACAAACAAACCTATGTGCAGGATTGATATACACTGCTCAAAAAAATAAAGGGAACACAAAAATAACACATCCTAGATCTGAATGAATTACATATTCTTCTGAAATACTTTGTTCTTTACATAGTTGAATGTGCTGACAACAAAATCACACAAAAATTTTAAAATGGAAATCACATTTTTCAACCCATGGAGGTCTGGATTTGGAGTCACACTCAAAATCAAAGTGGAAAACCACACTACAGGCTGATGCAACTTTGATGTAATGTCCTTAAAGCAAGTCAAAATGAGGCTCAGTAGTGTGTGTGGCCTCCACGTGCCTGTATGACCTCCCTACAACACCTGTGCATGCTCCTGATGAGGTGGCGAATGGTCTCCTGAGGGATCTCCTCCCAGACCTGGACTAAAGCATCTGCCAACTCCTGGACAGTCTGTGGTGCAACATGACATTGGTGGATGGCGCGAGACATGATGTCCCAGATGTGCTCAATTGGATTCAGGTCTGGGGAACGGGCGGGCCAGTCCATAGCATCAATGTGTCTTGCAGGAACTGCTGACACACTCCAGCCACATGATGTCTAGCATTGCCTTGCGTTAGGAGGAACTCAGGGCCAACCGCACTAGCATATGGTCTCACAAGGGGTCTGAAGATCTCATCTCGGTACCTAATTGCAGTCAGGCTACCTCTGGCGAGCAAATGGAGGGCTGTGCGCCCCGCCCCCAAAGAAATGCCACCCCACACTTCCTGATGTACTGGCCTGTCTCCTGGTAGCGCCTCCTTGCTCTGGACACTACGCTGACAGGCACAGCAAACCTTGCCACAGCTCGCATTGATGTGCCATCCTGGATGAGCTGCACTACCTGAGCCACTTGTGTGGGTTGTAGACTCAGTCTCATGCTACCACTAGAGTGAAGGCACCACCAGCATTCAAAAGTGACCAAAACATCAGCCAGGAAGCATAGGAACTGAGAAGTGGTCTGTGGTCACCATCTGCAGAACCACTCTTTTATTGGGGGTGTCTAGCTAATTGCCTATAATTTCCACCTGTTGTCTATCCCATTTGCACAACAGCATGTGAAATTGATTGCCACTCAGTGTTGCTTCCTAAGTGGACAATTTGATTTCACAGAAGTGTGATTGACTTGGAGTTGCATTGTGTTGTTTAATTGTTCCCTTTATTTTTTTGAGCAGTGTATGTTTTTCCTCTTCTAAGGAAGCACAGTAGAGGAACACAGTGCAAAATGACTCAGAAAAAGGTATAATCGTATATGAGAATTAAAACAATGAGTGTAGTACCTAATTCACTTATTCAGATATTTCCTCTCCTGTGCTTTTCCAGTCTGTCCTTTTGAAATTACATCTGAGAAATAATTAGATTTACTAATTGGTTTATATCAGAAGGTTCCACTGTATTTTAAAATAAATTGTTAATTCTCCACTTTCCGAAGCAGTTTTCTGATCTCTAGAAATAAATGTTTTGTACTTCTGAGACCCAACATTACTGACCAACACAAATAATATATTCCTAAAACAACAATCGCACAGTAATGAGTGCAGTTCACAACCGCTGACAATCCTATCAGTAGCTGTCACCGACACAACCTATTTTGCAAAGGTGTTTATTCTTTTATTGTAAGGTTTACACAAGTGGGGAACAAAAATAGAACTGCAAACTGAATGAAATATATATATAGTCTACATGCTTAAATAAACACAGCATAGAGACGGTTAAATCTAAAAAAATAACCTCTAACCATGGCGTTCAACATACTGTATAGCTCACCAGACAAATTTGTTTTTGTTTGATATGAAGTTCAAACATTTGTCTTAATGTCTCAGATTTCACATTCAAAGAGAAAACAATGTTCTTTCAGGTGGAAATGTACTCCTTGATTGTGCTTGGAGAAGATTTATTACACATAAATGGTTTTGCTATTTGTAAATTGATTTTTAAGACATTACCTACTTGCTCGAGGCCTGCTCATTATGTAAACCGTAAGCACAAAAATAAAAACTGGTTGATGCAGAGAGTTTGGGTAAAGGCATGAACACTTGAGGGGTGGTGGGATGGAAGCCTATTTATATTTTTAAGCCTTTTATGTATTTTTAAGAGTATATGCCCAATCTTTACAACCTGTTTTCTCCTAACACTTGTCACACAGTAGAAAAAGGCCCAAAAGCCTTGATCACGTCTGATCTCTCTATATTTTGCTCCCTCCCCCACTTGTTCGATAGACATAGGAGCTTTAGTATAACAGGACCCATTGTACGCATGCCACGCAATACAAAGTGAAAATACAGCTATTCTAAAAAAACAACTGGTCTCTTCAGCACCTTTGATCTTCTCCACAGTCTGCTTTCCTCTCAAAGGATGCAAAGAGAAGTACCACTTAACATTATTGATCTGCTCAACAATCAGCCTGTTATAATGCAGAAATGAAAAACAGTTTGCCAACTTCCTTTTCATATCACTAATAAGGAACTGCAATCTGAAAATTTACTTCTGTTACAACCATTGACTTAAAGCGGCACTGTCATTCCAGACTTACCTTTCCCCAATCGATTCCTCTTCTCGCCCTCTGTCATGATCTGTTCTTCATTTCTCTAGTTTTCTTTAAAACATAGTCGTATGGAGGTTTCCTACGCCTGACCATCTATGACCAGCGGAGGAGCAAAGTGTGCTCCGTTTCCTGTGGTCAGAGAATTTTTCCCACAATTCTCACCTTTCCTCTGTGATCTTGCGATGCCTCCTTTCCGTATTCCCGAATGCCGGCAAAACTACCGAATTTCGTCCTAACAGAATGAGAGCAGTTCGTCCATTTGTGTTAGGACGAAATTCAGGACTTTGTTTTATTTCGAAATTTCATTCGATTGAATGAAACTCCAATCCGATCGTCAATAAATGGCCCCATGGTGGTGCATCTCTTAACAATCCTGGGAGGGTACATAGTGTCTCACTTGTGCCCTGTTAGTGGGGGCTATTCAAGTAAACTGGGGACATATTACACATCATGGGAAAATTCCAAAGAACTTTCCCACAATGTGTAAAATTACTCGGAGCACTCTGGTTGGATTTCAAGCCAACCAATCAGAGTGCTATATCGGGTAAATGGAGAGACTTGTCCGAAAAAATACACAAAGAAACTGTATGATAAAGGCGCTTAGGTATTTCAAAAATATTAAACACAGTGACGCTGCAATACCTTAGTGGGGATCCCTCTCACCCACCTTGAATATATAGCACCAGAAAACGGGTAAACGGCCAAAAGCAATTCACCTTAAGAGTGGAGCATTAAATGAATGGATTGGACACCTACCCTATACAAGGATTGTCTGGTTCTTTCCTTACAGTAGTTTTTATGTTACATCTAGTTCATAGAAATATATGTATGGGAAAAAGCAAACTGAGAAAAATAAGTGTAAATCCGTATATATGGTTTGTATCTGAAAGTGAATATATGAATTGTCAACTCACATGACTTAGAGCCCTAAATAGGATAGGCTCAAATCTCTTGCGTTTATGTGCCATCTGGTGGCACCTTCCTCTTTAAATGAACACTGTGTTCTTCATCAATATAGGGAGACAAAAAGTGACACAGCAGGGGACAAATTGGTGTAGTATGTTTTGAAATAATATTTCAAGGTGTATGCCTTTAAGTGATTGCTTACTTTGTCCATGAGCGGCGGGTGGGGGCCGGGGGGGAGGACAATAGGTCACTGGCTGCTCACTGTTTAGTAGACATGCCCCTACTCGCGGCATAGCGAGTAGGGGCATTCGGGAGATTTTAATCTCCCTTATGCTATTATGGGGGTCATATTTACCCCCACAGAGTGAGGGAGGACATAGGGGGTTTAGGAAGTGGCGGGGAGCACTGCTTCCATTTTCAAATTTCGTTTGAAATTTTTATTAATTTATTAATCTTTCTGATGAATGAATAGATAAAATTCCCGTTCACATGCCAAAGTGTTTAACTAGGCATGCGTGGGAATTTCACAGCGCTATCTAGTGTGGGCAGATGACAGGTCCTACAGGGACTTCATCTACCCACACAAAGATGGCCGCACCCAGGACCTAGGTCCGGGCAGAAAATAAAGATAAAAAAATAGGTAATATATGGGGGAGATAAGGGCATTTGGGGGTAGCTAGGGGGACAATTAGATGTAGTGGAGTCGGGAGGGGGGGATAAAAAAACAAACTGGATTCAGCCATGACAGTGCCGCTTTAAACTAGGTTTGCATATAACATTGTGCAAAACATTTGTGAATGTACTTCCTGCTGGAAATTCAAGTCAGTTAAAGGACCACTATAGTGCCAGGAAAACATATTCCCCCTCCCTCAGAGTCCCCCTCCCGCCCGGCTCTGGAAAGGGGAAAGGGTTAAAAACTTACCTTTTTCCAGCGCTGGGCAGGGAGCTCTCTGCTTCCTCTCCTCCTCTTCTCCTCCTCCTGGACTGAATGCGCACGCGCGGCAAGAGCTGCGCGCGCATTCAGCCCGTCGCATAGGAAAGCATTTACAATGCTTTCCTATGGACGCTTGCGTGCTCTCACTGTGAAAATCACAGTGAGAAGCACGCAAGCGCCTCTAGTGGCTGTCAATGAGACAGCCACTAGAGGATTAGGGGGAAGGCTTAACCCATTCATAAACATAGCAGTTTCTCTGAAACTGCTATGTTTATGAAAAAATGGGTTAACCCTAGCTGGACCTGGCACCCAGACCACTTCATTAAGCTGAAGTGGTCTGGGTGCCTAGAGTGGTCCTTTAAGAGAACACACAAATGTTAATATTGCAGAGCAAAACCTTAATTATACTTTTAAGCATATGCAATTGAAATCTCTTGAAATTCTGTACCCTTCATTACACAAGGTTTTATCAATATCCCAACTTAAATAGTATTGGATTAATCCCACATCCTTGGAGCCCCTTTGGGAATGATCGTAACCTATTGCTTTATGTAACATAAATGTGCCATGATTGATGTATATGTTACAGTTAAAGTGCAGAAATCAGTTAATGTGCACATTACCTAGTTAATCTGCAGATTAACTAGGGCGATCAGTTAAAGTGCAGAAAATGATTTCGTTTCTCAAATATTTCTCACATTACCTACTAGGCGCTCGTTAAAGTGCAAAAAAATCATTCTGCCCTTCATCTCTCTGAGGGGCTCACAGCTCTGGAGGACACCATGGTGTGCACAGGCTGCTGTTCTGTTCTTGTCTGGACCACATAGTCACATACATCTTCAAACCGTTATCCCAAACTGGTAAGAATACGAGGAGCCCCCACCACCACAAGAGAGCGAGCGCTTCCTGCACATTATGCAGCAACGCCCTGAAACGATCCCAGCAGATGCTCTCCACTGTTCTCAATATCCTCATATATTTGAAGACTGTCGGAATCAGTGGTCCATGAGAAGAACTCTCGGACTTACGGAGCAGCATTGTTCGTAGCCAGCCCCCTCTGAGAAGCAACAAGCCATGCGTCTATGCTTTGAGAATTTGATAGTGGAGGGCATTAAAGGAACTTGCTCACTAAAAGAATCGAGACAGGTTCACACAGAATCTTTCTGCCTTCAGACGAGAAGTGAACGACTCTGCAGAGACTGCACTGAAAGGGTGAAACAGGTTCTGCGAGGACGTTGTTTTTTGTAATAAATAATTTCCTCTTTTACCGAGGGAAAGAAACAAACATTATGCACTTTAACTAGACGGAAGCAGTTAATGTGCACATTACCTAGGTAAAGTGAGGAAAACTCTTGATTCCGCACTTTATCTGAGCAAATCAGTTAATCTGCAGATTAACTAGGTAATGTGCACATTAACGGATTTCTCACTTTAACTGCAACATATACATGTAAACGATAAAACACATTGGTTGAAGAACCTAGCCTGGGTTAGAATGCAACATTCTGCCATTTGCAATTTTATTTTTTAACATATATATTCACTTTTTTACATTAAAAGGTGTTGAAACTTTTGCACCATATGCGTCATGTGTATGCATTAGCAAGTGAAAGCACTTTGAAGATGGAAGCAAAAATCTATTTTGTATCAGAAATTGAAGATCTCCCACTGATGTAACAAATTGTGTAGGAAAGGCAAACTGTATCAGAGCATGAATTCACAGCTTGAAGACTTAGGTCAGTTCTCAAAGCACAGAATAGTATGCAATAACCACCATTCTCCATATGTGGTGAAAATGGTATTGGTTTGTGGTTTAAGTAATCTGAGAATGTTTGTTTTTGAGAAACCTCATTAATCTCACACATTTTTATGTGTTTCATATTTTAAAACTGATGTTTGAAAAACTTGGTTTTGTTATGTTAAAGGGATACAATACTATCCGTGAACTCTTGAGTACAATGCAAAGTCCCACAGGAGAACTTCATGCAACCCGCTGGGTCAATTTGATGATTTAGTCTATAAAACCTTGCTTTTGTAAATGTATATTTAGTGAGGAGAATAGGACGACCATTGCCATCACATGTCTATGGCAGTTAGCTGACTTAAAATGAATATCTGCAGCATAAATTAGTGCAGTTTTACAACAATCTTTTCACACTGGACATAGGCGACTTCTGTTTTGACCCAGTTCTGATGTTATGAAATATCCATCATATTCATTCTAAAAGTCTGCATTACTTGGTAAAATATAAGCCTGCAAGTCTTCCAAACTGTATCAAAATACATTGTATAGAACCTATCACTGTCTTATAATTGTTTGTGCAAATTTTATAATGGCTGTCATTCACCACTTAGGAATCAAACGCTAGTGTCCTGTCATTACAACCCTGCCCCAGTATGATCTATGGTAAAACAGAATCTTCTAATTATTTAGCTTTGACACCTGTATCCAACCCTGCTGCAAAAAGCAATTTCATGAGTGCACTTGTCATTTACTCACATTAGAGAGTCACTTTAAAAACATGGTTTTATATAAAAATTGTGCTAGCTAAATTGCAAGCAAATCTATAGATGATCTATGCCATATATGAGCTACATATAATGTATGGATTCTACTAAACTTCATTTTCACCTTCTTGGTCTTTGTTACTGTACCATTTGTTAACCCTTTCTCATCTGTATTCATGAAATGCCTCAAACTAGTCTCCACCACATGTTTAATGCAAGGTGGAATTAGTGTTTTATATTATTGAAATGACTATCTGTAGTTTTGCATGTGTGCTCTTTTTAACCCATTGAAATGCACAATGTTTACGTGGCTACCTATTTTTTGCATTTTTTACCCTCCTTTTTACTTTTACAGCTCCCAGTATTTCTTTGTCTATCAATGCATTTAGCAATGCTTCATCTTCTCTTCCTAATCCATCAAAAAACACATGATCATGAATTCAATATACTGTAACCTTCTGCTGTAATATTTAAAAACAAACCATCCCAGATCCGGTAACTTTGCACTTTGATTTATTAAGGATGGCTGTGGCCTGACCAGCTATTTAGTATGAGTCATGAGGCTGTTTTTACTGAATGACATTTCTTTCAAGCCAAGGAGCAAATATCAAGCATCACAAACTGCCCACCATAGAGAACATAAGAATAATGCAAATTGTAGGTGTTACTGTGATTTTGTACTTTGTTATGAAGCACTCATTCAAGAAAGGCAATGCCAGATTTCGAGTTGCTGCAGTTGATGACAATTTTTTTTTTTTTTGTTTAGCAAACCTATTAGAGTTCTATAGCTGTGCATATGCCATAGTCACACAATGTCTCTCGTTCAGTCCATGTCCCTCTTTCTTCACTCTGTAGCACTTGAATTCATCTCTACTCCCTAATTCATGTTACTTTACCCGTCATCTCCTTTCTTTTTTTTTTTCCTCTTCCAATCTGCAGGGGTTTTTTTTCCAATCTGCTAACATACCCATTCCCATGTCCATCTCCACATTACTCTTCCCATTAAACTATCCTCCTTGCGACATCTGTTTATCATATAGGCCAGTGGTTTCCAAACCCGTCCTCAAGTCACGCCTACCAGTCCAGTATTTAGGTATTACCCAATTGAGTCTAAGGTGTTTTTGGAAGGAGGGAAAAAAAACCACTGACACAACACATGTAATCCATAAATCCTGGACTGGTAGACGTGCCTTGGGGTCAGGTTTGGAAACCACTGATATAGGTGTTAGTGCAGTAGTGCAGGGACATGGCGATATTCCCTCTGCCTGTCACTGTTTTTTCTTATGTTGGGATTTGCAACATGAACAGAGCTTGTTCTGGCAGTGGTAATGATGTGCCAGTCAATAGATGTTTTATTCACATAGCAAATCCTTCATGCAGAGTTTAGAAATGACAGGCAGTATAAATACTGTCACTGCTATGGAAAACCTATCAATTTAACAATAGCAAACCTCCAACCACTTTGAGAGTGTGTAAACTTAAAGGGATACCTCAAGCACAGAAAACAAATTTAGCTTAATGAAGCAGTTTTGGTGTGTAGATCATGCCTCTGAAGTCACACTGCTCAATTCTCTGACATTTAGCAGTTAAATCACTTGTTTCTGTTTATGCAACCCTAGCTATCTTAACTACCTCCCTTACCTGTGACTCACACAGCCTACATGAAAAAATAATTTATTTTTCAATCACTACAGTGTGTTCACTTTAGAAGTTATCTCCTGCTCTGTAAATTGAACTTTAATCACACACCGGAGGCCATTGCAGGCTATAGTAGACTATTAACAGATCAAATAACAAATTCTAAATTAAACAGACTGTACAATAAAGGAAGTTTAAACATTAGGTCTCACGTTACAGGAACTGTGTATGGTGACTGTGTAGGTCATATGCAGGAGAGGCGTAGATATGTCTACATGAACAAAAAGTAATTTAACTAAATTGAATAGAATTGAGCAGTTAGATTGCAGAGACATGGTGTATATACACCAAGAACACTCCATTGTGCTATAGTTTTTTTTTTGTGGTGAGTGGTTGGCAGTGGGTTTTTGTTTTGTGACCTTTTGAAATCTCCCTCAAATCCCGTTTTTGGTGTTCAAGTTTATATTATGCAATATATACCTCTTCTGGCTGTTAACATGTCTTTTTATTATGTGCTGCTATGGTATCCTCCCTGAATGGCTAAATCCCTGAGGAATATGTTGGTGCTTTAAATGTTGATAATATTACTACTGTAATAAAAAGAAAAAATTGGTCTTTAGTACCTTATTTTCCATTTACCTTATGCTGCTATTCTTCACTTTCCTATAGGATATGATGGACTGCTTTGGTTCATTCTCTCTGCTTGTAAACATTATCATGTATATATTGGTAATGTTAATTCATTAATTTTTTATTTATTTTTTTTGGGTGGGATCCTGCAGTTCCAAAAGATGGCTTCCTGGCTGGGGGCCTTTTATCGCCAAACCCAATCACCGATGGATTAAACCGAGATTCTCAGCCTTCCTTGGATCTAGCTAGTGCCACCAGTGGAGATAAGATAGTGACTGCTCAGGTGGGTACATTGCCAGAACCAAATGGCATGAAAAGCATTCCTTAAATTTGAAGAATTAAAACCTCAAATAATGTCTTACTATGATTACAAATCAAGGTTCTATTATGATTCCAAGGTTTGATGATGATTCCGAGACAAACGGCATATACCATATTGACTGATGTTTTTTGATATGCCATTTCTACCGCTTGATAGTTTTTGGATGAAAACTTGAATAACCAATATATTTACTAATCCTGGATTCAGCTCACTGCAGTTGCTTTGATATGGCCAAGTTCACCAAAGGTTTTATGCCATCTGTGTTTGTATATTTTGAACATCATAGGATAGTATGAGGCATTCTTAGAGACTCATAGAAGAACGGCCCATTGCTTGAATATACTCATCAACTACAACAGTAAAACCACTGACCGGTCAAGTGAATAAGATAGGGATTGAAGAGAAAATACTAGCAGAGCAGGAGATAAGAACATCTAAAAAACAAAAACACACTAAGCGGTTTGTTCTGAATGAAAAGTTTCAATGGAGCATGGAGTCGTCTAGTGGCTAGGGTTGCATGAACAGAAACAGTGATTTGACTAATAAATGGAAAATAAATTAGCAGTTGGACTACGGGGGCGAGAGTTGAGGTTCAGTTAGAATAGCAGTTATACAAATAGGGCATAAAATTTGCACCACATTACAGTGTTGGGAAAACCATGTCAGTGCAACCATAAACATAGATGAAGCTCAAATCCATCTTCAGCTTTTGTTAACTTGTAATACAGTCTGAATAGTGTATGGTCATTAAAATGCTTAGTAATTGTTAATTAGCCTTGGTCCTAGAACAAATGTTTGACTGCCTCTTTAACTCCTTAAGGACACATGACATGTGTGACATGTCATGATTCCCTTTTATTCCAGAAGCTTGGTCCTTAAGGGGTTAAATATGTATATACATTACTTTGGTAACATTGACACTGTGTAAGCAGTTTAATGGCAGTTGCCAATTAGGTTTCAATGAGATCTATTTTATGCGATTGCACACATTGCGCATAAAAAGGGCTTCTTAAAGGTTTGCCCCAAGCACCATGACCACTTCAGTGATTTGAAATGGTTATTGTGCCTGGATTCTGTGCTGTATTTTGATTTGAAACTATGCATTTAGGGGTTTTGCCAGTACCCTGTCCCAAAATATAACTGGCACACAAGGTTATCTGCTCTGCACCTGCCTACGCCACTGGCTGCACTTCTGGAGTGTAATCCATTTTCTGCGTGAGCTGTAACACTACCTCTGGCAGCATCATCAGCTAGCCCGGAACAATAGTTCAGGGCTGGGTGATGTGAATTGTGCAATAGTTTGTACAAAAATTGGGCATAGCACAGGATGTAATTTCTGTGCACAGTTTGTTCGAAAACTGTTAGCTGATTCTTGTAGCCAATGAATGGCGACTGGATTGGCTTTCTGCTTTTGATCCAGGTGAAAGGGCAAACTGTTGTTAATTACCAGGGAACTGGGCCAAGGTGCTCCTGACATCATATCCACTACAGCCTACTTCAGTGGTTATACTGCTTGGAGTAACCATTTATTCTGCTTGGAGTAGCCATTTATTTCCACAAGCATCATCTGTTCAATCCTGTAATTTATTAATGCAATGTAAAAAGTGCAACAAAAAAAACGATCATTGCGCATTGTGACTTGGGCACACTTAGAACCCATTTGAGTGAATGTTGCAAATAAATATACTCACTGAGATTTTTCTTTACTCTTGTCACAGGAGAATGGAAAAGCTGCAGATGGACAGCTGTCTTCTACACCCAGTGAAAGTCTTGGTCCCCAAAGACCTCGGTCTAATTCAGGACGTGAGCTCACTGATGAGGTAATGATGACTTTTAAAAAAATGTACGCCCGCTGACCTTAAAATGTACATTATTTTTCTCATTGTTACACTTTCATCTAAGTTTTCATTTTGGGGAGAATGTGGAATAGCTAGAGGTGCTTTTTTTACCCCGTGGCAGAGAATCCAATATCTGGTTTCTTTAGAAACAAACTCTATATAATGCCTAACTACGATAGTAAATGAAAAGGCTTTGTCAGAGGGCTGGTACAGAAATGGCATTAGGTGGCAGATTATCTGTACCCTTTTTTTTTTTTACTACTTTGTCTTCTTGCTCACCCATTAAAAACTTCACCAACTGCAGGTGTCTGCCCTGCCTAGAAATCAAGTATTGACCGTTATAAAGAGTTCCATTCTTACCATGTGTGTTCTGCCTTTAATATCTTTTATTTTCTTTCTAGTTCAGTTCCCCAGTCCAAAGAGTTGTAAATTTAAAACTATTGCTTCTAATAATTTTATGATCTGTATCTTATTTGTTTCCCATTTTTATCTGATTTGTTCATTCACCCATGTCACTGCTGCTATTTCTAATGAGTCAAACTTCCTCGGTTACAATGTTTTTACCACTATTTTTTTTTTATTAGTTTTTGTTTGTTCCTAAAAATTTTATTTAGATATTATGTTTTTCCTTTCTTGTTCTCTGTACTTAACACTTTGCAAATGATTATGTGTGCACTGCAGTTTGCTTTATGAAATCTTTCCAGATTTACTTGTGTTTGACTCATGGTTGCCAGTCCTCAATAGGAAGTCCATGTGGATAACAGATCACTGCTGTTTAGTTTATTGAAAAAAGAAACTGATTGGGGTCTGATAGCTGAACAACAAATATTAAAACACTGTTACCGGGGGGTTACCAATAGCTCCGATAACCTAAAGCAGAATCCAAGCGCTGTCGGCAAAACTAAAGCCCATCGGCTGAAACCGGCTACGGACATCGACTCGGGGCACACTGCTCAAACTGCAGATGCCTTTCTTCCAAACTCCGAGCACAAAACGCTGCTCTTGGGGCCTACCGCGCAAGCGCCCGCCAACACGACCAGTTCGGAGAGTTATCAGCGTGGCTCGAGATCGGATTTCTACAATCTGGAAGAAATGGGACGGAGGTCCCAAAAACCGACCCCACACGCACACCCAAGCCACAACGGGACATAGGCATCATGCTATAATCCCCTCCACTGGCACGGACCCAAGCCGCCATGGAAGCTTCGCCCACGAGGTCTGAAGATGAGAACTCTGTGCACAGAATGGCCACAGACGGAGAAAACCCACAGACCACAAGAGAATCAGCCCCAGCGACCAAGCAGGATATTCAGAACATGCTGGCTGGACTCCAATGCAACTTACAGCAAATGTGGCAGGCAGACCTCAAGGGGCTTGTAGCAGAGGTAGAGGAAGTGACAGCCCGCACTCAAGCCGCAGAAGGGGAGGTGAGAGACCTGCGACAAGACTTAAACGCACTGAAAGATTCAGTTACCCAGATGAAAGCCACACAGACAACTATCACCAGACAAGTTAATGTGCTAGATGACAGGGGCAGGAGGAAGAATGTTAAGATCAGGGGGGTACCAGAATCGGTACTGCTGGAGGAACTTCCCCATTTTATAAGGTGCTTAGTGGCCTCACTTCTACCCACCAGGCAAGCGAAACACTTCACGTGTGATGGAGTATATGGCATCGCCAAATCACTGCAAGCGCCAAAGGCGGCACCCAGCAACCTCCTCATACGATGCCAAACTCTTGCTGATAAAATAGCCCTAATGGCTGCTATTAAAGGAAAAACACCCTACAAATTTGACACACACTAAATCGCCTTCTTCCAAAACCTGAGCAGGGACACACTTTCGTGGCGCAAGAGCATGCAACCCATATCCACCACCCTACAAACAGCAGGACTCACTTACAGCTGGGCAACCCCTCGATCGCTCTGGGTAGCCAAGGACGATAAATCCTACACTCCTACAACCCTAGCCAATACAGAACAGACCACTAAAACACCAGCATTACACTCAACATAGCTGAGACCATCAAACCATCTAATCGACCCATAGGCATGACTTAACATAGTCCCTGAAAGTCAAGAGGACTAACCAATACGCCTCTGTACACAAGACGCCCTAAACTATCAATGGTCGCCCTCTCAGGCGGTACTTTACCCCCAACTTGTTTAGAACGCTGAACGCCCCCGCCCAGCCAGGCTGAGCCCATTTGAAAATAAAAGCATATAGAGCTGGACAGATCCCTATGACTGCCTAGGCCACTTTCTCAAAACCATGCATGCTTGCACCCTATTGACCACCTGATCATATGTTACTATGATGTCTGGCATTATGGATATGTTATGATTTAACATTATGCACTGAAAACAAAAAGAATTAAAAACAAAACACTGTTAGATTGTATGCATGATCCCGGGAGTGCAAAATGTGGATCTGTCTCCTCATTTTGTATAATCCAGGAAGACTGGTAATCTTTCGTATCATATATGGTTAAGTTTTCATACCCCACTAATTATTTTCTTCTTGCAGGAGATTTTAGCAAGTGTAATGATCAAAAACTTGGATACAGGAGAAGAAATACCTCTGAGCCTAGCTGAAGAAAAATTGCCAACTGGCATTAATCCTTTGACATTACATATCATGAGGAGAACAAAAGAATACGTCAGGTGAGAAATATATATATATATATTTGTATATAAATAATATGAATAACTTCTCAAGAATGAGACTGATCTCTATTAAAATAATGATTTCATTGCCCAAATTTGTGGAGGATTATGTTCAAAAAACTTTTCTAGAGCAAAGTTTTAAAAGTGGAGCATTGGGCTGCAGCATTTCATTTGTTTTCATGGTAATTGCTACGGTTTCAGAACTTTACAAATAATAAGGAAACGAGGTAGAGAAGTATGACTCACAGACCTCAAGTAAGCATTTGTAGAAGGAGAGGAAGCTACCTTTGCAAAGGTTTTAGTATTATCTTTGGGCTTCATTTAGATGATATTTATATCAAATTTAAAGGAATACAAAGCCACCAACAGGACTAAAGGGTCCCTCGGCACGGAGTTGCGGAATCAATGCTTTCCTATGAGGAAATAGCTGAAGCTGGACGTCCAGCGTCCGTTACCGGACCAAAAGTCCGTTAGGATCCAGCAAGCGCCTCCAGTGGCTGTCTGGTAGAGACCCACTGGAAGCAGACTTAGTGTTGCAATGTAAACATTGCAGTTTCTCTGCACTAAGTGCAATGTGCAAAAGGGACACTGCACCCAGACCACTTCAATGAGCTGAAGTGGCCTGGGTGCCTATAGTGTCCCTTTAAGCTCTAATTTTACAAATTAATAAACTTTTCATAGGATGTGTCACTATTCAGTTTGTGATCCTAGAAATCCATATGTTTAATTCCCAGGAGACAAGTTTATTGTGATGTTGCATGGGACCTGCTCTCTGATAGATATCAAAAAACAATAGAATATACTTTTATCTTTGTATGTGCAAGTGATTTGTTTAGCAGATATTATAGATTACCTTTAATCCTCTACTTTAAGTAAGCCAGGATGTAGGGCAGACAAAGGGAATACTTGGATGCATTTCAGTAAAGAATACTCTAAACTGTTATAGTTTATTTATAGACATTAATTGTTGTTTTAATGGATAAATCAAATAGAGAATGTTATAAAATAAGGGAAGTGAATAAAAATAAATACATGATATGCATTTAGGGGGAGGGGAAGGGGTGATATTTATTGGAAACTCCGTATAGTAAAGTAGAAAAACAACAAAATGTAGTTTTAATTGAAGCCTAAAATACATTCTACGGATTATTTTTTTCTTCACTAATTTTTTTTTCATATCGACATTTTGTGGTTAGATTTGTCTGCCTAATAGATTTTCAAATTACCAGCATCTGGGACATAAAAATTCTATAGATCTCTGCTGGCTGCCCAGTGTTCATTGTGCATCTGAGTACTTAATGCGTAGCATTACAATCATTATCATCTTCTGGACAAAGGGAACATCATGCCGTTATTACAGTAGCTTTAAAGACACATTTCAAACTCTTTTTATTTTTTTCTTGTGTAAGACGTCATTCCAGGCTGACCTGTGTGATCTTTCTAGTTAGAGTTCTTTTATGAAACTGAACCATTGTATAAAGCTTCCATCATTTTACCTTTTCAAAAAATAAAGGTTGCAGATATGAACATGTTTCCTCCTAAGTAATGTCTAAAATACCTGGGTGTAGCCATTAGTGTCCTTAATGTTGCCATTGTGGGCACTCTTAAAAGATTGGAAAAAATAACTATTCTTTTAGATTTTTATTTTTTTTTACTCCTAGAGTTCAGAATGGTATTTTACAGTTTAATTTTTATAATTTTATATATATATCTCAATGATCATACGATGGGCCTATCTAATGCCCACTGGAATTAATGCTTATTAAAAATATCTAGTTCCAGTGTCTGCTTGCATGGACTTTTCAATGCACTTGTGCCGATGAAGAGCATAGTACCTTTGGATAGATAACGGACAACTCCATCTTGTGGTCATACGTTGGAATAGAGCATGGATTAATAATTTTATTTTTTAATCTCTGACACTGACACTGTGCCATCTAGAATCCGATATAGATATTTTTTTTAAAACAGGACTCTTAACGTGATATATATATGACAAAGTTCCTAGAGTGTTATTAAGCACTCAGCATCAAGACAAGTACTGTGAGTGTAGCTCATGGAATTAATGCATAATTCTTAGACTGGAAAATAAATGGAATTCTAAAACAAATGGCCCTGGTGATGTGAATCTGCAGTCAGAAATAATATAAAGGAATGTTGCACTGCCCTGGATGTATTCAGATTCATGCATTCAATCTAAAGAATGATGGATGTTGTAGTTAAAGAAAACAAAAACAGAATGCTGTTATTTTATGTGGAATAGTCATGTGCTATTATCAGGTTAGGTCAAGCAGATTTATTGCAGCATTGTCCCTATAATATCACCTTTTTATTGAATGAGTACCCCAATGCCACAATCTATTCATTGCCATTAAGGTTTCAAATTCAGAAGGTCTAAAACGTACACAAAGCACAGGTGGAAAACCTGTAGCGTGGAGCAAGTGCATTGAGCATGGTGAAAGTTTCACTATATACTGAATAGGATTCCAGCTGTATGTTCCATTCTCTTTGTATGTTGCTAGATGCTCTACTCTACTTGAAGGGAGTGATGTCCTGAGAAGTATATCTTTTGAACTATGCACTTGCTGATTTCATAGCACAATGTATAGTTTAAATCTGGCAGTTTTACATGGGATTTGTGAACACTGCCACTTACACTGATCAGCATTTTTCACATGTTCACATCAATCACAAACATCCCCATCATGATGTAGGTAGTTGTTAGACAGAGTATCAAATTATGGTATGTACTTGTTGAGAAATTTAGTTTTGTGTGTTATATCATTTAGAATTATTTTATTTTTTTCTTTCATTTGAACTTTTAAACATAGTTGGTTTCTGTGCATCCAAGATGGCGTCTGTCCGACGCTGCTTTCCTCGTAGTGATGACTAAAAATATCTGGCCTAATTGCATCTAGCACCTGTACTATAACTGTTAAATAAAGGTGTGCAATAACTTGCAAATCATCACAACTCGTTTCCTTGTTCTCTCTTACAGTAATGATGCAGCTCAGTCAGATGACGAGGAGAAACTACAGTCCCATCAGTCTGACACGGATGGAGGAAAGCTGAAACAAAAAACGTAAACCTAGTTGCTCTATCTTTAACGGAAATGTTCTTAGCATCGTTATCTGTCTCCTCTATATCGGTCAGTGTGATTGTGATTGCTGGGAGTTAAACAAGACAAGTGTAGTCTTAGGGCAACATACAAAACCCAGGAACACAAATAAGTCTTCGAAATGGGTAGCTTCAATGTATATATCAATAGATATATTTTGTTTCTCTAATGCCTCATGTAGGTAGATGGCAGTCAGAACAGAATGAATATGGCTTTAGTGCATTAGCAGGGTAGAGCAGTAGAAAACATGGATGTGCTTTTTATTTAGAAATTTACAGAGTTGGTCACTTATATATTGACACTAGCAAAGCTTTCTGTATGCATTAACAAGTGCCAAGGACAACAATATAGAAAACTATTTTCATTTTTTACATTTATTTATTTAGTTTATTTTATATTGTCCAATAGGACCAATCGATTTCTCATGAACATCCAAGAATCTGTCATAACTTAAGCTCAGCATTGGCATGATCCACGTGATTGCCAGAATATGGGGAATATGATCTTCTTGCTTAGGTTGTATTTGTGTATACTGCTACACTAAATTTCAGGAATTTAGACACCTGACTTACATATTTAAAAATTGGCAGTATAATAATAAAAAAATAACTATCTGCAAGCAACAACGTACCGGGCATGTCGGTCTAGATACTGCATGTTAATATAACATGTTATAAAGCAATTACATAGATATGTATTTTACATTACATATTTAAAGATTTTCAAAAATTCTCTTTCAAAGCAATATGGCCAACAAACCGTGTGACTGTCTTACATATCTCTGCAAAATATCTAAAGATAGCATAACTTTACAGAGCAAGTGTTGCATCTGTCATGGAACAAGAGATAATTGATTACTTCTTACAAATTGGTCACTTAAAGAGGCACTGTCACTTCAAAATATTAGCACAGCCAAGCAAAAGTTAACTACTGGTTGTGCTGATTTTTTTTTTTTTTAGTTCCTGTAGATTAAATTTTATGTTCAATAAATGTTTTGCTAATCAAATTAGTTATAAAGGGATACAATAGGCACCTAAACAAATTTAGCTTAATTAGGCAGTTTTAGTGTATAGGCTCACTGCTCAATTCTCTGCCATTTAGGCGTTAACTCATGTTTGTTTCTATTTATGCAGCCCTAGCCACATCTCACTTGGCTGTGACTGACACAGCCTGCATGATTTCCCCTCCCCCTCCCCCGTTTTTATTCAGATGTTAACTTGCTTTAGAAATGTTTTCCCTGCTCTGTAAATATAACTTCAAGAGCAGGAGAATATAAATTATAGATTAACCAGATCATACAATGTTCTTTTTTAGGAAGGCTGTGCAAGTCACATGCAGGGTGGTGTGACTAGGGCTGTATAAACCGTATAAAAAGTGATTTAGCTCCTAAATGGCATAAAATAGAGCAGAGAGACTGCAGGTGCATAATCCATACACCAAAACTGTTTCATAATGCAAAAGTTTTTATTGGTACCTATAGTATCATTTTAACCTTTGCAGTGCCATGCAAATGTGAGCAGTATAGCACTGCTGGAGAAAACTTGCACTGCTATGAAATTTCTCTGCAGATATGAGCATGCCCTAAGACTTTGTTATCTAGAACAGGGAAGTGCAGTGGAACAAATTCTTTATTCACACCAATAAATCCTGAAATAGTGTATCTGGGTACACTTCTCTGGAAGAGATGGCTCTGCTTTAAACAAATATCGAAGCAGACTATCTTGCCTCCAAGTTGCAAACAGCTTACCATAGTTTTCATATTTTTGTCCAGCAATTCTATAATTTTAATGTTTACAAAAAAAAGAAAGAAATCATCTGCCAAACATACCTGATGGACTCCTCTTGAAGATGTAGATTATACGAACATCCATAACTCAATACACAGTTTAACATTTTTCTGAAAAGTTCTTTCAGGGAAGATGGTAAATTCTGCAGAATAATTTTGAATTCAGTTCATAACCTAACACTCCGCAAGTTTCTCATTTGTAGAGCTGTTGATTGCATTAATTGTATATTAATACTGCACTGCGTGGAATGCACTTTCAGTATGTGTAACAATTGTTCATTTTTTTTTTATTTTTTCTCCAAAGGACTCAGCTGAAAAAGTTTTTGGGGAAATCTGTGAAAAGAGCCAAACATTTAGCAGAGGAATACGGGGAGAGAGCGGTCAACAAAGTAAAAAGCGTTCGCGATGAAGGTCAGCCACCTTTTTATAACGGTTGCTCAATGGGCCAAATCTACCAGGAATTACATCCCCCTCCCTTCACCCACGGCATGCATTAACAAAAAAAAAAAAAAAGTAATAATTTAAAACAAAATTACAGCACTGTTATTTAGCCTACACCTTCACAAACCCTGTCAGAGACATGCAAGGGAGGGTTATTACTGTAAATGTCTTATTTTCCAAGCACTCCATGATCAAAGCCCTGCACTGCTAAATTCATAAAGAATGTGCTCTGATGCTATCAGTATATATCCCATGCTCCTCTCTGTGCCTGGAAATACTTCCTCTCCCAGCATGCCAATCTGCCATTCCTTTGAGCGTCAGTGCTCTTGCAAATAAACCCGGCCCCCTCACTCTCTGTCTCTATATATATTTCTTGCGTAATGTCCTTTGAGCAGGGCCATCTTCACCTCTTGTCTTTTAATTTTATATGTCAGATGTCCCCATTTTATAAAGCTCTGCGGAATAGGTTTGTATTATATAAATGCTAATAGTTAACCTATATTATATCTACAGAGACTACACACAAACTTTATTTTTCATATAATCTACAGAGGCTCATTGTACTCTGTAGGAAGCTATATGAAGTTTTCTATACATATGAAGGTGTTTTAATAAGCCTCACTTTCACCACAAGATAACAGGATCCTCCATAGACTGTTTGTTTGTTTTTTTTCTCTTCAGCCAGTGGAACTTGACTGAGAGTTCCGCCTTTTGTCAAGTTTTGTCAGGCATAGATAACATACTAATGCATAGTCTCCTTTTTGATTAATAGAAAAAACTATTTTAAAATAATTTGGGGGGGAAAAAGTCATTTTCGGCCAAGGGCATCCTGAATTTTCGTTTTCGGCTCAGAATTTTCATTTTGGTGCATCCCTTCTTTTTATACGTAGTTAACGGATATGGTTATAAAATATGTTATAGGTACAGGTGAATCATGTCTTTAGATTCAAGGTAGTACTCTGGTACTATTCCATTCGTCATTGCTCCACTTTAACAACTTTACACAATATTTCTGAACATATTACTTTGATATACAGGCACTCTTCATTTACTGACACAGTTCTGTTCATACTACTAGTTCTATAAGCGAATTGGTCGGTAAGGGAGGATCCCTCAGAGCGGTGCGACAGTCAAGTCTCGCATGTGCTAGAGAGCAGGTCTATGTTCAGGTAATTCCCTTTGACATAGACCAGCTCTCTCGCATGGGTGAATCCCTCAAATCTATGTTCAAAGGAATTCCCGAGGCTCAGATTTGGGGGATTTCCTGCATTAGAGAGGTTGTATGTCTGAGCAGTCTGTAAGCAGGTAAGTTGTGCATTTCCCCAGTCTACAGAAATGTCTGTTCATTATTTATTTGTCTTGAAATGTTGAGTGGGCTCAAAATTACTTAAATTACTTAATTAAATTACTTTAATGGCCCTACATTGACAGGTTTCCAATGTACTGAATGTACAACTTTACTTATTCAGATTGTGCTGAAGCATCTGTACAATCTTATAAGCAATATTCTACTTCTTTTCTCCAGTTTTCCATACTGACCCAGATGACCCTTCCTCCAGTGATGATGAAGGAATGCCTTATACCAGGCCTGTGAAGTTTAAAGCTGCCCATGGTTTCAAGGGACCATACGACTTTGAGCAAATCAAAGTGGTGCAGGATCTAAGTGGAGAGCATATGGTAATCTTTGAGTTTTACTTCGGTGTGTGTTCTCAGTTAGCAGGCTTAAAGTGCTAGCCTCTTTCCTATCACAGCAGCAGTATCTGACAACACTGAATCCGCTCTCTTTTCTTGCTAGGGTGCTGTGTGGACAATGAAATTCTCCCACTGCGGACGATTACTTGCCTCAGCTGGACAAGATAACGTAGTCAGGATATGGGTTCTGAAAAATGCCTTTGATTATTTTAATAATATGCGAATCAAATATAACACAGAAGGTACGTTCAGATATATTTTGTTTTTCTAATGCGCAGATTTATCTAAATATACGATCATAATGCAGTTTGGGGGTTGTAAACATATTAATCATAATGCTGTTTGGGGTTTGTAAACATATTAATCATAATGCAGTTTGGGGGTTCTAAACTTGGGTAGAATCTGAACATACCTGGTCTGCCTGAGTTTAGTAGGAGCTGCACTCCTGAGCGGCAGGTAGATTTATTGACATAATGTTTCATGGTGTTTCTGAGCTCTTATTAAATAGCATATTTAATAATAAAAAATCACAAGCCACATTGAATTGGCAATATTTCACAGCGAATTTGAGCTTAATCATACGCCTTTCATTTTATTTTTTTATTTTTATTTTTTACTTGCTCTCGTTTTTCTAAAAACTCTATTCCATATACAGAAACATATGGCCAGACTATGTGTAGCTATAAATACATATTTGGTTGCATTTATTAACTGAATGGTCCCTTCATCAAAGAATGCAATAAAAAGACTTCTCCTTTTCCATGGAAAATTGATGGCAGTTAAGTGCCTTTAAAATGGTCTCCTGAACATCAGTTTATTCTCATTTAGCCAAAAGATAGTACATTTTGCTTGGAACTCTTGTAGAGTCTTCTAGAGACTATTTAATATTTTTTCAACAAAAAACATCCTGGGATATATCTATAAGTGAACCCCAAAAGGGTATTCATTTGCACCCCAAGAGCAGTGCTCCCATCTATTGGTTTTTCAGGTATGTGGGAAATTATAGAGAGATATGGAGATTTCAATTGATTTGTGCACAGTGTTTAAGGATATACCTTGTTTTGAACAAAGTTACATTCCTAGAGTTCAGCTTTGCCCTCGCTAGATAAATTCACACAAACCTGCTGAATTAGGGAATTGTATGTTCCATCTGACATATTTCTAGGGCCTCATGTATTCATTTGAATCACTAAGCATCCCAAAATGTATTTTAAAAAAAAAGAAGTTTGTGGACATATCTATTTCTATATATAGAAAATTATATATATATACACATATATATATACACACACACACACACACACACACACACACACATTATATATCTATATATATAAAATACCAGAGTATTGCAGTATGCAATGATACCTTTTTATTGGACTAACATAATATCTCAAAGACAAGCTTTCAAGAGTTTTCCTCTCTTCTTCAGGTCTGAAGCAATACTGATCAATCTGATAAGAGTTTAACCCTCAAAAACAACTGATGTTAGAGAAGGGGGGAGGGGATGAGGGGGGTGTAATAAACAGCCGAAGATGTTCCTGAAAGTGAAAGGTGTAGGAGAATAGCCAGAAAATGTAAATGAGCAGAGTCAATAAGCTAGTTGAAAAAAAAAAAGACACAAAAAACAACAAAACAGCAGAGCAGGGCATGCAAGTAAATAGCTGCATATATGTATGTATATAAATTGATCCAATAAAGGTGAAGCGAGAATATTGAAAAAGAACTATATAAGACATTAAGATGTTTGTTTATAGAAAGTTTTGGTAGTGTGTGAGAAAGCCAGACTGGTCGATCCATCCAAAACCTCAGGATTAAAGTTCTTAAAGGGAATTTCAAAGACTCTCATGAACGAAAGACATTTGAGATGAAAATGATCACACATTTCATCACCAGAAATAAAGGATTAATGTAGATTCTGGCTTTCTCACACACTACCAAAACTTTCTATAAACAAACATCTTAATGTCTTATATAGTTCGTTTTCAATGTTCTCTCTTCACCTTTATTGGATCAATTTATATACATACATATATGCAGCTATTTACTTGCATTCCCTGCTCTGCTGTTTGTTTGTTTTTTTTTTGTTGTTTTTTAGCTAGCTTATTGACTCGCCTCTGTTTATTTTTTCTTTCTATTCTCAGCCAACCTGCGCCTTTCGCTACAGGCACATCTTCTGCTATTTATGACACCCAACTCACCCCCCCTTCTCAAACATCAGTTGTTTTAAGTGTTAAACACTATCAGATATATTAGTATTGCTTCAGACCCGAGGAACAGAGGAAAACTCATGAAAGTTTGTCTGTGGATAGTTAATGCAATGTTAAACAAAAATCTGCACCCCAGTCAAGCCAAACGACTTGCTTTTCCCACAGAAATCAAAAATCTGCAGTGATGTTACTACTGCAAAGGATTCTGGGTGGGCATATGCAAATTAGTCTAACAAAGAATCAAATTTTTTCCTCATTCCATTTTAAACATGGATTCTATATATAATTTATTTTTCTCCCATATTGCATTGCTGACGATGGTTTATACCATTTTAAAATGTAGACTGTCTTGAGTATGCAGTCCCCTTTAGATGTAGAGATGAGTAGCTGACTGTCCCTGTGTGTACCAATCGTCCATGGATCAGTGTAAAACATTTATAGCACAATGTATAATGTATTATTAATTTGCTTTGTTTTTTTCTTTTCAGGACGTGTTTCTCCCTCTCCATCTCAGGAAAGTCTTAATTCTTCCAAATCTGATACAGACAGAGGAGGGGTATGTATTTATTTGACATATTGTGCACATGTTGTGTTTACATTCACCAAATATTTGTGGGATATTGATCATACTTCAGACCTTAGAATGTTTTAGAACCCTTGCCTTGGGTACTCCACCTATGAGGAAGTGGAAGTCATATAGAAAAGTATAGAGATGGTCTAATACGAGAACCGGTCTACATGCAAAGAGGCAGTTGTGTTCCTAAAATAAATGTGGTTTGCTCATAAACAGAGGTAGAGAGGAAGGTTCAAATCACTTCCACTTCTTGAAGGACAAATCTAGAGAATCCAGGGGAAATTTGGCAAGTATTTGTCATTTGTATTTTAGATGATCTTTGCATTCCAGTCTACATCATTTTTATTATTTCTTCTGACCACCTCTCTCCTCTTAACACCCAAAGTACTAGTCTAGGTCCAACACAGTTATTTGTAAATAAAGCAACTTTTCCTCAACTGGATTTGATCTTGCTGAATCTCTTTGGGTATATGTGTCGAAGCCTGGATAAAGTTTACATTACACTACCTACCTTTGCTAATACTACTTATCACGCAAGCATATATTATTCGCAAATGTATGTATTGAAAGATATAAAGCCTTTTATTACATCATCTTTACTACTGTGCTGGAGAAATATGTTGTGCTCATTATACCCCATTTGCAGTAGCTACATCTATTATGGTTATATGTACCTTTTCTAAACAATTTATTGACACAGTGTGAGGATTAAAATGTGAACTCTGTACAAAGCTGTCCTGTGGATGGCATCTCCACTTTAAATGTATATAATAGATTTAATGGAAATTTATCTCTTTGTAGTCTAACAGTGGAGCGGACGAGTCAGACACGGATGATAAAAATGCACCATTTCGCCAGGTTCCGTTTTGTAAATATAAAGGACACACAGCTGATCTTCTTGACCTATCCTGGTCCAAAGTGAGTAAGCAAACCAACTTGTAAAAGGGCCAGGCACACCATTATTTTCAGTTCAGTCTTTTATGACAGACAGCCACTAAAACTAAAGACATGAGTTTGATAGAACTTAATAGGAATATCCAGATATTTTAGAATACTAGCAGATCCATAGCTTTTTAAAAAATAGAATATTATTTTTCAGTTTACTTTTAAAATGCCAGTGCTTTATTTTGCTTATTAAATGTTTGGGAGCCTCTTGTATCTTTGCAGTATGCTTTTTGCAAGTTACAGCTCAGTTAATTCTTTTGAATGTATACGATATTGGCGGTGCCGTGGGTATGCAAGATGCTCCTATTTATTTCTATGAGATCATCTTTGTAAATGAGGGATTACACAGGCACAGTGCGGCTTCTGTGGGTTTTAATGGGAAACAGGAGACCATTCTGGAAAAATCATGCAAAAGAGAGAGATTTTATTTTTAATATTTTCCAAAAAGTCATATGTAATGCTTTATCAATGTAAAACAAATGGGTACTGAAATCCACCTGGAGTGTCCCATTAAGCAGAACATGCACATAGTGCAAGACCCCACACCCTGCATGTGTGGTTGGTTTGATTTACGAACATCTCTATTCAATGTCCACCTGTTAATTCTGCATGCACACCTTCACCAAGCCTATACTTTGCAATAAATACTAGCTGATAGCAGATTTGCTTACTACTATCTGAGATGTCTAACTGACCCAGAAAAGGTTTTAAGACCAACATCTCCAAAATGTATACAGAGCTGCAGGTAATTTATTGGGGGGGATTTGTAGGAGATCACAAAATGCCAGAATTCTCTTGTAACACTTCTCTAAAAAACATTAATTTTAGATCTTCCCTCTAGCATTAATGTTAAATCAGGTTCCTCACAAACAGCAGTCTGAATACTGTTAGCATCTTCAGTGGATGTTTTGTGGCCAATCTCCAGTCAGTCACTCCCTGTGATCACACACATGCCAGTAAATAGTGTATAATAAATATATGCTGCCCAGTACATCATTTACAGAATAAAAGCAGAGACCAGTCTGTGTCCTGATTAGAATGCAGCAAACAGTGAGTCTTGTTATTCATTTCTTATAAAGTGGCTTCTTCTTTTAGCCCTTGATTATATAGGAGAGCCATAAACTATGTTTTAAATTACAGATCTTGCATAGCTGGGCTTTCATCCATGATTATAACTTTGCAGGAATCAATCATTAGGTTGGCCAGAAAGCATCTGTGTTGCCAGGAAGAGCGCAATTTTTTATTTCTGCGTTCTAACAATAATCACCTCCTTTATCCCACAGAACTACTTCTTGCTCTCTTCATCTATGGACAAGACAGTCCGTCTCTGGCACATTTCCCGGAGGGAGTGCCTTTGTTGCTTCCAGCATATTGATTTTGTTACTGCAATAGCTTTCCATCCAAGGGTGAGTGAATTTTAAGTATATGTCATGATGATATATGTGTCTGCTTACATTAAATGTGTTTGTGATTTTGACTCGTATCCATTCTTCCCCAAGCGCTGTAAGGCATTTTGTATTTGGGCTCACAAAACTTATTTATTCACTAAAGTGTGGATTTCACTATGGTTTGACGATATTGGCCTTAAAACTTGAAATCCACTTTGAATTCCTGTTAATTCACAATTTGTCTCGTGCCTTCTCTAACACACATCTTTAGCTGGACTAACCTGCTTCCATGCCATGGATAAGGAATATGCTGTGTGTTGTTAAGGTGTACACTGCATCTTTGTGTTGATGTTTGGATTTTGCGTCATTCTTCAATGTAGGACGACCGGTACTTCTTGAGTGGCTCTCTGGATGGTAAACTTAGACTCTGGAACATTCCTGACAAGAAAGTCGCCTTGTGGAATGAGATTGATGGACAAACAAAGCTTATAACGGCAGCAAATTTCTGTCAGAACGGCAAACACGCAGTGATCGGCACGTATGATGGGAGGTGCATCTTCTATGACACAGAGGTAAAAATCCTGTATTTTATGCTACAGCTTGTTTTCTCCTACATATAGTAAGGAGTAGTAGTGGAATTTCATTGAACTGACAAGTCATCATTGTTTCAGTACACACATTAATGGTCAATATAAATATTTTATACTATATAAAAATGACTTAGTTATAAAGTTATACATTTATTTGACTAATAGTAAAATCGCTAACTCTTGATACTTTAAATGTTTGCGAACTACCAATCCTACAGTGCTCTGTCAACAATATTTAGCAGATATCTACATATATCTTGCCATTTAAATGCTGGTAATGCAACTAGGCAAATGGTAGTTCTACAACATTTGGGGATCTGCCAATTCCTCAACTAAATTTTACTTTCTTAAAAACCAAATGGTGTGTATTCAGCTGCATGATATTGGCCCCATTCAGTTATTAACCCCTTCCCAACCGCAGATGGAAATTTTCCGCCAACCATGTCCTTCAGTTAAGGACCGTTGATGGAAAATTTCCGTCATTTACTAAAGTTAACCCCAGATCGCCGCGATCGCTGGGTTAACAGTGCTCCAGTCTGCCTCTATATTATATTATATATATTAGAGGCAGACCGGGAGCACCCGATCGGGCTGCCCCAGCACCGGTGCTCATTCTGACAGGCTGTCAGAGCGAGCACATGTGCTCAGTGTACTTACTTTCCGCCTCCCTGCACTTCCGGGTTCTGTGTGAAGTGCAGGGAGACGGATCAGTGCTGCTGATCTTATCCCTGTGTAAAAAAATTTAAATAAAGTTAAATCCCACCCCCCCTTTCCACTGCTTTAATAAAATTAACCCCTTCTCTGCCAGTTGATCACTGACGACATAGCTGAGCAACATATGAAGTAGTATACAGTCGTAGTACACATACGATTTGCAAAATATACTGCGCAAACTCGCTTTGTGTGTCAAAAAGGCAGAAAAAATGCTTATTACCACTACACTTGGTACAAGCTAGCGGAAAAATGATCCCACGCTAACGTTCAAAATATACCTTTTGAAATACCCTGGGATGTGTTCTTTAAGAAATGGTATGCCTTTATGGTGTAGTTGTAATATGTAGCCTGCTCAAGTGCTTCAAAGTGGGACACGGATGCATCAAAACCCTCCATGAAAATTCACACTTAAAAACCTTAACTTGTCACGTCTCTTTTACAGCAGTGTAACTTCACAAAATAGTGTCTAGGTCATACATTGGGCATATTGTTTTACTCAGAAGACTTAGCTGAGCATAATCTGGGGGGTTTGAACTTAGTGGCACATATGAAATGTACAAAATGCCCAGCAAAAATTTAATCCGTATGTAAAAAATGCCCAAAATTATTTTTTACCACATACTTTGGCATATATTGGTGAAATAATGGGGACATGTTAAGGCATAATATGCACCATATGAGATACACTGGAGTGTCTACTTTTACAAATGGTAGGCCTTTGTGGTTTTTTTTTTGAATAGTCAAACTGCTATAATACCCCAAATTGAAGCATAGGCCAATTAAATCCGCCTCTCAAAATTCTACTGTAAATGTTGAAACGGACAGGTCTCCTATATGGCACTGTAGCTTCACGAAATAGTGTTAAAGACATACAATGGGGGTATCATTGTATTCAGCAGAAGTAACTGAACACAAAATAAAACTTTGTTCAGGAATAGCACAAACCAACTTTACAAAATACACATGAGTAGTTCTTTGTTATAAGTTTGTGTGCCAAAAACCCCAAAAAACTAAATTTTACTCCAATATTTAGCAGAGATTGGCGGTGAAATGGCTACATAGAAAGTGTCAAAACAACCTTAGGACAATAGCCTGTGATGTCTACTTTATATAAATATATACTTTTGTATGGCAATTTTGTTTTTATTTTGTGACTATTAAGCTTACAAGACAAACATACCAAATTCTAAAATCGCTCCACATTAAAAGTTTATTTTACTCCTTGTGCTTTGTGACCTGTAACTACCAAAAAAAAACCTTAAAATCCCAGACACATTGTATATTCTGTACATCAGAACAACTAAATGAATTTATTTTTAATTACTTTCTTTAACCTGCACTAATTAGGCACACATTATTATTGCAAAAACTGTACAAAAAAACAATTTTTCTTTTTTTTTTTTTGCATTTTTCTTTTCTTTTTTTATAATAAATAAGCGCATATATATATATATATATATATATATATATATATATATATTCAATATTCCTATAAACCCACCTTTGACCTCTGCAACCAATAAACTACTTTCAATTACTTCCTCCCTCGGGCTATCACAGTGGGCAAATTCTCCCACCCATGTAGCTGGCAATACCCTTGACCTAATCTTCACTTATGCATGTACTGTATCTAATATCTGCAACACTCCGTATCCACTCTCTGATCACCACCTCTTATCGTTTGCTCTCACGTACCCCCTCACCCAACAACCTCCGCCTAACCAGCCTCAACTCAGGAGGGACCTTAATTCTCTTGATCTCCAACAGTTGTCAGCTGACATTGATTCACAACTGCTGTCCATCCCTTCCCTCTCCTGTCCTTCACTGGCCATCTCCATATATAACTCTACTCTTACATCTGCCTTGAACACTGCAGCGCCACTCCAAACAAGCACCTCAAGGAGGACCCACCCCCAACCATGGTATACTAAATCAACGCGCTACCTGCAAAGATGCTCCCGTTGTGCTGAACGCTCCTGGAGGAAGTCTCGCACCCAGTCAGACTTTCTCCATTATAGATTCATATTGTGTTCATACAGTGCAGCCCTTGCCCATGCCTTTCCTACCCTTCGGACATTCTCCCCAGCCACTGACCAAGAGGTGGCTGCTCTTCTTTGCTCCTCTCGCCCCACCACTTGCCCGCTCGATCCTGTCCCATCTCACCTTATCAGATCTCTCTCCACTTGTCTCGTGCCTTCTCTAACACACATCTTCAACTGCTCGCTCTCTTCTGGCATCGTCCCTGCTGACCTTAAACATGCCACTGTAGTACCTATACTAAAAAAACCATCCCTCGACCCGTCCACCCCCTCTAACTACCGTCCCATATCCCTGCTCCCTTTTTCCTCAAAGCTTCTGGAAAGACTTGTCTTTACCCGTGTGTCTCATTTCCTCAATTCCAACTCTCTCCTTGACCCCCTTCAATCTGGCTTCCGCCCTCTCCACTCTACAGAGACTGCCCTTATCAAAGTTACTAATGACCTAATCGCAGCTAAATCCAAAGGCCACTACTCCATACTAATTCTTCTTGACCTCTCAGCGGCCTTTGACACCGTTGATCATGCTCTCCTTCTTCAAACTCTGCAATCGCTTGGTCTCTGTGACTCTGTCCTCTCATGGTTTTCCTCTTATCTCTCCCAACGCTCATTCAGTGTCTCTTTTTCTAATGATACATCCTCCCCTCGCCCTGTCTCGGTTGGAGTCCCCCAAGACTCCGTCCTTGGTCCCCTTCTATTTTCTCTTTATACTGCCTCTCTTGGCAAACTTATTACCTCATTTGGATTCCACTACCACCTGTACGCTGATGACACCCAGCTATATCTCTCCTCCCCAGACCTCTCCCCTGCTGTCCTGCAACGTGTCACTGCTTGCCTTTCTTCCATCTCTGACTGGATGTCCTCCCGCTTTCTGAAACTCAATCTCTCAAAAACTGAGCTCCTTGTCTTTCCTCCTCCTAATACTGATCCTCCTCTTTCGCTCTCCCTTCAAGTCTGTGGTACCAACATCAGCCCATCCTTGCAAGCGCGCTGTCTTGGCGTCATACTTGACTCTGGTCTCCCCTTTGAGCCTCGCATCCAGCATGTCGCCAAATCCTGTAGATTCCATCTTAAAAACATAGCCTGCATCCGCCCCTTTCTTGCACCAGATACTACCAAGGAGCTTGTCCATGCTCTAGTAATTTCCTGCATGGATTATTGTAACCCTCTCCTGCTTGGTCTTCCCAAAAGCCGTACTGCACCCCTACAGTCTGTAATGAACGCTGCTGCTAGACTGATTTTCCTCTCTAGTCGGTTCTCTCACACCTCACCCCTCTGCCAGTCCTTACATTGGCTTCCTGTGTGCTATAGGAGTCAATTCAAGGCACTAACTCACACCTATAAAGCACTGAACAACTCTAGCCCCTCTTATATCTCCTCACAGATCCATAGGTATGTCCCTTCTCGGTCTCTCCGCTCTGCCCGTGACCAACTCCTGTCCGTTGTCCGCACCCGTACGGCCAACTCGCGTTTGCAGGACTTCTCGCGGGCGGCTCCCTTCCTATGGAATAGCCTGCCTCCCGCCATCAGACTCTCCCCTAGTCTTGCATCTTTTAAGAAGCGCCTTAAAACCCATCTCTTTAGGAAAGCTTATGGCCTCCAAGACTAACCCCTACCTCACATACCGGTCTCTTGCCCTCTCCTAAAGGGCAGCCCACCTTATCTGATTGAAAATTCCTGTCCTAATGTGTTTTACACCCCACCTCCTATAGAATGTAAGCTCGATTGAGCAGTGTCCTCTTCAACCTATTGTTCCTGTAAGTTTATTTGTAATTGTCCTATTTATAGTTAAATCCCCTCTCATAATATTGTAAAGTGCTATGGAATCTGTTGGCGCTATATAAATGGCAATAATAATAATAATAATATATATGTTACATCAAATTAAAGCCCTTTCTGTCCTTTAAAAAAACAGTATATAATATGTATCGGTGCAATAAACGAGAGAGATGCAAATTGCAGTTGAATGCATACAGCAAGAAAATGCAAAAATTGCTTGTGTCATTAAGCGTAAGACAAGCTTCTGAAGCTGTGTCCTTAAGGGGTTAAACTGGTCCTTTCAGTTTCATTTGGGGGGGCTTAATAAACATACTCAGGATTAGGAATATAATGGCCAGTGGTGAGTCAAAAGCCTTCTCACTAAATTCAATCACCGTGTTACAGCAGGTACTTTTTGGCTCTTTTAGCACCAGACTATTTTTGGGGGAAAGTATAAATCATATACATTTTTTTATTTTTTTTATTATTTGCAGGCATATCAACTGTGCGTATTTTGACCAAAACGGAAATAAAATAAAATGACTGTCGAATTCAAAATGTTTGAGGTCATATAATTTCTATAAACTTATATTTGTATTTGCTATTAAATTCTAATAATACTACAGTTACTGCACTGAGATATGTTGTATTTAATGTGGAATGTATTGGACTTCAGAAATGAAGTGTTCTAAGGAAAGTCTCCCTTATTCTTCTAGCATTTGAAATACCACACGCAAATTCACGTCCGTTCCACAAGAGGGCGAAACAGAGTAGGAAGAAAAATCACTGGGATTGAGCCATTGCCAGGAGAGAACAAGGTATGCTCGGGTTTTATTTATTTTTTATTTATTTTTTATTTTCACTTGTGACATGTCTAATGAAATATTCTTTATTTTTTATTTTTCTCCTAGATCCTTGTTACCTCTAATGACTCTAGAATAAGACTTTATGACTTAAGAGATTTGTCTTTATCTATGAAATACAAAGGCTGTGTCAATAGCAGCAGCCAAATAAAGGCGAGCTTCAGGTATAGCAGAATTGTAGCCTATGGAATCAAATTATGGCAAAACTCTAGCTGTTGATTAATCCGTTTTTGTTTTGCTCTTTTATTTTCTAGTCATGATTTTACATATATTGTAAGTGGGTCAGAAGACAAATATGTCTATATCTGGAGCACATACCATGACCTGAGCAAGTTCACATCAGTGAGGAGAGACCGCAATGACTTCTGGGAAGGAATTAAAGGTATGTCCTTGGGTCCATGTATGCAATCCTCTTCAATGTTAAAACTGTTTCATTTTGAATGTAAAATAATTTTTTGGGCTCATCGTTTCCTAATAGTTGTTCATTCAGAATCACTTTCTTCAGCAGTCTGTGTGGTTAGTACAATGCAAACCTCTCTATTGCTTTTCTATTTAGCACACAATGCAGTTGTCACATCCGCTATCTTTGCACCAAACCCCAGCCTGATGGTGTCACCAGATACAACATCTGAAATACAAGAATCTGAAAATAAGGGGGAACAGGCAGACACTGACAACATACCATCTGGTGAGTCTTTTCCATTGTGCCTATCTAACAAACAGCAAACACACTAAGAGAAACAAACACACTAAGAGTGGAGATGTGTGTTAGTGTTCCTTAATATTACATGTAATGTTTGGTTGGTCTGCTATGCTTATCTGAAATTGAACATTATGATAAGCTAATAACTATTTATAAAATCCTGAAAGGGACACTCAAAGCACCTAAACATAAGCTCATTGCATGCATTATGTTGCATTAAGTATGCTACGAATGTAGTTGCTTATGATGGCAATATAGTTCAGAGGTCTGTACGGTTCTAATCCTGCCCACCTTATCTACTTCTGATACCAAACGAGGAATCTACGCTTCCTTTGATGTACAAATATTTGTATGGAATGCACTCATGTATATATCATACTAATTTCTACCTACCCCAGGCTGTGGTTGTGCACATGCGCAGTCAGTAAAATTGTGAGCATGAAGTTGCCTGTCCCTCTTGGCTTACAACTCCCATCAGTGAGAATCTGGCAGAGTTTAAAATTTACAACTGATGTAATGTGATAGTGAGACAGCCACTTGCTGAATCCTTTATGTGGAATATAATGCCAATCAACATCATTTAGTGGTTGGCTGAGCCTGGTCAACATATTTAGCAAATGTATAGCTTCATATAGAAAGCCACCATTTTAATGGGCACAATAAAATCAATGTTTAAAAACCGCACCTGAACTAATGCAGCCTTAGTGTATGGAATTTGTTTTAACTGCATCCTGAAATCTCAGAATCTCCCATCTCTGAGTATATCTGGAATAAAGATTTCTCATCAATGCTTCTTTATGAAAAGGACTTGTTTGAACAATATGCAGGAAGTAAGTACTGGGCAAGGAGGTGGATCTTAATTAGCGGAAACATCTGTGCAATTTTCAGCAAATACATTTTCTTTCTATATTATTTATCAACGGTTATATGGTTTGAAAATGTGTGTGCAATTTTGAACTTGGTTTCCATTTGAATCCCAGAATACGCACTAAATCGTGTTATAATAGAGCTGGCTGCTGTATATTTACTTAGGTAGCGCATACACCTATCAAACTGCAGCAGGTTCTTCTAGTTCTGACTGATTATTCTACAGCTATTACTCAAGGATCATATCTCTAGATCACTCTGATCTCCAAGCCATTAACGCCTATGTTGTTCTTTCACAAAACCACATTTTCTCTTATTTGTAGCATGCTCTCTCACTTTTTTTTTTTTTTTACAATAAAATATATAAGCAAACACAAGTATTAGCAAATTAGTCTTTCTACAAAAAGTTATTTAGTGAAAATTTTGTAATTATTTAAAATGTTTTTGTCTTTCAAGGTGCTTTGAAGTCTGATCATACGGAAGTGCTTCTATCTGCCGATTTCACCGGGGCAATCAAAGTATTCATTAATAAGAAGAAGAATGTTTCTTAAATCTGAAACTCGTAGAATTTGCTCTGGATACTAATAGGATGTTTTTACAGCAAACAATATCATTATAAGACCAGTTAAACAGATATTGACATTCTCGTAAATCTTTGCACTGAGGTGGGCGAGGTGTGAGCCCACACTAAAATTATTGGGGTATTGCCTTGTCTTGTGAGAGCAGTTTTTGCAGTTTCTTGGATGTCTGTAGTGTCCAGTCTTAGGCAATCTTAAAGGGCACCTGTTTATACATAAATTACATGGAAACATATACAAAGTTTCATCTACACATTGTGCAAGGCATATTGCTGGCAGAATCATAGACCACATTTTCTTAAAATATTAATAAATACCAAGGATAAGGGTTATACAGTCATCAGCACATGAACTATGGCTGTTCCAGTCTGTGAAATGCAAGACAACAACATCATAGTATCTGGGATTAAGATGCAAGTGGGAACTTTCACAGTAAAACAAGCACTAGGAAACTGTATATTAGGAGCAAAACAAAAAAATTAACAATTTCAGCCCCGTAACACTCACGTCCACCTTTTTACATTTTACATTGGTCTCTGGCTTTCAGATCACCAGACTGGAGGTTCAGGGTGACTGCATGAAATCATGTGCCATCCACTGAAAAAGCAGCAGTTGTAAAGTCAGTGGCCAAATCCTTTATGTAGATTTCATCACAAGAATGGATCTAGTTAGAGTGCCTTCTGGTGACTACATGTAAAATTCTGGCCTCTCACTTCAGGAAACATTGAGTAACATTTACTGACTGAAGCCGCCTACATAAGTCACACTAATGCATTGAGTCTCTCTTTATAGAGATAAAAAGTGTGTATCCTTAAAAGGACACTATAGTCCTCAAAACAACTTTAGCTTAATGAAGCAGTTTTGGTGTTATAGATCATGCCCCTGCTGTCTCAGTGCTGAATTGTCTGCCATTTAGGAGTAAAATCACTTTTTGTGCAACTCCTGCATGTGACTTACACAGCCTTTCTTTAAAGAGTCATCTAATGTTTAAACTTTCTTTATTGCAAATTTCGTTTTATTTAGAATTTCTTATCTTCTGCACTCTTGATAGCTTGCTAGGCCCTGCAGGAGCCTTCTGTATGTTATTTAAGTTTAATTTACGGAGCAGGAGATAAAAAGGTTTAAAGTAAGTTAACATCTGATTGAAAATGAAATTATTTTGTTTTCATTCAGACTGTGACAATCACAGCCAAGGGAGGTGTGGCTAGGGCTGCATAAACCGAAACAAAAGTGAATTAACTACTAAATGACAGTGAATTGAGCAGTGAGACTGACATGGTCTATACACAAAAACTGCTTCATTAAGCTAAATTTGTTTTAGTGACTATAGGGTCCCTTTAAAGGTTCATGCCATATTATCAGCAAGTCGTCAAGTGTGATTTTACAAGAAAAGTTAAAATAATGCATCTATTATCATTTCCATGCTCCCAATTTCAGTAGCACAATGTATAGGTTTGATTTTAAAATTATCTAATGAAGACCTTAAAATCCTTTGGCATAACGGGCCCCTGTTAAAAACAGGCATGTCCATGAACCTATCCAATTTCAATTACCCCATGTGTAATTACTCTGTCAATGTCTGCCTTTAGCAAAATGATGCCTCAAATTGCCAGCCACTCTTCTAACCCACCCCAAAATATTCCTTAAATGACTGGATTTGAACCAGCATTGCCATGTCATTGCAGTTTGGATTTCATTCTCCTGCTTTACAAACAGCCATGGGGTGACAGTGTTAAAGTGAACGAATCGCTTTCATAAATCCTGTTCTTGAATTAGTTACCGTCCGTTAGTAGAAATGATCATAAAATGCATTTTGAGACCATATTCATACTGAAGGAAAACATGTTAGACATAGTGTACCATGTCATAGAAAGGGGCATAGAAAAGTCACATGCTGCCCTTGAATGAAAAGTAAATTTTTATTTATGATTTTAAGTGAAAGGGGTGGTATTTGTGGCTGCATAGCATGAGCTGTGTGTCATCTTTTTCTCATTTTTATTTTTCATTTTTCATTCTGTGAAGAATGTCTCATGTCATACGTTAGTTGTCATGCTTGTGTCCATGATCAATAATACTTTCTGTAGATCAAAACCGCAGTGGTTGACACTGACAGATCACAACCTAGAGGTTTTCTGGCAAAGCCACATTCCATAGGGATTTTTTTTTCTTCTGATTCATTATCCGTTTATAAAAAAAAAATAAAAAATTAAAAGTGGATAGGGTGCTATATTGCGCTTCATCCTGAAGTGTCCCTTTAATTTGCTGTAAGTCTAAATGTATTTTTAACATTGTGCTTTGATCTGATATGTCAGAATAAAGCAATACTTGCAAACTATATTAGCATATTGAACATTATGCTTTCTCTTCCTTCTGAATTAGTGATGACCTATTTGGATTACACACAACTTAAAGTGGTTTTCTTCAGTGTGGATGGCAAAGGTATCTCGCTAATGCTATACATGATTGTCATCTCTGTTCATTATAGAAGTATGAATGTGATGAATTCACTTTAACATGCCATCACCAAAGAACTGTACAATGCAGCTTGGCTTACATCAAATGCTGATAACATTCCTGCAGAGGTTTAAGGGAGCTAACTGAATTGGTTTCAGTATTAAAACATTCAGATTTAACCTTTTTAGCAAACAGAAAGTGACCCTTATTTTGAGTTTGTCATTAAGCATCAAAATAATTAACGGTTTTAATCCTTTTTTACTCTGTGTCTGTTGACCTTCTCCTCAGAAAGCCATACATTGTTGGAAAGTTTTTTTTGTTGCTCAATACATGTGTGTGTTTAGATTAAGGGTGTACAAGGCAGTGGGGCACTATCTGGGCATGTTTTTCAAAGACTTCTTTTAATTCTCTCTTTGAGTAAGTAGGAAGATATAGAGGCAAGGCCCTTGGCCTCGTTCATTGTGATTCTTGCTACTCAGATCTCTTGTCTGTTCCCTCTTGGCTTGCTCTCTACTCTGTTACAAAGATATGATGTCATACTAAGGTACCATTTCTGCAATACAGAGCATCAAAGAGGGAATAAATAGGAAGGTGTGTATTGCTTGATTCACAGAATCCCTGTAACCTGAGCTAAATACACCAGTGATAGATTTTGTTGCCAGAGGTGCAGAACTCCAGGGCCACTACCTCTTGGTAGTCCAATTGTAAATGCCCTAACTTCAATTCCAATTGTTATGCCACATGCTTTATGTACTAAACAGTGGGCGGTGGTGACGTTGCAGCCAGACTTCACAGTTAAGGCACTATTAGTTTGGTGGTGGTGGGGGGGTTGAACAACTTTAAGTCAGCTGAGAATTTGTTTCCCATCCGATCTGCAAGCTCAACCTATGTTTTGCAATTTGGCTGTAGACTCAAAATAATGCCCTCTTAAATAAGCCTCTGTTAAACAGATTATTTATTCATGATTTCTGCTTTGCCAGTGATTATGTGCAGCAAAATGCATTACAGGAAGTAGCATAAGGCAAAAACATTTATTTTTTTAGGACAATACTGAAGCAATAGTAACATTCTTAAAATGCTTTGAAGCCATGTACAAAGGGAGAGATCTGCTGCTATAATATTTTGCTTTTTAATGGAGAATAATGTCAACACTCTTTTATGGGGGGGGAAGAAATGTACGCAGACAAAATAGTTTTTATTAACAGAATGTATTATTTTGTTCTGCGTAATCCTTACCTTGTAGAAGTTATATCGTCCCATGCTACAAAAGTGTGAAATTTGCAAATGTCTTCAAAACCGCTCAGGCTATTAATATAACACATTGTATCCATGCAGATTAAGCTGGCCTCCATTGATTCACTCATTAGCTTCATATGTTAAGACCGAAAACGTTGGCATTTGACATACAATCATGTCCTTCAAGACAAGTATTGGGCAAATGCTTGGTTAGAAGTAGGTCTTGACTTGGCCAGAAACAGTTGATAACTTTTTGGCAAAACATTTCATTGTGTCCCATCACAGAATGGACAAAGGGCCCTTTTTATTAAAGGTGCCAATAACATTGCTGATCATTAAAATTATAAATCAAGTGCACCATTTACAAGTTAGCCTTATTTATTAGATATTGCCCTAAATGAGAACGTTGATGCTGATCTTTCTACGTGAATGAAAAGCTATATATATATTTTTTATTTTATTTTTTATTTTGCACAAATTACATTTTTTTTTTTTTTTTTCCAGATTCTCTATATTGGTGGTAACTATTGTTAGAATAAATTATATATGTTTCTTATGGGTCAAAACATTGTACAAAAACCGTGAAATTTTCTGGGATTTGCTTGCTGCCATTTGCTTCTATCTTCTGTTGTGAAGTTTTTTTTTTTTTCACTGATTTTTGTTCACTGGCTTTGCACACTAGGGCACAATATTTCTGTGTAAAGAGAGAGAAAAAAAAATCTCATTCCTTCTGTTAACACATTAGAGAGATGAAAGCATTTTGGCTATTCTAAGCATTTTTTTTTTTCTTGTGTTTTATTTTTTTATTTTTTGTTTCATCTGGATGTGTTTAAAAAAACAAAAAAAAAAGATAAAACTTGTTTACATTTTTTAACTCTAGTAGGTTAAAGAAAGGGTGTTTTTTTTGTTTTTTTTCCTAGTTTTGTTTTCTTTAGATATTATGGATAAAGAAATGTATGTAAATATGCTCACTATATGCCAATGAAGTAACGTTCTCAGCTGTTTACCCAGGAAATGTTATTGATGGTTAATAGTGTTAAAAAAAAAAAAATTATCATTAAAAGCTGATCACAGAAAACTTGAAGTCTTAGTGTTGTTCTTTTAAATGTGTTTAAATTTGTATTTTCTTCTGGGTATGGGAGGTTTATCAGGAGTATACACTAGAGATAGACCGATTAGGTGGGAGGGGGCCGTGCAGTGAAGCTGGGAGCACTGATTCTGTCTACATGAGTTCATAACCGAGGGGTTGAGTGTTTTGCTATAACAGTTATACTGGGTGATAGGAGTTGGGGGGGCGATACTTGGCTATCATATACTGGCTACGCTTTAACCCCTGAAGTCCCAGCATCACCGGTGCCACTACCTGATAGGAGTGACACCTCTCTGGCAAATATCCCCATTGTGCTTTTTTTCTCCTCGTTTTTTCTACGATTTATTTTCACATAGCGACCCTGCTTTTTTTTAAATATTTTATAATTAAAAGTTACATTTTATTAGTCTATGGGTTGCAGTAACAGTACTAGAAACCTGTTGGGATACCATTTAGATTTATTGTGCCCTCTAGGTTTGCTTGTACCTCCTTCTTAGTTGTCATTCTTTTAGTATATATTTATATGGATTGCTTATTCTTGGTTTTAACCTCTCTTCAATGTTTAATGCCTTAATGCACCCCTGGCTACTTGCCTTTTCCTTAATGTATTCTCCCTATCTCTTCTCCCTCTGGAGAGAGAACTCTGCATTTAGTTTCAAACTTCAAGCATTAAGTCCAACTATTGACCAGCACTTATTACTAGACTATAGTTACTATAATTGTTGTGCATTAACTGGAATAGTTAAGTTGAATACCTCTGATATAAAAGATCTGTCTCCAGGTTGTTGGAGTAAAGTAAGAAGTGTATACTACAGAACCACAGTAGTAAAATAAATATGGTACTATATATATCTCTTAATTTTGGAAATATGCATTTAATAACAAAGTGCTTAAAGGGACACTATAGTCATCAGAGCAACTACAGCTTATTGAATTTGTTCTGGTGTGTAGAATCATTACCTTCAGGCATTTTGCTGTAAACGCTGTGCAGTGTTTACATTACAGCCTAGTGATAACTTCACTGACCACTCATCAGATAGCTTTTAGAGAGCCTTCCTGGGTCATGGCTGCATTCAAATATTCAGTATCTCCTCCTTCTACATGCAGATACTGAACTTTCCTCATAGAGATTCATTGATTCAATTCATCTCTATGAGGAGATGCTGATTGGCCAGGGCCAGTGGCGTACACACAATACATGGGGGCCCCCCCGACACATACATACAGACAGAGACAAACATAGAGGCATACACACATACATACATACATACATACATATACAGTCTGTCTGTATGTCTGTGTGCGTTTCTATGCATGTCTATTTGTGTGTGCGTGTGTCTCTGTGTGTATGTGTCTGTATGACACAGACACATACAAAATGTTTAGTCACCCTACTGTTTCCTACCTTTTGCAGGAGGCTGACTTCCCTGGGGTCCAGTGTGGGCTCAGCCTAATGGGAGTCAGAGTTCCCTCCTGCGCGACTCTGTCGGATAGCTGGGAGGAGTGACGTGCAGTCACTTCCACCCAGCTCTATCTGACATACTCACAGGGGGCCTGGTCAGTGCTGGGCGCACTGTTAAAGCGCTCAGCGCTGACCCGGCCCCCTGACAATCCATCTCCATCGGGTGGCCCTGACAGCATGGGTCGCAAAAGATGGTGGCAGCTGGTACCCGGTCGCCCCCTAGAGTGACGGCCCGGTCGCAGCTGCGACCCCTGCAACTGTGGTATGTACACCGCTGGCCAGGGCTGTGTTTGAATCATGCTGGCTCTGCCACTGATCTGCCTCTTTGTCAGTCTCAGCAAATCCTATGGGGAAGCATTGTGATTGGATCAGGCTATCACTTCTGCTGATGTCAGCAGACTGCTTGTTTTTCTGAGTCAAACAGCATGCAGAGTTACAGCTTCAGGCTTGAATACAATAAGATTTTGCTATATTTTTGGAGGCATGAGGGGCGCAGGGGGGCTAGATGGTGGCTTTAACACTATAGGGTCAGAAATACATGTTTGTGTTCCTGACCCTATAGTGATCCTTTAAACATTGCTAATTTAAATATATTTGGCCAAATATGAAATGTTCAAGACATGATTAAAATCTCAAAGTAGGGGGGGCGGGGCCTGACCGCCGAGCAGACTGGTCGCACCAAACCAGAGCTCCGTGCGAGAACCGGCAAACAATCGACTTACCCCTAAAATATCTCACTGAACTTACTAATCTAACGAACCAGAGTAGCGGTGATATCCCGAGGCTCAACTGGCCAGATTGCCGGACTCGGAGAAGCGATCTGAAGCGGATACAGGGTTGCGGCCTACTAGCGGGTGCAGGCGCGGGAGAGGCAGCCGACCTCTCCGCCAGCAGCTCTGTGGGAAAACGCTGCAACACTAAAGACCCCGTCCACCCCCCCTTGCCCGGCACAATCAACCAAGCGACTGATACAATCGGAACTTACCTAATCCACACAAGCTGCACTGCAGAACAGTCATGGCCAAAATGGCCCCCGCCTGCCATACCAACAATGCACGGCCTGCTGGACAACTATGAACAGCGTCTGGACGCACTATTCCAGGATTTCTGGCAGAAACTGGCGCAGAGGGGCACCAGCTGAGGGGACGACCGACAAGAAGCGGCACTCACCTTCCGATGGCATGAAACACAAGACAGGTGAACCTCAGAGATCCCGATCAGCCCCCAAACCACAGAAGCCGGGGAGGAAGAGAGACAGCCTGAGAGCCACAGACTACTCAGTCACCACTGCTCACTACTGCCCTCCGAGAACGAGAGATCAACGTACGGGAGAACCAGCAGGCTTGTGCCCAAAGGGAACGGCTAAAGCCATCAAGCGCAGGCCCCCCTCACGAAACTTACAGCAAAGCTGCAGGGGACTTCGGGCACCTCATCACATGGAGTACTCTGCTACGACACCCCGCAGACCCAAAGGGACTATCCACAGGCCTCAGCCATTTGCTGACTGGTCGACTCTCACCCTGGTGGGAAAATCCACACACCACCACTTCTGGAGACGCCACCTTACCGACAGTGGGAGTGGGCTGAGAGACTCCAGAGGAACTGAAGCGAACTGTCTGGTACCTGCCAATCTACCTACAATTAGACCGTATTTTATCGTTAATGTTTATGATTTCAGCCTCACGGACACCCCTAGCAAGCCCTAGGGCCTCACCCTCCACTAAGTCACACACCTTAGTTGCCAGCACAAGTCACCCTGCCCCAACACTCAAACACTAGGGTTTATAAGCCTGAATACCCTTAGCCCCACAGTTACTGACCGGAGCTAACTATCGTGCACCTCTTTACTGCTTACTAACATATTTTAAACAGTCATGTGTGGACCATTAACTGACTTACTTGGTAATCCTTAGCAAAGAATCCTGTTTATGTTATATATTATCGTGGCTATAATAACAGGTAAACCCTCAGACGAACCAAGCTCCTCACGCAGTGTGCATCACCTACATGTTGACCTTAGCATGTAGTCCTTAGACACACATACCTTGGACTAATCCATAACGACCCCCTGTTATACCATTTATTACATGTACTATTCCAGCATAGGTTAAGTTCCACAGTTAAGCCTTGTAATGCACAAACGCTTATGTCTCAAATTGTTACTTCATTTACTAGAAAAAAATATATATGCAAACCCAACATGCCACAACGCTGTTATACTATGACTGTGTAAATCGAGCCTGCTGATGCCGTTGTGGCGATACAGGCACTGTTGTAACTACCTGCATATCCAAAATAAAGAATAATCAAAAAAAAAAGTTAGGCCAAAATAACCAAATTATAAAAATTCTCAAAGTAAAAAAAAAAAAAAATCTCAAACTAGCCTAAATATGGCCTTGATTCATAGTCCAAATAAATGTACTGACTGGAAAATGTAACTTTACTATACAAAACCATCTTTAAAAAAAAAAATTTTTTAAATTTTATTTCTATGTATGCGTGAAAACGCTCAGCTGTAAACTATGAATCGGTATTTAATATTACTGCAAGAGGTTAGGTGTGGGAGTATGGTACATATTATATATGTAATGCTTAATTTGTTATAAATATTTTCTACAAGTACACATTCTACTGCCGAGAATATACCCTCAATAAACACCATTTGATTCACTTTTCAGTTCTCATTGGTAAAGCCAGTGGAGGAGTTAATGAAAAATCCAGAGGTACTACTTATTTTCCACTAGATGGTGCACTAGACTAAGCTAATATATTGCTCTTTACCAATGCAGCTTTGCCGTATATTGCAGTCATTTATCCAATTATTCGCGAAGGTGGCAAAATCATCCAGTGCTCTGAGGGGCCATTCAAATTGCAAAATCCATACTTGTTCATGCTATTCAACAATGTCTGGATTTTGCAATTGGAGCTACAAAAGGTTCTCAAATTAGTCTGGATTTTAGCTGGGCCAGATGGAACCTGGCGGTTGAAATACGGGCCTGGGTGCTTTAAATCCTAGCAGAGATTTAAAAAAAAAAATAAACAAAATCTGAACTATTCAACCTCTAGCGGCCAGCAGGCAAATATTTAAATAACCCTTGGCAGCATACCTTCACCATTGCTGCTCAGTTGCTAGAAATACCCAATCCTATCAGAGCATTTCTACAGGCAAGTCTCGAGAGAAGTAAGACTGATTGGCATCAAAACAACTTGAGCTAAATAAAGCAGTATTTGTGCATAGATCATGACCCTACAGCCTCATTGCTGAAATGTCTGCCATTTAGGAGGTAAATAATTGTTTATGCAGCCCTAGTAACACCTCCCACATGTGACTTGCACATCCTCCCTAAACACTTTTAAAGTGAGATGTAATGTTTACACTTCCTTTATTGCACAATTTTATCTCGTGTTTTGTATGTCTTCTAGACCGCAGGAACCTCCTGTGTGTGATTAAAGTTCAATTTACATGGCAAAAGATTAAAACTTCTAAAGTATGTTAATATTTTATTTAATACACCAAAACTACTTCATTAAGCTAATGTTCTTTTGGTGCCTATAGTATGCCTTTAACCTAGACCTTCTAGTTATTCATTCCCTAGAATATGGAGGGGTAGAAAGATGCACGTTTATGAGATGTATGCAGTAGGCTCTTCAAACTCTCTCAGATGACCTAATAACTCACAGTGCTCACAGTCTACCTGTTTCATTGCACTCTCAACTGGGCAAGGAACAATGCTGTAGGACATAACTTGTAAAACATGAGGAGGTAATTTGGACTTACACCCTACATTAGCAAGGTAAACTTGGAAACAGTGCTTCTTTACAAATAATGACCGTGGAGAGGGAGTATGAAATATTCATATTACTACTTTGTCTTATGGCCAAAGTCTAATTTAACAAAACGTGGGAAGAGGTACAACTAGCATAATGTCACACATTGCGAGAATTGATCTGTAGGGGATGTGACTTGCAAAGCCTTCCTAAACCATTCTTTTAAAGAGAAATTGAATTTTTAAGCTTCCTTTTTTTGCACAGGCTGCTTAATTTAGACTTTATCTCCTGCTCTATCGATTAAAGACTTCTTCTAAAGTAAGCCAACATCTAATTAGAAATAAAACCATTTTTTTTTCATGAAACAGAACAAGGAATAGTCCAGCGCTAAACACACTAAGAACACTAGGATGGGAGGCAGCACACCTGATAATAGGGGAATCCCTCCAACCCCAAGAAAACTAGAACAAGTCAAACAACAAAATACAGGTAGTCCACAATAAAACTTTAAAGAATAAAAAATACCATGGTATGGCACAGTCTCAAAGGTGTCAATAGATCTTCTAGACCTGGTATGGGACTATCTTGGTAGCTCCGCTTTATAACAGTATATGAAAAGGAAGCAAATACCGAGGCAAACCAATAGTGCAATATGGTAGGACAAACGACACTTGGATAAGATGTCAACTCACATATGGTAGAGCTATAACCAGCTCTAGGTAAAACAGCATGCAATACCCACTTGCAGGATATCCCTCTGGTTTTGGTACACCGTAGGATGATGGTAAATCACAACTGGATAACGATGAGGTAGATCATATGGAATGACAAAAAAGCAGGCAATAGTGCTCTCTATATAGATAGATAAGTATCAATAAGGTAAATAAAAATATACTTACAATAGCGTGAGCAGACTAACTGCTCTCTGTATCAAGCCTGGGTGGTATAATCCCCACCAAGGATTTCTTTGGTTGGTTGTCCACAGTAAGTAATGTGGAAACATGCTGGCTGTGTCAGTCAAGCCAAGGGAGGTGTAGCTAAGGCCGCATAAACCAAAACAAAAGTAATTTAAATGGAATTGAATTGAAAAGCGAGAGTGCAGGGGCCTGATCTATACACTACATCATCTTCGTTACGTTAATGTTGTTGTTGTTGATGTCTATAGTATCCGTTTAAGCTCTGCCAAATTAATAAAACTATTTCAGGCTTTTTTAATTCGAAAGTGCTGAAAGAGCCTGCAGCAGCTCAAGACCGCCTACAATAAACTGATTCAAAAAAATTGATTCACAAGAAACTGAGTGCTCCAATAGCTAAAAATGAAAACATAACATAATATATGTTTCCTGGCTAATCATGGCAGCATCACTTATGGGTTAGCTCTGCCCCAATCAGGTACAGGACAGGAAAAATCAATTAATCTGGACCCAACTGGGGTATAAAAGGTCCCTCCTCCTTCCAACCCACAGTCTTTTTTCCTGTCCTTTCAGGACAAACAGGATAATTTTTTTTTGGGCCACCTTCCCATGTGTACCATGGGCCTCCAGATGAAGTTCAGCCTCTCTTCATCTGAAGAACTCAGTAAACAGCCTGCACAGGCAGGACTAACTGAGTTAGGTACAGATTATTATCTGTACCATGGAGTTGGAGAAATTATATATAAAATATATAATAATTGGTGTGGGGTCAGCTGTAGCTTTAAAAATCCCTCTGCTAAACATCAAAACCCCCCTGATCAGAAGGCAGAGTATTGTGGAGAAGCCAGTAATCATCTAAACTGTAAGTCTTCATTTGTTTTTCCTATTATGCTTTAGATTCTCTTATTTCATCTTATCTGAGCTGCATAATGTTTGTGGGAGGCTCATACTGCAGAAGTTCTCTTCACCCGAGCCTGGGCTCTTCTGTGCTCGGTTTCTGGAGCAAGCGCAGTACCGGCGGCGCCCGGCGGGCGCTCTGCACATGCGCGCATTAATTTCGCTCTTAAAGGTATATCGCGCCAAAAAATAAAAAGTTTTAAAATTGAGCGGTTTTGCTGTTAACAACCTCCCTGGTCATCTGGTAACTAGGAAAGCTGCCTCTTACATCCAGATTCTCTTTTAAAGGTAAATTCTTGTTTTATTTATAATTTTCCAGTTAAAATGTTTTTTTGTTCTTCCTTAATACAGTATTAAGTAGTATTTATTCTTTGTAGATGGCTTCTCCCTCTGCCTCAAGATCTCGCTCTAGAAGACATAGGTGAGCCTCAATAAAATTATTAATAAAAAAAATTTTAAGGGGGGAAAAGAGTGCCAAAATAGGCCTGTAATATATTATATATTGGCCTCTATTTCAGCCCAGAAAGGTCTCAAGAGAATTCTCCCAGAAAATATAGAGAAAAGTCTAATAGATGTGCGAACTGTAACCAAGTGGCTCCTCCTGGGAATAATTTGTGCAAAACTTGCCTGGCGGAAGCAGCTAATGAATGGTAAAAGAAAAGTTCCCCACAGGCTGAATTTAAAAAATGGATATCAGAAGCTATAGCAGAAGGCTTCAAATCGTCAAATAAAATGATTACCTCTAAGCGTCCTAGAGTGGAGAGTTATGTAGAATCGGAAGAAGATTCTGACTTAATGGAAGAATTTTCAGAGGAAGAAGAGGAAGATAGTTGTCCAAGATCCCTATATTCCAGGGCTGTGGATAAATTGGTTTATCTTATCAGAGAAACCTTAAGAATCCCTGAAGAAAGTATAGAAAAGAAGGAATCCGACAGATGTTTCGAAGATCTGAAGTCCAACAGGCCCTCCTTTCCGGTCCACACTGCTATTAAGGAGGTCATCCAGGAAGAATGGAATAGACCAGAGAGAAAGGTTACATTAAAAACTAAAACTCCCAGACTATATCCGTATGCTCTAGAAGACTGCAAATCATGGATTTCTGTTCCAAAAATTGATGTGGCAGTGAT